TTAATCATATACCACCTCTATTAAATGTGACGTGTAATAAATATTATGATTTTGATTTGGGCTGACGGACGTATTCTTTAGTACGCAACGGATCATCCGTCGAGAGTGGAAGATCGAATGTCATATTATATACATTTATCAGCCCTGAAGCTCTGCGTCAAGTATGCACAGACCCTTAGTCACAATATATGTACTGGTGATCAATTGACCGAAGAACTACAATTGAAACGTATTCAAGTTGATTTTTTAGAACTCTGGCTTTCAAAAACAGTGAGCCTTCTTACTTTATTGCAGTTCAACGTAAGGTTTAATGAAAAATCTCTCTAAGTTTTTCTTTTTTTTTTTAATAAGTGTGCAAATCTATCAAAACGCTGTAAAAGAGCACTAGGTAAAATTAAATATTAATTTAAAAAAATTAATGTTTCCACTTATAGTAATGAGATATATAACACCGACGGTCGTAATACTAGACACCCCATTCTCAATTCACAATATATTCTAAAACATTATATTTATTATAATAATTTCATGCATCACTATGACTGCTAGTCAAATCCATTATTAAATTAGGTAACTCGTATGATTGTGTACTTCTCGTATGGCCCAAACGTTTAGTTTTATAATGGCTACAATAGAAAATAATATCAACTTAACACGTAGTCAACACACGACAGGATCAACAAAACTGTCAATATCTTCCTGCAACTTTAAACCTTAACAAACATAAGTTTAGCATTATTTTCGCGAAGTTGACTTTTTGATATCCTGAAATGTTGCTGTATGTACCTACTATTATCTAGAAATTTCTTATAATAATTGCATAGCCGTTGATTAATGAATTATAATTAGTTCGCACGCAATGTATAAAATATTCCCGAGTAGAAAAACAGCAATGTCAATAAAAAAAAAATAGTATTAACAATATCGCCTTGCAAATAATTGAACTATCTTTACAATATTAGTAAACAGTAAATTGTTATAAAAAGAGACCTTATACTGAATACCTTAAATATAAGAGTAAATATTTGAGAAATACTTGAATGATTACTCATTGATAAAGTGATCTGAAACCTTTAAGCTAATTTACATATATTAATAGTAATAAAAAAACTACTGCATTCATAGTATGAAAATATCACTTGGTTATTGGTTAGACTTATAAGAAGACACTGACACGAGGGCATCAATAAACAATTATGTGAACTGCGATATTTAAAAATTCGATTTTCGATTCGATTCGATTACTTCTACTTTAATTTAACCCCCATTGTTATCAATTTGATATCATAAATTTAATTAATGTGTAATTAATGTAATTAATGTTAGTTACTCAAATCAAACTATATGCAGTGCAATTGTACTTAAACAATACACCAAAATTGAATTTAACACATGATTGCTTATTAACAGCCAAATTTTACTTAGGATAAATGAAAACAAATTTTCCTATATTGCATTTACAAATTAACATAAAAGGAATATGCCTTTTAATTGTGAAAAACAAAGAGATCAAAAATATGGGTATTTCCTAATATAAAAATTAAATTAAATGATATATCAAATTATAATGTTTATAAATTTAAATAAATAGTTCATTATGCTTCAACATAAGCAAAGAAAGCTGATTAAGTATTTGTGTAATAAACATTCGTAAACAAGTATATGTTAAAATAACCTCTAGGTTTGCATTATTGTAACATTAACGTTGTAACATATTGTGAACTATTGAAATATATTTTTATTACAGCAAAAGAAAATTAAACACCACGTACTTTGTTTTCACAAACTTACTGACGAAATATTTAAAGGAAACATGGTATTTATGAGAAAAAAATATCAAAAGAATTGTTCCAGGCAGACGTGACTCGAGATTCGATACCACGGCCAAAAAGTAACCGTAATTGTATATGTGACTTTTTATTTATTTATCACGATATTTTTAAAAGTCTTTAAGATCAATGTATCATCGTTAACTCATATATTGTTTCTCGAATTTACAATGATATTTCTCAGGACTTATTAAAAAAAGCTGCCAAAGTTAACAATAAAAGGTTACTTGAAAATCCAGAGAAAAATACATCTTAACAATATTAAAGAAAAATATATTTGATTGTATATATTATATGGAAATGAAATTATGTATTACTTAGAGACGAGTGGTGGTATACAGATAATTTACTGACAGCCAGTTGCACAAACGGCCATTAAAATTTTCATTAGTTTAAAGCAACATTACCCATACAAATTTGACATTCATTAGAGCTTAAAGGCGTTTTTAAACCTTAATGGACGTTTGTGCAACGGTCCGTGAGTATAGCTGCGTTAATCAGTTTGCCGGAATTTTTTTCTTTATTAATGTTCTGTATTTATTAAAAACCAGAATAAAAATGTTCAAATATGTATCACAATAATTTTTACATAATAACATGGCTTGCATCGATGTTAACTATATGTTTTATCGTACATATTTCGTCAACCTGAGACAAAGCTCTTATCAACTCTGAACATTAGCGCGACTAATATAAAAAAAAAAACATCTTAGAAAGAACGTTTGAGAAAACTAACTCGTAACTAGTTCGAAATATACAAATAATTACTAGAATAACAACTGACGTCATCCAAAAAAAAAAAATTACAAATGATATGAATGTTTTACATTGCAGTCTTATGCGTATATTTCATAAAGTACTCCTACTTCATTATTGTTCAATGTATATAAAAATCTGTGTAAAATGCGTGCCTGGTGAAATAAATCATGGTAATTTAATAAGTAACAAGTACATGTACATATTTTTATATTGACACAGGAAACTAATATTTCCACTAGGAAAATGACACCTGATTTGATTTTTTTGAGCATGCAATTTTTTATTCGTGCGATAGACAATAGATTAAAAAAGAAACACGCAATCATCGCAAATCAATTCCTTATAAGGGATATAAAGAAAATATTGCGCATTGATGAAAATTACATACATACATACATTCTTTCCAAAGATCTTTTTTATTAGAATACGTAAGCCACCCTTCGAGACGTTACTCGACTATAACATCAATATTATATTGATGTATCGATATTGAAATTGATTTGATTCTCTATTCATAAAACACAAACCCGTTTTATTACCTATGCGCGAATAAAGATGAAATAAAGGGTTTCCGCGTCCTTTCATCTCTTTTTAAATGCCGTCCCTAGTCTAGCACACTAGCTCTATAATTCTTACTTGCATAAAATTTGGTAACAAACTTTTAATATGGTTATATAATAACATTCAAGACAACATTGAAATTGTAAAATAATATAGGAAATAAACGGAATATGTTAATTTAAAATGTTTTGGTTTCATATAACATTGAAAGAATTTCAATTAAGTCACATTAAAAAATTAGGTTAACGAACATATTTAATAGATCTAATACTTTTGATAGGAATTATACGAGTTTCGTTATTAAAAGCTTTTTTATCACAAAAATAATCTACAACATTTCAATTATAAGAATTAACTCGAAAAATTTACACAATTTAAAACAAATTTTAGCACAAAATAATACCAGAGTTTTTATAAAAAATACAATATCTTAAAACGTTGTAAAAAGAAAATAATATATTTTCAACTCCAGAATTAATTTTATTTGTGCATCAATAAAGAAATTATATTTAAAATCATTACATAAATAGGTTTATATAGTCTTAGTCTTTTTGTTATGTAAATATTTGAGTTAACATATATTCAAATATGGTTGCAAGTAAATAAAATTCTCATAATTCATTAATTATTGGTATTTAAAATACTGCATATTTTAAAACCAGAAGGAATGATTAAAAACATTACTCACCATTCTTTGAAATCGATATTATTCAGACTTATTAATAAAATCAGCAAAATAACATTATTTATCCCATAGGATCGGACAGCGATCAAGATTTAAATAAGATTTTTTCAATATTTGCAATCTGTGTCTCACGTCAAAAGAAACATCGACATTTACATTTACGTTTACGAGGCTTATAAAACGATTAATATTAAAAAATAATTTTGAATACATGAAGGTTAAATCCATTTTTGAACGAAAAACATCCTTATTATATATCATTTAAAACACTTTAGGAAGTTGTCTGATCCCCAGTTAATTTTAACAGTTAAAACAAAAAAACGTTATAATTACAATTAATTGTCTATGTAATTCATAAATTAGCGACTGCTTCATTAGTAGGATAATTATAAAATTACTTTAATAAATTCCGTAGAATACCAAATTTATTGATGTAAAATAAACCATAGATAATTTAATATACATAAACGATACGATGATACCTTTATACTAAACGTAGAGAAAATTTAATGCGTTTTAATCGTATTTTCAATGGTATTTTATTTAACAACCTGGGCAATATATGACTTTTATATGCATACTAATAAAATCTATTTTATACGATATGTTACAAAAAGACAAATGTATGGTGTATAGAAATAAATATATCACTATTTAGTCACGATAGCTATCGATTGTTCAGACGTGAATAAATGAACTCGTCACATATATACGTAACTATTATATTGGGAATAACTTGCATATTACTACAAAACGAATAGCTTGAAAATCATAAGTAGAATGATTCGAGCTAACAATAATATTAAATAGTTTCATTTCCATCACATCAAATCCTTATAAATCTTTGCACGATATTTTAATTTAAATATAACAAAGACTTAAATAGCAAATTCATAAAATTGCGCATTTAGTATTAATATTTCCGAAGGCGCAACAAAAAATGTATTAATTCTGATTTCACTTAACGACGGATTAATTTATGAGGAATATTTTAAAATGTACTTCTATTAAAACGCACTACTTTATTTTTATAACAGCCCACATTTCTTTGTAAGTCAAAGAAGCGGCTAACTATTAAATTGCTTGCGATATTGGAGAATTCAGTGATCATTTGTATAATCACCGCGTGTAAATAATATTGGTTTTAATAAATAGTATAATAATGACCTCCAATTTCCAGTGTTTCAAAAATACCACAGAAACTATCTCCTACACTTTATCGTTACAATGGACTGGTGCAAAGCTGCTAAGAAATCGTTTTGTTTTGTGCTGCAACATAATCACAATGTCCACGCTAAACAGTTCGTATGAATAATTTATTAAAATAAATAATATTGATATATTGCAATGTATATGACACTATTATCTCTAATGACAACTAATAATACAATTAATAAATTTAACCTACATAATAACAAAAACTGTTTTATGTTTTGCTGGCTGTATAAGATCTTTCAAATATTTGGCTTATTGGACTTGGACAATATAGACATCCATAATTTGTGCGACGTTGCTAGGTAATTTATACGTACAGTAATATACAACTGATATAGCTTATAACATATTCTGGTCAATCAGAATTATTCAAGTAGCGCGCCATCAGACGATCCAGTATGACCGAAACGGAAACCTAGCACATTCTATTTGAGACCTTATGGTAATTAAAATAAGATCAATTCTAAATTTTAAACGTACGTTCTGTCATCAGATTTCTTATTTCTAGTTTGTGCAAACGAAGATTCACGACTCGCCATATTTGTTGCATGTTACTGTAGTCTAGTTGGTAAGTTAACAGTGTGACTCGCCGTTTTCATGGTGACCAGAGTCAAAGCTGCCGAGGTGTGACAGTCCTTTAGGTGGGATGGGCGGAGGTGTTTCTGGTTCACCAACGTGAAGGGGCTCTGACATTAGTGAGATTATTTCCTCGTAGCGAAGCGATTCGACCGCTAGTTCCAGATCTAAAAATAAATGCAAATTCAATGTACCACGTCAGAAATATAAAATAAAAATTTGAACTTAGAAGTTAATATTTGGTTTTGACTTTCTATCGTGTAATACGGGTGTAGACATTAACCGAAAATAAATACATATTTTTTTCCGTTTATGTTTAATATACTATTATACTTATTATATTTATAATATTGTAAATATAATAAGTATAATAGTACTTAAAAAAATAAATATTTTATACTCCTTGTCACCTGACTGCAAACAGCGCTTGACGTCACGCCCTTTTTAATCATATCAGAACTTAGAGAACTGAACGATAACGAACGATATTAGTTTTAGAGGGGCCTGACGTCATAGCGACGCCATGACAGACGTTGTTTATTTCGCGGGAAATTGTGAAAATCAAATTATGTTTTAGATTTTAAGTCATTAAAATTAATGATATTTTTTTCTTAATATTTCATGTATATCTATAAAATTAAATTATAAACATCCTCCACTACACCCCTTATCTAAACTAGCGCTTGTAAAACATTCTACGCGATTTGGGAAAACTTACCAGCAAACGCTCATATGGCAACTCCATCAACTGATCGATTTTACAGTTGATGGAATAAAAAATAAATAACAGTTTCGTTCATTAGATTAACATTACCGTGTTACATATTAACTAAAGGCTGAAGTTATTTAATTTATAGTCTTTTTATAGTATATTTTCGATAACTGTAATTTTCGTAAAATAATGGCCACATATCGCTGGCCTAATATTTAAGATAGTTATGACATTTTACTTTAGATGTCATGTTTGTTACGGCATTTGTCACTTGTGTAGTGTTCGTTAAGGCATTTTATGCAAAATGCAGGGCTAAATGCATCAATGCAACGAACACATTTTTTATTGTTCTTATAGAAAGTGACATACGAATTTAATAAAATAACAGTAAGGGGCCATCCATAAATTACGTCACATGTTAGGAAAGGGGGGGGATCCGACGAACTGTGATATTAGAATAATATTTAGTAGAATTTGTATAGACAAAAATGTGACAGGAGGGGGGGGGGGGGTTAAAATCATGAATTTTGTGTGACGTAATATATGGACGGCCCCTAAGTAGTGACGATAGATACATACCCGCATGGTGTCGATGCTCGTCAGCGTTAGTATACGCGTGCGTATCGACGCTAACACCTGAGTCTCGCGCGTCGTCACATCGCCTGTCGTCAGAGTTCTCGCACGTTCGTCCGGCACGACGCGGTACTGCCGGCGGACCTTCCGTCCACGAACGCTTGTCACCTAATACCACATTATGTAATTTGCGTGTATTTAAAATCAAACATCACGCATAACGGTGATTGTAATCAGAGCGAAAGTATACGGTCGAAATGCTAATTATTCGGCGCGTACATGTGTTATAGAAATGATTCTGAATTTATTTTCTCATATTCATTCAGTGGCTCTAATTATGCTGAAAAAGCATTCATAAGACGCTCCTGTGATATTACATTAATAATAATGATATTTTTTAATTCTAAATTGGCAATTATATGAAACAATTATGTTATATGCTAAATCCTTTACTTTATTTGATTTTTACCAAAAAATTATTCAGAAGTCCAATTCGAATTTATATTGTAGCAGAAATGTTATATTGTATCACATTCAAATAGTTTGTAATATCTTTGCAAGACTCTTTGCTTCCTAAAATAAATAAATAAATATAAAAAAAAAAACTTTTCGGTGTGTTCCATTTGTCATATACATTTACTTTTAAACAGTAGTGAAAATACTTTGCAAGACTAAAAAAGTAGACTAAGAAACATAAAATGGTCATTTATTATAATCCTATTGAACACTCATAAAACTAAATATCCCAACATATATGCAAATAAAGAACGAATGATTGAATTTTTCACGTGCTCTCGTACCTGAAACTCGAGGTGGAAGTGGTGGCGCATCTCCTGGTTCACTCCAGGAAGCACGACTGTGTCGGCGAGTTTCTACCTCACCTTCCATAGAATCACTATAAATATATATATGTATTTTTAATAAAAATACTAATGATATTCTAAAGAATTACATCAGAAATAATCAATGATGAAACAACACAAACAATTTCCCAAATGAGAAAAGTTATATCACATGCGAAACAAAGGGCCTCGTAAACACGGCATTGCGCCTATCTTAAACTTATTTTCTGGTTATAAATTTTTCTCTATAACAATATAATATGTTATTGTACATTACTATTAATTAACGTCAATATTCATGCATGCTGTGTTTGCCTTTATATAACAAATACATTTAGATTTAGTCATAAGATGTTCCATAGACGATAGAAATAATGTTATTTGTTTCTGGTAAACCTAAATAAATAAAATAAAATAAAATTAAATTAAAATATAAAACAATACATTTATCTAAAAGCATTATAATTCTATAGCAAAATATACTTTTTTTTTGCTGCAGCAGAGAATTTCAGGAATGGATAGACTAAACTGACCGGTACTTTTCTATCGGTGTTCTGGTGGGGCTCCGTGGGTCTCCTGATTTCGGTCTGGTGGGTAGAGGCGGTGCTGACTTCACCATTGACGTCTCGTCTACACAATCGCGATTGTCACCCACGGGGAGACTAGCGGACATCACACTAAACTCTGATGTATCCTCCATTGAGTACTGTGAAAAGGCATTACAGAGATTATGATTAAATTTGCCTAAAGTCTATTTAATTTATTAAGATGATTTGTTTGAACATAACGGAAATGAGGTCACTGGCAGTTAAAGTTTTAAAAGCTTGAGAAATTTGTCAATTTTTATTGGTTAGAGCAGTCTGGATTGAGAAATATAACGGGTTTGAGTCTCAGGCACCTGAGACTGTCAAACTTTTTGATTATTTTTCCATATGATAAATACATTCTTTAGGATATAGTCCTCCTTTATTCCCTATTGATGTAATCACACACAAATATTCTATTTCAGTGCGGATTAACAACTGCAGATACAGCCGAAAACAATGGATTTTCGTACTTTCCGTAGCAAAAATACAGTATGATATACATGATTTATATACTCACTATAGGTTTGTTATAAAGGTGACCGTCGTCGTAATAACTCTCACTCTGTTGTATACTCTGAGAACGTTTATCCAACGACGGCACGGGTGGCAAAGGCGTACTGAAAAAATCCATCCTAAATACAATAATGTACGTAAATTGTGCAATTTGATTTTAAGGATTAAAATAAAATAAGTATATTATTAATGATATCGTAGATACTACAGATAAAGAAAAGTAAATATATAGATATTGAGTAAATTCGTTCCTTTTAAAATGAAAAATAAAATGAAGTGTAAGAATATAGGTACTACGATTGGACTAGTGGAAATAAAAATGTGTGGTATATTAAACTAACTTGACAATACTCTCTGAAAGCTGCCGACGTGCTCGAGCTAATCCTGGCCCCAGGTTTTGTCTGAGCTGATTGAACCGTTCGACCAATCGTCTGTAAGTAATAGAATTATTCATAAATTAGTATCAACCTGTCCTACAGTAAATCAAATAATGCCTTCACGTTTATATATATTAAATATTTTTATATGACATTGCGTAAAACATGATGAAAAAGTCTTTTTTTTTAACAGATAAACTCAAAAAGTACTGCATCGATTATAAAAACTCCTTCACCAATATTAAAATTTTACTTTACAGGCAGATTATTGGAACGAGACAGTTAAGGCAGCAACCTCAACCAAAATTATCCTCGAAGAACATCTTTTTTTTTAATATGTAATGAGCTGCATTTAGAGATTTAGGGAAACTGTACAGTCAGCAAAAAAAATCCAGAATGTCAAAATGAAAATGTATGCCAATCACTCTTATTACATAAGGGAATCAAATGCGATCATTTAAGGTACGAGTATTAGAAATAACATCCGAACACGCATCAGTATTTATAAGAATACTAGCTTTCGCCAGCGGCTTCGCCCGCGTGGACCCTAGGGAAATGTTTAGGGGGATAAAAAGTATACCAAATTTCATCAAAATCCGTTCAGTAGTTTCGGCGTGATTGACGTACAAACATCCAAACAAAGAAACTTTCACATTTATAATATTAATAGGATATTGTAAATCTGTTTATGCATCCGTCTAAATTGAAAACAAAAAAATAAAGCTATATTATCAGCAAGTAGCGAGATATTCGAGAGCTCAGCTAGTTTATAAAAATATTATAAAGAGGAAACATCAACTTATTTGTTTGCATTGAATAGGTTCCAAAACTACAGGTCCGATTTTTGAAAATTATTTCAACAACATGAAGCTACAATATACTCGGATGACATAGGGATGATGCCTGGGTAAAAAATAAAAGAATTCTATTTAGTCTGTAGAAAAATATTAGGTACGTATTATTTTTGCTTCAATTTAACAAGAAATACTTTGGATAAGGCATTAAGGTATTGTTTCACAGATTTGTTGAAAATGTAAAAAAGCGTGACGTCATGTAACACCAATGCATCGCCATAATTTATCACTGCATCACTATATAGTATGAAACAAAGTCGCTTTCACTGTCCCTATATCTATATATGCTTATATCTATGTATGCTTAAATCTTTAAAACTACGCAACGAATTTTGATGCGGTTTTATTTTTCATAGAAAGCTAGTTTGAATTAAACAAAAATCTATTTAACTTTCTTAATCTACTTAACGGACAGACAAAAACAGTCATCATCCCTATTTACGCGGCCAAAGTCGCGGGAAAATGGCGTTTCGTTTATAATACGGTACCTGTGTAAAGGTTTGACGTCATCAGGTGCCAATCGTCCGTGTAACGCAAGTCCCGCATCCACTACTGCCAATTGTCCAGAGACCAGTCTCCTCAGCTTAGCGGCGGCGGCTGCCTCCCTAGGAGTAGCGTTCCTAGCGAAGTCGGCACTCAGGAACGCCTGCTCGTACTTGGTGATGCCGCCTTGTACGTTGGCGTCTATCGTTCCTTGCAATCGCATCGAGAACGGATTGATGTTGAGCGAAGGATCCGCCGTGTATTGTGATATTAGGCTGCGGAGTTCACGCTCAGTCGCTTCCATAGTTTCGCACGCGAACTGATAATAAAAAAAAATATATGTTTAAGGCGTCATTGGTTATAAAACATTATAGCAATAGGGATTGTAAGGATTTTATATATAAACTTTTTTTTTTAATTTCAAGACAAATGACTAGTCCCCGGTTCAGAATTAGTTGGACAGATTACAGAAAAAGTTTAGAAATAGAAATGGATTTCAAAATTTGATAAATGTCTGGAGTGGTCGCTTCAGTACGCAAGTCCCATTCGCCATTGGCCAGGATTTTTTTTAATCGCAATAAGATGTGTTATTTTTTTATAACTATTCATTTTGCTGCTATAACACATTATTATTGACATGGCAACGATGTACGCACGCCCGCACGTCACGCTACACATCACCATCATAAGTAAGTAGTTCTATGCGAAGTGCGGTCGGTACAGAGTACACAATATATAGTCTGATGTGCATACCTCGACTGGTGGAATTTCCTCGACAGATCTGGATACTACTTCAGACCATCGCAGAATACCTGGCAGGGTATCCTCTGTTACTAAAGTGGTACGTTCTATCCAAAGGCTCTGGAAATATGACCACAAAAGTTAATATCTAAATTAAATGTATTTTCATGTTATATATTTGCGTTTACAGTGCTAATTATATTAGAAAAATACTTGACAAAATCACTACCTCATGTAGAAAGATGAATTTGAATTTTCACTGACCAGACGGATACTCTGCCAACTGAGCTGGCAGAATACCAAAGACCTTTTCTTTTAACGCAGGGAAATGCCGAATTTATCAGATACGTGTTACTTACGCTGCAACTAAGCGTAATACCGTCAATGACAAGGATAAGATACTTAAATAATTAAGAGATATATTTGAACTTTTAATAAAAGATTCCATCAGGAGATCGTCAAATAAATTAATTTCCATAAAAAAGTCCACTCCTTTCTTTTGCAAGGCTTGTCAAGATTGTCATCATCATCTATGTAATATATATTTGGTATGTTATATGTTGTAGTATGTTTATGATTAGTTTAGTATTTGTTGTTGGAGTTATATTTAAATTATTCACATATTTTTATTGCTCTGTACCACTATCGCGTTTGTCAATATACCCAAAGATTGATTGGGAGAGAATGTTATTAGCATTAAGTTCAGCTTTTGTACCATCTTCATATTGGACAATGAAGTTCAATATATAAATAAATAAAAGTATTATTTATAAAAACCTTGAACTCATTATCCTTGTCAATGGGCGGTTTATGTAAAGGTCGATCGCATAAGAACGTGTCAACATCGTTGCAGGCATAGAATCTCTTCACAGCATCCGGCGCACCCGCAGGCCAAACTCGTCTTCTTGCCACGGGCTTCACGTTGCATATTTGAATGTCTACATGTAAACAAATATCTAACATGGGTAAAAAGTACATAAACGACAATCAAAATAATTTATAACAGGAGTGTGTGTGTATAAGAGACCAAAAATTGCCGCTTTACAATATTGAATCGTTTTATTATTTCGCACGTTGAGAATGACAATGTCACTAACCAAAAATAACGTATTTTTTACTTTTGACAACATTTTTCTTTGGTACCTATAAACTTTATAATGCAAAGATCCCTGTGAACGTAGCTTGCATAGAAACTGCTAGGTGGCGTAGTGACAATACATTGTTTAGAGGAGTGGATAACAATTTCTTGAACTTTAAACGCTCATTACTCAAAATCGCATTTTTTGCATTGTCACTTTCGTTCTCAACATGCGATTTGATCAATTTTGCATTCACTATGCCGTACTGAAATATATGTATAATGAAAAATGCTAAAAAATCCGCCAACCTCTGGGGATGGGACTTAAACTAACGACGTTTCTCAAGCCGGGCGACTGCTGTAACAACTGAGATACCAAGTACAGTGGCGGATTGAGTGGGCGGTCTGCCCTAGATTTCCGGTTCAGGGGGCTCCAAATGGCTGCAGCCATCCGCCAAAATTATAATATTATAAATCTAAAAATTTATGCGGTGTGGCGGGAAGCAATATCAAGTTTCTGCCCTGGTTGGAAAAAGTATTCGATCAAGGCCTTTTGCAGCCCTGGGCCTCCGATGAGATTAGTTACGACCGACGGACCGACGAATTTTTCAAACACGAAACAATGAAAAAAGCATTTTAATGTTACTAACCCCTGGCTTTTTAATGTTACTACTCCAAGAATGCTAATGCAAAAATGATGAAATGCAAAAAATGATCATATTCATATGCTCATATTCCATGATGTTACAAAAAATAGCTTTCAAGTATACACTCACATTGTCCGTCTGCCGCTATAATTGAATCATCAGGCGGTGTGTTCCTCATAAGTATATGCGCCGAAACATATTCCGATTGGAGTCTTTGTGTAAAAGCACCGATGCGTTCATAATCATGACCTCTGTATACGAATAGTTTGTTCTGAAAACAATCATACCAATAAATAAAATATATAGATTGATTGGGTCAAACTGAAAACTTACACTCACTTTTAATGTAACAATATCATGAAAACAACTCAAAAATTACTTACTCTAACAAATAGTGGGCACCCTTTCCCATAGAAGCCAACTCTAAAATATTCTGGCTCTGGCCTCAGTTGTTTCAGTACAGAATCTAGGAACATAGCATGAGTGCGTAAACAATGAGCTAATCGCGCGTAATCGCATAATTTCACTTCGTACAGAGTCGCCAATTCACGGAGAAGAGGAAGACCTTTTTCCCAGCACTAAAATAGGATAAATTTAAAGTTAAATTTTAACTAGTCCTTTAAGCTGGATAAAAATTTAAAACCGTTATAAATACAACAAATTTAACCTTTCCACGGTCGAAATATTGTAATACTTGATTGTATATAGCTTCTTTGCGTTTCCATTCAGGTGTCTCAGGATATTCAGGGTCTACGCCGATCTGATCACTGTCCCAACTAAGTGTCTCTGCATATAACTGTAATTCAAATTGATTAGTATGTTGGCTAGATTATATTTTTGGAAATAAATTGAAACTTACCAATAACGTGCATCCTGCTTCAATAAAATTATCAGATGCGATGTGGAGATCGTGTAGTTTGTATACGTAACGAAGATACATCTCCTTTCGATCAATTTCATTCTTGTAGAAATTCTGAATAAAAAAAAAAAGATTGAATGAAAATTCATAATAGCAATATTGCAAACAATATTCAACCCTTTTTTACATCTCCAGATGTCTGACATGTCAAATTTTTAATTTATCACGTTTGATTAAATATGAATTCCAATTCAAACAATTAGTATGCAGATGCACATAATGTAGTTTCTAATACTTCTACAAGAATGTATAATAATACAGCATATTTATTTTAAAAGAGCAATTATTTTTTATAATACTTGAATTAATACGGCATTGTGTCAATTTTAAAAGTGAAATAAACATAGATAACTATAAGACAACAGTAAAGATAGTTAAAAAATTATTGTGACACTGCACTGAAACAGTTCATTCAAACTGTCAATAGACTCACAAGTAAGTTGACAGTAGCCGCCATACGTTTATCCCTATGCTCAGCTCCTTGCATAACAGCTCGGTAGTCAAGAAGCCTCTCCAACAGTCTTGTCACACAACCAACAAACGCTGCACCTGCTTCCCGCCAACCCTCAGTGGATACTCGTTCCATAAGACTAGATAGACACAAGTTGTTATAAAAATTGACCACAAAAACGCCACGTTAACTGGACCTATTTAAGGTAAACAGACATCGATATTTACCGATCTACAAAAAGAGGTAAAAGGAAAGAATTTTAGAATTGTTCCATTGACAACATATTAATCTACATGTCAGGTTTTTTGAATTCTTCTCAGGATCGTTAAAACTAAATCCGAACATAATCTATCCTGATTGTAGTCGAATTAAGGAAATTTCAGGATTTTTTGAATGTTTAAGTAACATTATAAAGATCTCTTTAAAAAGATATACAAAGTAAAAATAATCTACCTAACTTTGGTAGTAATTGCACAATTAAAATCAACACTGGCGATGAAAAAACTATTATTATTTACTAATATGAAAAAAAAAAACAGAAAGAATAAATATAAATCAATCTAGATGATTAAAAAGATGCGACATTTAGGTCTACCACAACTTCCCTAATACATTTTTTTAATTTAAAAGAGATTGGCATTAAATATGTCTAATGTCTGATTAACTGGGAGGATCTCATTATAATATCTACACATACAAGCGATAGGATTATGATAAGATATATTATTTCTATATGTCGGTATGACAAAAGTTGGATGCCTGCGCCTTGGATTATATTTGAAATTAACGTTAAGAGATGAAAGAAGACATTCTGAGTCAATTACGGAATGAACTAATTTATGAAGTGTTATTAAATCATGTTGATAACGACGTGTGTTAAGAGATGTAATATTGAATTTACTCAATCTGTCCTCATATGATATCAAACTACGGCTGGTACCGAACTTTATACTCAAATTAAGGCAATCTTTAACTATCAGTATGATTAAATTGTTCGTTTATAATTGGAATAGTTATACTCACACAGAACTCAAATGCTCCCTGAACAATGTTGCATGTAATGAAACAATATTTATTGTGGGCAACCAACTTTAAGTAAATACACATTTTGCTGGTAAACTCGGTATATTAACAATATTAATTCATATGAAAATAAATAAAAAGTATATAGTTACTTACACAGTGTCAAACAGTCTTCTGTAATGGTCATCAGCTTTATTATCCGCCACTAAAGAGTCCAGTTTGTCAACCAACGCTGCCTCGGTCCGTCTCGCTGAACCAGTGGCGGCTCTCTCAGCGGCCATCAGGGCAACGAGTGCCCCCAAAGCGGCCCTACGGAGCTCACCGACTAATGTGATCTCTAATAATGCCCCGACAGCCCCTGGCACTAAGTGCAGTTGAGCTGGACCTGTCAATATTATATCAATGACATTACATTACATAGAATCATTTAGCTACTCTACAGTTATATCAAAAAATTATGAAATATGTTGAAAACGATGTGGTATTTTTTTAAATAAATTGTCTGACAATTTTAAATTATAAATTTATGAGAACGTCACGTGTTATGTCCCATTTCAATAAAATACATGTCAATATCTCCATTGCGAGTGCAACCAGTACTCCAGTTTATTGAAATGTGACTTATTTTTGCTCATTCTTATAATACGTCTCTGTAGCCTATATTTAAGTTTTATGATATCGCATTATAAAGACACTTACAGTTATACGATTCTGAACAATTAACCAAAATCATATCATAATTAACGTAGATATGAGATAACACACATTCCCCACCGTTCCGGCAGTGCCACCACTCTACATCTCTACTACACTGACTAGTACTGACCGAGGCGGCTCCACACGGCGAGTACTTGTCTAGCGGCGGCGGCGCGCATCCGTGGCCGGTCAGCGCCGCGCCCCGCCCACCGCTCCGGCTGCAGAGCGCTGCACGTCACCAGTGCCACGCCTAGCTCCATGTAACCCGCCCACACCTATCACACCAAGCGTGTGCGATTCATACGATAACTTATGAGATTTCAAATACGCATCGAGAGTAAAGACGCTCGATTTTTAATCACAGAAAAAAAAACAAATGTAATATACTTAACAAATGTATATAATTCTTTATATCATCATCATGATCAGCCCTATTACGTCCCCACTGCAAGCCTTAGGCCTTCCTTATGGATGGTTAAGGATTTTTTATATAGTTAGGAGTGTCGCGAAATATGCGATTTCCGAACTAAATATTATTAATTTTATGTTGGTAACACTGTGTAAAATGATCATAACTTTGACATAAAATTTGCCGGGTAAAAAGTAGATAAAAAATATTTTAACGGATACAAGAGTTTGGGTAGTTGCGTTACAATGATGAGGAGACATAATGAATGTTGAAGTAAAGAATCCCTCGGGCCTGAGAACAGTAACGACTGCTGCATGGGTGAGTTGTACATGTATTGTATAATTGTGTAAAGAGGAAATGCATTCAGAGATACATAAAGATGCGTGATGATAAGAGTAATTGTGGAAGATCTGGAGGTCGAGGTGGTCTATGGGGAAGGCAGGAGGACCAGTAAGAGCTATACCGACAATATGTCTATCTATCTTGAGGGAGGAATCTATCGTCATGAAGGCAACTCCTGGGTAGGTAGGTAGATATGCTGTCGGCTAGAAATGTTAACAACATTCTTTAATGTTGTGTGTAATCCACGATGTTAATGAGTTACAAGTAAAGCATCTAATCTCACAATGCACGTCCTAAGGTATGTATGTATTTGTCGCAATGGCATCCCTTAGAATTCAGGCATAGGTATCACTGACTTCGCGACAAGGAGGAAATATATTTGCCGCAAAATCATTAAAAAATCCTATTTAAAGTCTTGTCGATTTTTCTATAGAGACAATAGGGAATATGCACATTTTTGGAAAATGGTTTTTATGATAATTTACATCGATATATAACGGTAGAAAAATACCCGGCACCGAAAAACTAAAATTTTGTAACATTAATCATTCATGAAAATAAGTAATAGGTACGAGCAGTTTAAACACCGGAATTTTTGGCGCGCTCGTCATGACGTCAAAGTACACGACTAGAGATATGACATTTTAAAACTATGGATTTTGAGTGATTGATTATTATTCAATTACCCAAATCGATTAAAACTAATAAATTTTTAAAGTATAATAGACTTTTTTAATAAATCATATAATGTACCAAATTGGTGAAATAAAAATAAAAGCCTAAAACATCATTTAAATTGTAATCAGTTGTTTATTTTGCGACATAATACATTGATGTTATTGCATCGATGATAACTTTTTTTAACAACGACATCACTATACGTGTACATTTTCGTCACATCCTCTTTGACAAGAAGCATGGCGTTTAAATATTTTGAAGTTACCGCATTTATTTTGCACTTTTTAATAATTATTTTGAAGACGAAAACGTACTAATGTTGAAAAATATTTAGATATATTTTATTCTAAAGCAATAAATGATTGTAATAAAATATATCTAACCCTTTTTTGAATCAGACGCATATTCCCTATTATTGAAATTTATGTTTGTTTTTAGCAAGCAATCAATCATATCATAAGTTCAATTTTCATAAAATGATTTTTATTTGGCAAATATTAGCATAGTTTAAGAATAATATAAAATTGGTGTAAAAAGCGTTAATTTCGTATAACCTCGCCTTAGGTAAGATACGGCTGTCTGCCAGCAAGCGTGAAAATTACTCGGTTAGAAAAAGGAAGAAAATCACGGTTCCCGATCTGTCCTTACTGACGTATACTCAGTAAAAGTACGTTTAGATTCTAAACGCACTTTTACTGAGTGGTGGTACACCGAAGATGACGTGTTTATCTAAACTTTAGATACATATGACATTATCGGTGAGGCTACCACGCGATGGCTGCGTGCTACTCGTTTGATTGTGTCCGATCATAACAAACTTAATTGATATTGATTAGGTCACATCATTAAAATTATTCACACTTATCGGCATCGGTATTTTTTTGCAATTTCATTGAAAATCGCAAATCGAGGCGTAAAAGAATAACCAGAATAACCAGCGCCGTATCAGGGTAATCTACACTGGTATGGCTTATGCTGAGGCAGAGTACTGATTGGCCACCACTTAAAGATAACTGGTTTAACTTAAAGATAATGTTTTTATCTTTAAGTTAAACCATTATTGTATCAATCTATGTGGTCAATAAAGGTATTTTCTTTCTTTCTAAAATAACCAGTCAACTCGCGGATTCAGCGTCACACTGAAGAAAAGTGTCTTCGCGCACAGACTGTTTTAAATCAATGGAAACATGAAAAGCGTTTTTACTATGTACAGATCTGGCATCTTCATAGAAAGTTCACTAAAATTGAAATGTCAAATTTCGTTATTTTACCTGTGAATCGAATTGTGGTGGTTCCTCTCCCAAAAATCTCTCTAGAAGTGGCTTAGCGAAGTCTTGCAACGCAGACAGTAACACTTTACAACTCTGAACGCGTAATACCATCCAATCAGCTGGAAAAACCTACAAAATATATATTTTTATTATTATATTATTAGAGCTTTTTTATTTGTTTTCTGAGCTACTAAGTAGGCCACGAACTAACGGATTCATAATATTCGAGTAACAATAAAGGTTTAGACATGAAATATTTCATAATAAAAACATTTATCTATATTAAAAGTATAAAGAGAAAATATTTCATTGTTTATTTAATTAGCATCATATAGGTTCCAACATTACTGTGTGTTGAATTAATGGAAGTTTGAAAACGCATGCGCTTTAATTATTCGTAATTTCAACAAATGACCGAAAGAGTTAATTATTTATTAATTTCAAATATGATTTGATATGCTTTTTATTTGGACCCGCCTGCATATTTATTTTCAATCGGATATATGGCCCCCTGCTAATTTGAGTTATCGCTCCTGCTTTAAAGGGCACGTTAAGCCGTTAGTCAAAGCTGCATCTACACAAATCCGCACTAGATAGTTATGACCCGCTCTCTCCCTATTTAATGTAATCTTTAGGAAACGCATGTATCTCAGTAGCGGAAACATTAATAGAGCGGATGATGAAAAACACAAAAATACTCACATCTTGTTCAATCAAATGTCTGAATACCAAGAAGGCGCGCATGAGGAAATCCTTCAAAGGCTTCCTGTCGTGAGGATGGGGTGCCAGATGACTCCACAATCGTTGGTAATGTGCCGGCTTTAATAATTCCATAGCGCCTAATAGACCGGCGACCATGGAACCCTGAACATGTAGATTTGACATGACTCAAGTTTATTCATCCGAGGTTTTTTTTATAACGGATAACAATAAATTTCATGTAGTATTCATGTCTTATAAAAAAATTTTGTTCGAGTATTGATTAAACTTTAAATAAACAAAGGTATGAACCCTGTTTACAGTACTTGAAACGAAAGTAAACCCTGTGTGGAAACTAAAAATCAGGTATCGCAGGGAGGGAAAAATACGACGAAGAGGCATAATCATAGCAACTGAGCCTAAGCTCAGCCCCGCCAGCTAACGGTACAGATAACTAAATTAAACCTGTATTGCAGATCTTTACACCTGTAAAGATTGCTGCCTAACAACAGCATTTTTTTGTCATTTTAAATCGCGTAAAACTTTGAAAGAATTTTATTCAAAAAATACTTTATCCAATGCCAAAAATCACATGACAATACAATAAATTTTAAGTTTACTGCGATTACACTTCAATATTATTTTTTTCGGCTTTAAAACAATATGGGTGTAGACAGTAAACGAAAATAAATACTCATTATTTTATTTTATTTTTTTTGGTTTCAGCCTTTTATGTTTATTATATTTGTAATATTGCTTAAATAAATTATGAAAAATTAATTATTTTATACTGAGCGTGAGGTCACGCTCCTCTTACTCATGTCAAAACTTAGAGAATTCAACCTTATGCATACATAGGACGATATTAGTTTCAGAGGGACGTGACGTTATAGCGACGCCATGACAGAAGTGGCGTTTTCGGGGGAAATTTTAATAAAATATAATTATTTAAAGATTTTAACTTATAATATGCAATGATACTGTTTTTAAGATATACCTACTTCATATATATCTATTACCTAAATAAAAATATAAAAAGTTGTCTACGCCAGTATTTCAGTTAGTGTAATGTACCTACATATTTATGGACTAAAGTGTTTAACCTCTTTACTTTTGAGCTCAACTATGCCTGCGAAGCATAAGCATCTCGGGTTTCCTTTCGTAACGAGTAATGAACCTTGTATGTACGACTTAATTTTAGAAATATTTCAAAAATATATTCAAAATAATGCATGCAAAATCTACTTTTTGTCACCAAACAGAATACTTATGCTCTTTACTATACGACGCTACATAATATTGGACAAACATCGTCTTATATTTACGAGTTCTATAAATGTTATTTTCAAATATGATAACAAACGTGTTCTTTGAAACATCAGGAGATTCCTTATCTTAGATACAAGTATTTGAAATACAGATACAAGATACAAAATACGTATTTTCATCTTGTATCTAAAATACTTTTTTTAGGAAGTATTTTGTATCTTGTATTTAAATACTTTTGTTTAGTATCTTAGTATCTTTTAAATACTTTTTCTGATAAAATACTTTATAAAAAGATTATTTCTTACATTTTATAAATATCACAAAACATTCTTTGCCTAAAACATACATATTTACAAAAAGAAAGTGTTCAATTATCAACGCAATGAATATTTAGTTAAAAATAACTCGAATCCAAACATTGTTTGGTGTCATTTAAAAAGTAAATGCGTAGAACTGAACGTACGGTTATACCGGTGTAATACACCCTCCCTAGTAAAAATTGATAGATGGCGCATAGGGCTTGAAATCGAATAACCAGTTACAAGCAATAAAAAATCTTGATTTATGTAAAAACCCGGTTATATGCTATAAATAAAACTCAGTATATCAATTAAACTCATTATTAAATTTTATTATTTTTTTGCACATTATACTTTTTCCACTAACAACAGCATTCAAAAAGTTTATTTTTAAAGAAATTTCACTGTGAAATTCGATACATGGCAAATGCTTGAAATTATATCCCGTGAGCAAAGCAATATTGCTTTTATTGACTCAACAGTTAATCTTTTTCTATCTTTTGACCACTGCATATTCATGAGCGAAAAAAAAATCAATATTCGCATTATGAGGCATAATACAAAAAAATACTGACAAATCTTCAGTAGTTCGGAAACGAGTGCTGTCATTGCATATATTGAAAATAATTACCCACTGCTTTTCAACTAATTCGTCATAAAAATAAATTTGTTAATAGAAAAAATTCTTCAAATAATTTCTTTGACATCGTCAATTAATACTCCTTTATTTTTCAAAAATACAACACAATCTGTGATGTAATCGTATAGTAGATTTTGCTTTAATAAGTAACCATTTAATTCAAGGGATCTTTATTGAGAAACAACAAAAAAATGGGCGGAGTCCTGTCTTAATATTAGGTCTTTACCTATGTAATTGCCGTTCTGCTGTACTAGCCATTTAAAATCAAACTATTTTTTTTGGCTGATAATTCTAATATCAAATTATTTTTTCTAAAATCGTCATTTGTTCAATAGTAAGTGTTTTGTTTTCAATGCATTTGAATATTTTTCGTCGTCATGGATAAGTTAAAAATTCGAGTAATTATGGAGTATGTGTGCCATCGTGGCAGCAAAGCGGCACGCAACATTACAACGTTTGCAGAGCGAACACTACAAACGAACGCACCACCCGTTATTGGTTTACGAAAAGGTTGCTGTTTGGTGGTCTAACGCGGATGTATTTCATCACAGCTTCTTACCAAACAGGACGAGCATTACTGCAGATTTACTGTGTGTATTGTGAAGAACTGAACACAATGACGGAGAAGCTGGCACAACTCCAACCAGGTTTTGTCAATCGTTCGGTTCCACTGCTCCTGCACGACCACGTACGACCTCATACTACACAATTGGCGGTACCCAAGCTACAAGAGCTGGGGTTTGAAGTTCTCCGTCATCCGCCGTACTTAACAGACCATGCGCCTACAGACTTCTAATTCTTCCAGAATTTGGATAACGTCTTAGCGGGAAAAAAATAAATTCCCGAGAGGCAGTACAAAATGCCTTTGAAGTATTTGTTGCCTCCCGTCCAGCTGATTTCTTCAAGAAGGCATCATTAAGCTACCAATGCGTTGGCAAAGATGTATTGATTGCATGGGTGATTACTTTGATTAATAGAAATAAGAAAATAAAGCTTCATTTATTTTATTAAAAACGGAAATTTCATAGATAAAGACTTAATTAATACTTCAAATCCGGTTGAGACCGGATTTATCCGATCAGATGGTAACTAATGGCGCATTACCAACAGTACCAGCAATACCAACTCTACGTCTTTTTAGGTACATCTACGTATTATAAGCCTTTCCTACAAACCAACGTACTATAATCAACCACAGAAGCTAAGTATTTTCTACTAAAAATTTTCAAATTAGCTTAACACACTAAAGGGGCATAATTTTCGGTAGTTCTGCAAAAAAGTTAATATACGTTCCGTTACATACTATCGCACATTCACCTCGTCACAAGTCACGCCATTAATTTTAAAAACCAAGTACTGTATTTATTTTTACCCACTCTCTTCATCTCACTAGGAAAAAATGAATTTTCAGTTCTCCGTAATTTTACGTCGTACGTAAAACCAGCTTTTTAAATAAATAATAATTTTATAATTAAATTTAAATAATTATTATTGAAAAAAAATATTATTAAAAAGGAACAAAAAAATTTAAAATAATTTAAACCTGATGTATTAAATATTTGCATTTTTATATGTTACATTGTGATTGACAAACAAATAAACGGAGGAAAAGTGGGTGAAATTTAGCTTGTAAGATTTGAGTACAAACACAGAAAACATTTTAATATATGCGCAATAATAGAAATTTAAACTAAAAATTGTTTCTTGAAGCATTAACTAGTCGACTCACCAGAACAGGAGAGTTTCCTCCTATAAGATGCAAAACTGTATCAACCAATACGTCCAGTGTGTTCAGACACAGCACGTCCACATCGGGGTCCAGTTCGTCTTCATCTATGGGCTGATCAGGGTCTTCTTTCTTCCATAATAACGTGACCAATTCGCCGAGCATTTCCGCGCATTGGGACAGCTCGTCGCGACGAGCTAGGTGGACTCGGAGATGATGACAAGCGGTAGTCAGTACTATGTTACGCGCCTCTGTAATTTTTATTTTATGGGCATTGTATATTGGGACATGAATTGTTAAACATCGTCAGTTTACTAAGTGGTTAAAATAAGAATAGGACTGCCAAACAGCCATCTTGGTTCGCATTACGTTTCGACTTCAAGGTGTAAGGTGTGCAAAAAATATATTTATTTCATTACGACACAATAACATTTGTAATTGAATCCAGTCATACGTCAACGCCATTAGTATGGCCAGAGCGTTAACGTTGTAACAAAAATCATACTTAGTAACAAAGAAAAGGCCAAGAGAGTAATTTAGAACATATATTTTATTAATTATTGATTAGTGTAATCAATACTAATAATAAATCCAATAATTCAATTTATTAATAAGTCATATTAGTTGTTTTTAATCGTAAGCCATATTAATGTTTGACTGTATGTATGAATGTTGCGTACAAGTAAAAATTTTAATTTCATTACACTTATTTGGGAGATATAACTCTTTGAAAAACTTAAAAAAAACTAGAAACTTAAAAAAAACTAGGGACTTAAAAAATATATTACACATATTGCTTAAATACATATGGCTTTAAATTAGTTAAATCAAATATAAACGCAAATATTACAAAGATTGCCCAGAAGCTATCGTATAACAATAAAAATAGTTTTTTTTTTTCACGTCACAACTACAAAACAACATGGCTTCCAACGTTTTCGTCCAATTCGAAATTCGAGAAAGGGAAAGTTTAGATGTAATTTTATGACACTTACTGACTTCATTTTTTTTTCTCCACGGTTTACTCGGACATTAGGATTGAATTGAGATACTTTTCAGAAAGAAGAAGGTGTTATACGCTTTTGTGAAATCTTACCAGGATCCTGTCCGAGTGGCCCGTTGAGTATTTCTTGTGCGGCGGCCAGTCTCGCTTTTGCCAGTGGGGGTGGCGCATTAGCTGCGGGCGCGTCCAGCATCGAGGCAGTTACCCGAGCGGCCTCCACTGGTCCGAGAGCTGACGCCACTTCCTTAGCGACACTAGCCCATGACGTCATCAGAGCCACCTGTATCAAACAAAATAATATACACAATTCTTCATCAGATACTCACTCAGAATTCACCAAAAGAATGGAAAATAATACTGAGCAATTAATGTTCATTACTTGCAGCACTGTTGAATTTATAAATATGTAATGGTATTGTAACACATGGTTGAATTGAGAATTTAAAGGTAAGAACCTCTGTTAAAGGATTTCGATTCTCATTTGATTTTTTAATGATAATAGTCTAATAGTCCTACTTTTATCAAACTACTATCAACATTTTAATAATTCTAGGACTGTTAGACTTGTGAAAAATAGAAAACTTAAGTTATTGAGGAATATTCAGTTGATATTTTGTCCTTCTCTGAATTCAGAAATCGGTTGCAAGTCTTAAAATTCGTCATACTTATCATCACAGTATAGGGAATATTGAAACATTTTTTATTACTTCCCCTTTATCAGCGAAAGTAAGCAAAGCTCTTTTCCGTAATTTGAAATCTAAGAAAACTCACACTATCTAAGACTTCAGTCTTTATATTACAAAACAGACCAAAATCTGAGCATAATATAAAAGTTCGACTCATCGTCGTCATCCCCTTTTACGTCCCCACTGCAGAGGCTCAGGCCTTCATTATGGATGATTAAGGCGGATGGACCCTCTACGCTGACCGAAAGTCGACTGCTATATCGTCATCATCAGCCCTTTTACGTCCCCACTGCGGGGGCTCAGGCCTTCCTTATGGATGGTTAAGGAGGATGGGCCATGACCCTCCACGCTGGCCCAATGCGGATTGGAGAGTATTAACGACTGAAAATGCAGCCGGTACCAACGGCTTAACATCCTTTCCGAAGCACGGAGTAGCTCGAGATAACACTTTTCGGCCACCCATCCCGTGACCGTCCCTTGCGAAAGTACTTAACAATAACGATCGCGGGCCGCGGCGTGTAACTACGCCACCGAACTAAACGAGCGACTGCTATGTATGTCCAACTTATTCCACAAATCTAATCACCTGAGCCGGTTGCAAATGTTCCCTATGGGGATGTTGCGCAAGAGCTTTGAGAGCATGTAAAGCTGCGCGCACATCTCTCCTAAAACTGTCTTCATACTGTCCACCGGTAGCGCGAGCGAACAATCTTCTAGAACGTACTGCCAACCGGAACACTGCGCCGAGGGAACGCAAACATTTACGTATCGGCTCTTGCCCTTCCGCTCCTGCTGCCCATTCTGCGCAATGTTGCACTGATGATAAAAGTCCCCTGAAAAATATAATCCGGCGTATAATTCCCGCAAATAGCTAATACGCATGGCCGCCATTTTGGCGTTCAACAAACAATACCGTTAACTAATAAACACTGGTTGACGTTAACAAATAAACATTGTATGTTTAAACTATTGTCCCACCAAAATAAGTCAAGACGTCTCAACTTGAAGTTATCTTTGTCATTGGTAATATGCATTATGCCGTCAATGGTCTGAACTAAGTTCTTACTTTAGTCCTCGTTTTATAATAAAGCAGTATATATAAATTTTACATATAACACAAGGTTTTTATAACAGATTTAGTCATCGTAGGTATGCCTTTAATATAAAAGTAAGAAAAAAATACAAAGTCTACTTCTACTTAAACAAAACCAAATATAAGCTACTATATCACGAATATTGTATTAATACAATTTTAAGTAAGGCAAAAGAAAAGATCAAGATAAACAATAAAGATCATATTCCTTTGATATATAAACAATAAAACTTACTTATAAACTAGAGCTGCAGAGAAATGTTCCTCAATGTAAACATCAAGTACTGGTCTAAAGTGCTGGAAACGACTCTCGTCGAGAAGACTGCATATCGACACTAGCACTAAGAATACCGTGCCAGAGTGTGGAGTACTAGAAATAATAAAAAACAGTAATCAAACGTATAGTTACATCATTTCAGATATATATATCACGCTGAATGGTTTTAACGATGGATTCAAACAGGTCGAGAGTGAGATATGCGGTACACTCATATCCCTCTTTCGGTCCTGCTCTAAGCCGTTTCAAGAGTCTCTCGAATTTGTCATGCATGCTAACCCTGCAGATATTGAATTTCTAATTCTCCGCTATCAGTCTTGAACACAATATCAAGGTGAATTTCAATCCAATCCAATAGCGATCTTAAGTTTCAGAAACAACTCTTAACATAAGACTCTATACTTACTCAACGTCAATTAGTTCAATTAATAACCACGCAATATTGGGCTAATTGGCGCTAGCGTTCCAAATCAAGAGTACAAAACATTACAATTGCAAACGTTCTTTCGAAAGTAATTATGGTGGTCTTTTTAGGCTAGGTATATTTGAAGAGTTGTCATGAACAAAATTATCTGTTTTCCTAACGAAATTTAACAATCGCTAACATTATAAATAAAAAATATATATATACGTGAAGTAAACATAATAAACTGACCTGTTACCATCTTCCGTGGAGAACAAAGCGAAAAGAGCATCAAGAACATCCCTGAGAAATTTGATCAGCTCTTCACAGCTGAGGCCGTCGCCTAATCGCAACACCCGTAAAAGCGTCTCTTGCACCTTCTCTGGATGAGCGCGCCATTGCAGCAACGCTAATAAATCCTCTGCGACAAATATTTTAAATTAGAAAAAAATAACCAAATGTGAAACCTAATGGAATACTGAAATACTATCTATCGATCTCTTCATGTTATCTCCCTTGCGGATTAGGGAGAGAGGATCGAGTGCCTCAAGACTAGGTCCTTAAATAAATCTTTCGCCTCCTCCAATTTCATTACTCATTAAAATTGGAGGAGGCGCATAACAGCACGTGATTGGGATAGTCAAATGTGTATCGAACCTTACTCGGCTTCTACATCCCTCCACTTTCGCTACGTTTTGTGTCTTAGTATTGATATTTTTACATTCAGCCTTCTTTTCAAATGTCCGAACCAATGGATCAAATATGCTGGTTTAAAATTGTGAAACTACCATATAACCAAATTTTCGCAACATTATTATTATTATTATTATTTATGTAGATTTTTACACCGACGCTATCTTTTAGGTCAACCAATACAGAAACTACTTTTTAAATTATTCTTTATAGAAACTTTGATACTCTCTGAGTTAAGCCTAACAAATCCACTAGTAAACCAATTGCAAATTTTCCGGACTTATTGAAAAATTTCAATTTTACTCTATTAGGAATTTCATTCTATGAAAGTAATTTCAATATTCCATATTAAGGATAACATTTCTCATTCTGTTACTTTCCTTTAGCTGTTGCTTAATTTTTGGTCTTGTTAATTGCTCAAAACCATTGAGATCAGATCAGAACATGTTCTGTAACGATAGGGTAACACTGACAAAAACTTTAAAAAATATATAACCGTTTTGTCATGCTAAGCGAGCATTATTCGTAATCGACTGCAGGACGCGAAGGAAATTATTTATGAATTGTTAGTATTTTATAATTGTTAGTATGAAAACATAATGATCCTCTTACACACTTCTTCGGCTATCTGGCGTGTAATCATAATGCCAAAAGCGCAAGGGACAGTACTAAAGTTATTTACTTTAAGTAAGACGACATAATTGTGAGTTTGCAACTTGATATTTTGTAAATATTTCCTTTGACTAATAAACTAGGATTTCTGAATTAAAATAGCATACCGTTTTGCGTAAGTTTCGTGGAGCAGAGCAGTGTATTGATAGTACAGTTTTCTTTTGAGCTTTTTTGAAATGAAGGCGCGACACCATTCACTGGCGCCATACGCGCGGAATCGCTCGCGCAAGACGCTAGCGACAGATAACTTGCCGTCGCCAACCTGTATATAAATAAATAAATAAATAAATAAATACTGTTACGGAGTGCAGCGGCGCGGTTCGTCTTCACATTACTAGATGGCGTTATGCGCCAACGAATCACGCTAACACCGTTGAAAGTATACAAATAAATGTTACGACAATGAAGAAGTATTTAATTAAAAAAAAAAACATTAGTTCCCGAAATCAAACAAGATCTTGCTATGATACTTTATTGGTTTCTCCATGACATCTCATCCTCCCTCTCTTCTCCTTCTTTCATGTATAAAAGTAATTTTTTTTCCATAACTCGATAAACAACTGATATTCTATTTGTACTTTTTCGTATTTGTATTGATATCTAAGTTTCAAACTTTGTAAATTTCAGTTTTTTAATATGTTAATTAAAACTTTTGGTAGAATCGCCATCTAGTGAGGTGCTTTTTAGCATATATCGATTTCAAGGTAAGAGAGTTATTAAGCAGACTTAACCAAGGTTACCCTAGTACCAGGTTCTACGGGACGGGAGTAATATTTAGTCCTAGAAGGAAGTAGGTTTGCTTATACTCTATATAATGTGTATTTGGAATTGCAATTTTAAAATTTACGTAAATTTACTCTGACGCTTATCGTCGTTTATTAATAGCATTGTAATGGTCTAGTCTTGTGGAAATCTGAAAATAAAATGCATATTAGATTGTTTAAAACGGTAATTAATGTGATAGATTGATAGTTAGATTTTTCACCTATATATAAATAGCAATCAATTTATCGCGTTTATACCCGTTTCAAACAATCATTATATTAGATAATATGCAACGCGAAAGTTTAAAAGTTTATATAATAAAATGCTTGTCCGCAAATAAATTTATTAATGAAAATGTCAGAGTGTTTTTTTTTTATGTCTAGTAAGTAGTATTAGCAATTTTTTCACGACTTCGACTGCGTAAATTACAGCATATATCACCCGCGTATGATGGTATGATGTAAATGCCTTAATTAGATTTAATGTGAACGTGAATGCAATCGAAGAAGTGAAGTTTGATTTTAGATAGATAGATAGATAGAATATTCTTTATTGTACACACAAAGACAAAAATACATTTATATGACGAAAACAGGAGACGTACAATTGGCGGCCTTATCACTAAAAGTGATCTCTTCCAGGCAACCTTGGGATGGAGTTAAATATAAAAGATCTAATGATGGGGTAGTGGATGGTGTACATATAAACAATTTGTAAATATGCATAATTGACAATTGTTATTTACTTATTATAATTCAATTTTATAATAGACTTACATACACTATAATATAATATCTTTTGAGGGTGTTGATCCGGCTCTATGGACCAAACTGTAGACGATGTTGTATAACCGTGGATGATGGTGAAAAACAAAGACGAATTTCTTCTATAGGCGTTTTATTTTTCTTCTTACTGGCTACTTATTACTGCTTGACTATACTGCTTGACTGACTTGACTTGACTACAAAATATTTACAAATTTGGCCCTACCCTTATTCTAAACTTAACATCTAACTTAGCTACTAGTGACGCGCGGCGGCCGACCAATCACAGCGCGTTTTACGCCCGCGCGCCGGGTGGGGGAATCGCCCCCACCGTGCGGACGGCGCATACGCAGCCAATGGGCTCCCTGAGAATTCCGCAAATGTAGGCGCTGTGATTGGTCGTTCGATCTGTACATTTTTCGGCACGTGGCTGTCGTCAACAGTCTCCCCCCGGCGAAGGATCTCCGCAGCCTCCTCCGGTTGGCAGCCCCGTGCCCGTCGCGCAGCGCGTCCTCTCTCATCGTTCCGTGGAGAGTGCAGGTTCGACGACGATCAGCTTCGATGTCGGCCGCCGAAATGTTCCTCCTCTTGTCGTTATCTCCACGTTCCGAATCACGCCGTCAGGTCCAGGGTAGGTATTGGCTACGATGCCGCGTGGCCACGTGTTTCGAGGCAGAGCGTGGTCGGCTATGATAACCACGTCTCCGGTCCGTACTTCGCTGCTTCGTGGACGTTGTGGGTCGCGGCGTGGTACGAGGGTCGGTAGGTACTCTCGTAGCCAGCGTTTCCAGAAGGCGTCGGCTAGTGCTTGCGTCGCCCTCCAAGTCCTGCGGTCGCCCTCTTCACATGGCCCGGTGTATGGAAGGCCAGTCGATGACCCCAACAAGAAGTGGTTTGGGGTTAGCGCCTCCGGATCGCTTGGGTCTACGGAGACATGCGTCAATGGTCGTGAATTGACAGCATGTTCCGCCTCGGCCAGTAGAGTGTGCAGGACTTCCTCCTTCGGTGCTCGTTCCTTTAATGTTGCGTTGAGCGCGGTTTTCACGGAGCGAACCCGGCGCGATGAATTTCCATGTGGCATCGTAGTTCATCGCCTCTCGATTCAGCTCGGGAAGCCACTCGGTGTACGCCTTCTTGAGCTCGGTGTCAGCCCCTCGGAAGTTAGTGCCGTTGTCACTATATATTACGGCGGGCCATCCTCGTCGTGCTGCCATTCTTCGCAGCGCCATGATTGCGGAGTCAGTGGTGAGTGATGCCACCAGCTCCAGGTGCACGGCGCGTATCGTCAGACAGGTGAATAACGCCACCCATCTTTTCTCTCTTCGTCTCTCAATTTTGATGGTGACTGGCCCGGAGTAATCAATCCCACAATGACTAAAGGGACGTCTGAAGGGCTGTAAACGTTCTGCAGGCAGATCCCCCGACGGCGGGCTCCTTGGCTGCGATCTTCGTAGTCGACACATAAGGCAGCCTGCTGCGACTTTCTTAACTGTTGGTCGCAGCCGCAGGATCCAGTACTGCTGCCTGACGTCGTTGACCACTCGCTCGTTGTTGCAGTGTCCCGCTCGTCTGTGCTCTCGATCAATAATTTTCTTCGCGAGTTCGTGGCGTCCGTCCAATAATACCGGCTTCTTCGCTGTTTCCGGTACGTCCGCCTTGTTAATGCGTCCGTTTAGTTTCACAAGCCCGTCTTCCCAGGTGACGTCGTAACGGTGTAGAGGGCTCGTTCGTGCTACGGGGACTCCTTTCTTCAGGCACTCGATTTCTTGGCTGAAGGAGTCTTGTTGCGCCTGCTGCAGCCATAAATTTGTCGCTCGGTTGAAATGTTCGCGGCTGAGTGTCTTCGTTCTGTCGCGACATCTTTCAACGAAGAGTAGCGCTTGTGCTGTTGCGCCGATCAGTCGCTCGAACGTCGAGAATCGTTCTATCTCCGGTAACGCCGCGTTTCTCTCTGTTGTGTGCGTGATGACGTGCGTTATTTCCATCGTTTTCTCGTCTTCTCGATCCGTTGGTTGCTTCGGCCATTCCGATCTTGGTAACTTCAAGAAGGATGGTCCCGTGAACCACAGGTCGTTTTCGTCGGCTGGCGTATACCCAGCGCGTGTGGCGATGTCGGCCACGTTCAGATGCGTCGGTATCCATCGCCAGTCTTGCGGTCTGGATAACTCAGTTATTTCTCCCAGACGGTGTGCGACGAATGGAGTGTAGCGCTTGCTTCCATTCCGCAGCCAATGAAGCACCGTCTGAGAGTCGCTCCAGTACACGGTGTCGTCGACGTTGACACGGTGTTCCTCTCTGATTGCTTTCGCTAGTCGCGTTCCGATGAGGGCCGCTTGAAGTTCCAGGCGCGGTACGGTTTGGGTCTTCAAGGGCGCGACCTTAGCTCTTGCCGCTATCAGAACTGTCTCGATGACATGGCCGGGTCCGTAGTGCAACCTCCAATACGCCGCCGTTGCGTAGGCTTCTTCGCTGGCGTCGCAGAATACATGAAGCTCACGGCGACGCACTTCTCTCCCCCCGTTGTAACTACGGGGTAGCTGTAGTTGGTCGATTGCTGGCAGGCTTGTCAACCATGCATCGAAGTCCTCGCTCAAGTCGGATGGTAGAGGGTCGTCCCAGCCGGTCTTGAGGCGCCATAGTTTTTGAAGAGTTATCTTCGCTGTGATTGTGAAGCAGCTGAGCAGTCCGAGCGGATCGTATATGCTCATCACCGTCGATAATGCTTCTCTTTTCGTCGGCGGGCGTTGTCGAGACTTCACTGGCAGTGGGACTCTAGGCAGGGCGGTATTGAAGCCCAGCCGATCGGTACTCGCATCCCAAAGCAGGCCCAATGCCTTCTCTGTGTCTCCAAACGTCGTCGTCCTGCCTTTGGCTCTACTATCCGGGTTCACGGCTTGTAGTAGCTTCCTATTGTTACTGTTCCATCCCCTCAGGTGGAATCCAGCCTTCTGGTGCACTGCGTCGACTTGGGTGATGACTTCGTGGGCCTCTCTCGGATCATTGAAGCTGTCGACGAAGTCATCCATGTAGTGCGCTTCGGTGATTGCGCGCAGTGCTGCAGGGTGCGTCTCAGCATGCTGTCTCGCGTTGTGGTCCCTCACGCTGTGTGCGAGGAACGGTGAGCTCGATGCGCCGAAGATCATCGATGTCATCTTCAGCTTGCGCGGTGGTTCATTCTGCCTGCAGTCGCGCCACAGGAACATCTGTGCGGGTTGGTCCTCGCGGCGTATCTTGATTCGCAGGAACATTTCCTCGATGTCAGCTGTCACCGCGTATGCGCCCTCTCGGAACCGGAATAAAATGGTCTGCAGCGATCTTAGCAGATCCGGCCCTTCGAGTAGGTGATCGTTCAGGCTGACACCTCGAATTCTTGCTGCTGCGTCGAAAACCAGTCGCAACTTCCCGGGCTTATTGGGATTCTTGACGGCGAAATGCGGCAGGTACCATGCGACGGGGCTTGCGTCCTCGGAGCCGTCGCAGGGTTCGGCGTATCCCTTTTTCACGAGGTTGTCGATCCTCCGCTGGTATTCTTCCATGTCGCGTGGATCTTTCTTCAGCTTGTTCTCAAGATTTGTGAGCCGGCGGAGTGCTGAGTCGTAACTCCGTGGCAGTTTGGCGTCGTCGTTTCGCCAAGGCAGGCCCACTTCGTATCTGCCGTCCTTGTGCTTCACGGTGCGTTCGAACGTGGAGACGGCACGCTTGTCCTCTTCGCGGACGTGTGATGCGTCGAGCGACACTCCGAGTGAGTCGATCCGGAAGTGTCTCGACACGAGTTCCTCGAGTCGGTCGTCTGATGCTTCGGTCGTGACGACATGTAGGATATCCTCGGTGCGGCGAAGCGATCTCGATGGCGCCGTCCCGTGGATTACCCATCCGAGTTCGGTTTTGGAGGCAGCTGGTTCCTTGGTTTTTCCTGACCGTAGTTCGCGGGTCACTATGAGCTCCCAGTTGTCCGTCCCGATCAAAATGCGAGGCTTCGCATTCTTGTATACGACTTCTCGCTCGTCGAGATCTCTCAGGTGGCGTAGCTTCATCGCCTCCGCCGGTATCGATTGCGGCGTGAGGTCCAGGCCCACCATGGTGCGAGCGTTGATTTTGAAGATCTGGTCACTGCGCGTTCCCTTTATTCCAATCTTCACTCGACGGCTCTGCACGTGACTTTGCTTCTTATTTATTCCTCGGACGTTGAGCTGTGCGGTCGGTCCGTCGGCGCCGATCTGTCGCGCCAGGTCGTCGTCTAATAAGGTGACCGTCGAGCCTTCGTCGAAGAGCGCGTAGGTGTCGCAGCTCCCACGTTTGCCCGTGATTGTCACGGGGCAAATCTTCAATTTGACGGCGCGGCTTGTCGTCGTGGCAGCCGTCGTCGTTTCGGTGGTGGCTGGTTCCATCGCGGCCGCGTTTGAGTCGGTCGCGCTCGTAGCCACGTCGTTCGTCGTTCCACGCTCATCTGCGTGCAACAGTCGGTGATGCGGTCGCTTGCATCCGTTGATTCCGCAGAGTTTCTGTCGGCAGTTCAATCGACGGTGTCGGCCCACGATGCATTTGAAGCAAAGGCCCTCCTTCTTCACCAGCTCCCATCGGTCATCATACGTTAGCTGCTTGAACTTTGGGCAGCTAGGTAGTGTGTGGGCTTCCTGGCATGAAAGGCATCTGCGCTGCGGTGCTTCTTCGGTGGCGACGTACACCGTCTTCTTCTTAGCCTCCGGTCTGGGGGCGGGGCGAGGCGTTTCACGTGTTCGTTGCGATGTGGAGGGTGCGGTGAGGTTCGATACATAGTTGTATCGCATGCAGCGGTCAGCTTCCTTCATCAGGAACGATGAAAGTTTGAGTAGATCGGCGTTCGGGCCCGGCTGTGACTCGGCGAAGTTGCACCAACTCGATACAAGGTAGCTCGGCATCTTGTCCAAGACTTCCCGGGTCAGCAGTGGGTTAAGTAGGTACTCTGGCTGCACGTTCCTCAGGACGGCCACGACGTTCTGTAGCTTCACCGCAAACATGTTAAGATCGTTCGCGGTAGGTCCAATCTTCGGCAGCTTCCGTAGATCGGCGAAAGCCATGTCCACTAGTCTTTCTGGCCTTCCGTAGCATTGCTCCAGTGTTCGCATGATCTCGTCGGGGTGCGTCGCGGTGCTCAACAATGATGCGACGTTTTCCCGAGCTTCTCCACGTAGGCAGTTTCTTAGTCTTGCCATATTCTCTGTAGGTGTGAATTCGTACAGCCGCGTTGTTTCTCGCATCGCAGTCGCGAACTGTAGCCATTCCAGCGGTGAACCAGAGAATATCGGTAGATCCGATGCTTGACGCGGCGGCGGTCGTGACTTCACGAGGGTTTCGAGGACAGAGGCGAGTTGATCGATGCCTCTGCCTCGCGATGACGACCGTCTTCGTTCTTCCCTATCTGGGCGTCGCGTGTCGCGTTCAGGTGGCGGTTCAGCCACGGCGGTCCTTGAGAGCTCCCCCCGTTGTTGGTCGACGTTCGCGTCGTCGAGCCACTCGAACACTCGATCTTGTAATTTATTTGCCGGTTCTTCAGCTTCGGGTTCGCTCTCTGCTCCGTCTAGCGTTTCTAACTCGATATTGAGCGTCTTTTTTATGAGGTCCGCTTCAATTTCGAGTTCTCGGCGTCTTATGGCAGCCAGTCGTTCTTCTGCTTCGATGCGTAGCTTCCGGCGTGCCGCGTTGCTCGCTGCCGAGCGGGTCGAACGCGCGACGTGCACTCTCCTCGCCGGTTGCACCGATGACGTCATCGCAGATGTCGTTATTCCAGTAGTCGCCGCTGTGTCCGTTGGGTGTGCTGCGCGTTCGTCCGCTCCGCTCGGCGGCTGCGTAGTCACTGCCAAGGCGACGCGTGCTCCGGCAACGTCTGCCCCAGCGCGGTTCGCGTTAGGCGCTAGTTGCGAGACTTGCGGTGCGGTGCGTAGGCTCTCCCCGGCGTTACCCGTCTCGAGGCGTCCTCGTACGGTCGGTGTACTTGAGGGCGATCTCGGCGGCTGGTCGAAGACACGACGTTGGTTTTCTTCGTCTTGGCTTCTTGTAAGCACCATCTTGAATCGCTGTTGCTGGATCTCGAAGGTTCTATACGTGTTTAGATCCGGCTTCTCGAAGGACCAAAACTTTTGAGGGTGCTGATCCGGCTCTATGGACCAAACTGTAGACGATGTTGTATAACCGTGGATGATGGTGAAAAACAAAGACGAATTTCTTCTATAGACGTTTTATTTTTCTTCTTACTGGCTACTTATTACTGCTTGACTATACTGCTTGACTGACTTGACTTGACTACAAATATTTACAAATTTGGCCCTACCCTTATTCTACACTTAACATCTAACTTAGCTACTAGTGACGCGCGGCGGCCGACCAATCACAGCGCGTTTTACGCCCGCGCGCCGGGTGGGGGAATCGCCCCCACCGTGCGGACGGCGCATACGCAGCCAATGGGCTCCCTGAGAATTCCGCAAATGTAGGCGCTGTGATTGGTCGTTCGATCTGTACATTTTTCGGCACGTGGCTGTCGTCAACAATATCTATTATCATATAAAATACAATACATATATAAATATATAATACCTATATACATACTTTCATGGACAGGTAGTGCTCTCTGACAAGTTTCCTAAATATATTAAGAGAATTAGCTTTTCTAATCGACAAAGGTAGCGCATTCCATAGTCGTACAGCATGGACGGTAAAAGATTTCTCATAGTACTTAGTGGAATGCATTGGCATTTCCAGCCGCAGGTTTTCTGATGATCTCAAGAAGCGGAGGTGGGATTCTTTGACGAATTTGAAACGATCTTTGAGATAAGAAACTATTCTTATATTTTTGTTTATATATTTATTAATTATATTATAAATTATTAACTCTCGAATATGAAATTGTAAGCTTATTCCATTTACAAGGCGCTGTTACCGCATGTTATCTTTTTATTTTAATCAAAGAGACGACAGAATCGAAGGATGAAAAATGAGTGGCATAAATACTTGTCTTAAGTTATTTCATGTATGTACGAGTATGTCTTGGGCTACATGTCAATCTGTCGTTTTTTACTATAACAATACTGACTTACTTTGATGGATCGTCGCATTTATAAACATATAGTTCATGTGCACCGTCTCTTAGTGTCGCTCCACTCGCTTCCATCAAACGAGCGAAAGAGAACCCGAACAGTTTTCTTTCGTTTTTGTCGCGAGCTAAAAAGATATAAATAATATTTCTCATTAGGTAAAGTCAAAACCATTCTTAGGTTTGCACTTAGGAAGGACTAAGTTTGCAGTTTTCCAGTCTTAACATTTGCATGTCAATAAACTTTGTAGACTGGGAAAGTGCTCCCTATTTAATAAGTTAGCAAAGGTAACCTAAACTCTTCGATTAAATGCATAAGCAAATATTGAAGCCATATGTCTGAATTAGAGAACCCACTAACAATAATTTAAAAAGTGGCCATTCAATTATTTATGCCTTTTATTATCAAGCAACACTTTTGGTGTATCAATTTCGCACTTTTTGATGAAGATGTCTGATAGTAGAAGATCCGAACCTAAATCGACCTTCACCGGGTTGATAATGGAATAAAACTTATTGTATAATTAATTTAGTATATTAGAAAATATATTAAAAATGGGTTCGCTAAAAAAATCCTGGACAGAATATTTTTAATTATTTTTTAAAAAATATTTTTTTATTAAATGTTGCAACATCAAGATAATAAGAAAAATTTAATTCTGACTTAAAGTATAAAACATATAGAATGTGCAGACGTTGGGTTGTCTATTATTTACCTGGACGAACTACTGGGTTGTCAGGTATAAACAGGTATATCGATGCCAGTTAATTTCACTTGATTTGATAATAAAAAAAAAATTATATCAACATAAGCGCTGTTTCATTACGAACACATTGATATAGGGTTGTCTGCAAAAAATTCGGTCCTAATACGGGTTTGCGAATTTTAAAAATTAAAATTTTAACGCGTGGGAAAGTGAGTGACAGAGAGATCCGAGGAAAGTATTTTATAACAGGTAATATTGTAACCTATACAATCGAGCGCTGCTTTAGTAAGCTCAACTTCATGATATTTAAAGTTTTTGTTTTTACGAAAAGCTAGCTTCAACGAACAATTTTTAAAAGTTTCAACAGTAAAATCATTTAAAGAATCGTCCGAACCACACAAAAAATACTTTTTAGCCATTTTTTATCACAACAATACAGTATAACATACTCCAAAATAACGTGCTCTGTTTACTATACCTCCACCCTCCATATTTTACATTCCGAGCATGCGCACTTTCATATATTCAGGGTCCGATCAGATGCGACTGCAATGTTGGGTCCTTTACTATTACACGGTATACTTTCCTCGGATCTCTCTGTCACTCACTTTTCCACGCGTTAAAATTTTAATTTTTAAAATTCGCAAACCCGTATTAGTACCGAATTTTTTGCAGACAACCCTATATCAATGTGTTCGTAATGAAACAGCGCTTATGTAGATATAATATTTTTTTTTATTATCAAATCAAGTGAAATTAACTGGCATCGATATACCTGTTTATACCTGACAACCCAGTAGTTCGTCCAGGTAAATAATAGACAACCCAACGTGTGCACATTCTGTATGTTTTATACTTTAAGTCAGAATTAAATTTTTCTTATTATCTTGATGTTGCAACATTTAATAAGAAAATATATTTTTTTTAAATAATTAAAAATATCTAGTCCAGGATTTTTTTAGCCAACCCATTTTAATATATTTTCTAATATACTAAATTAATTATATAATAAGTTTTATTCCATTATCAACCCGGTGAAGGTCGATTTAGGTTCGGATCTTAGACTATGAATCCCTATCGAATAGGGAATATTATTTAATTGATGTACAGAAACAGGCCGGGTTGTTCTATACCATATTTATATTATCAATTAATTTTAAACCTTTAATATCTTGAAGATATGATTTCAATATGGCTCTGCCAAAGCTTGAGGTAATTGATACAGGCGAGGGGATGTAAACGCAATATGATATTTCTGACCCGGTTGGAAAAAATGTCAATCCGCGTCTATTGCCACTACAGGCCTCCCGATGACGTTAGTCCGCCACAGATTAAAAATTCACAGTGAATATGGGTGTGATACTAACTGGAACAGTGACGGAACTCTATTCGCACGTGAGCGTGGGTGAACGTATCGAGCGGAACAGTGAGGCGGAGCTGTTCGCCCCACAGTGGACTGTTGTTGTGATATAACACGAGTGACTCGTAACAAGTACTGCCGTTACCGCTAGCACCCCATACACACTCCTGTAAAAATATAACAAAAGCTTTTGTATTCTATACTAATATTATAAAGAGGAAAGATTTGATCGGTTGTTTGTTTGCTACTAATCGGCTACGGAATACGGCTACTGAAACTACTGGACCGATTTTAGAAATTCTTTCACCTACGGGAAGCTACTTAAGCCTAAATTTTATCCTGAAAATCAGCAAGGAAATAGGAGTGGCAGATTTTGCATAGGGAACTAAAACGTTGTCATAGTAAACATTGTTTACTATTCAAATTGTCATTGTAATTACATCCGTGTCATGATATGAATGAATATCTAAAAAACAGTACCCTAGGGAATACGCGAGCGAACCCGCAGGCGAAAGCTAGAATACTATAATTATCAATTTAACAACACTTCAAAAATTTCACCGTTTCAGGTGCCCGAGACGGGATTTGCACCCATATTTTTTTTATAAACGATCATAAGCATGGGAGATAACTTGATGCTATATTATAAACTAGCTGTACCCACGACTTCGTCCGAATGGAAAGTAGCTTAAGATACCCCTTATTGCTTAAGCTATCTGCCAATGAATGTCCCGTCAAAATTGGTCCAGCAGTTTCAGATATTAGCCGATACAAACAGACAGACAGACAAAAAATTTTAAAAAGTTAGTTCATTTCATTTATTTGTATAGATTTATAATATATTACTAGTGATAGTGAAAATATATCTAGACTAAATTGACCGAAACGTATAAATTAAAAAATGTTTTCATTACTTAACAACATATATTTATGGCTCAGTTACAATAGCCGACGAGGTCAGCACCCGGATTGCGGGCGACTTCTGTGCGTTTATCTCATCATCAGCCTTTTGACGTACCCATTGCAGGGGGTCAGTTCTTCCTTATGGATGTTTAAGGATGGGTCTTGACCCTTCACGCTGGTCCAATGCAGATTAGAGATTAACGATTATTTAACGACCGCAAATGCAGCCGGGATCAACCGGGACCAACGAGTTAAGTGCCTTCTGAAGAAACGATATAATATTTTTTTGGTCACCCATCCCGTGACCGACCCTTGCGAAAGTTGCTTGAAAACAACAATCGCAGGCCGCGGCATTTATCCACTATGCCACTTCTCACGCTACCCTCATCTCATTGGTCAATAAATCGCATCTCCCGCACACCGCACGCGGATGTCATCGACCAGTGTAACCGAGCTATTACAACAAAAACTGACATTTATAACTTGTCCTGTATTATCATGTACGCTGACAGTCGCGAGGACATTCTTGGCGGTACTCTTGCCTCCCCTCTCGAACTCTGCTCTCTCCAGGGTCAAATAGAGATCGTTTCTGACGTCGCCGGGCATGATGATGTCAGGGAAGCCTCGCTTGGCGGTTATAGTGGCACCGGACGACACAGCTTCCGTTATGCTGCCCGGGTGAGTCAAAAGTCGTAGGGCTACTACGATACCTGGAAAATTCAATGATTTCATCCACTTAGAGCCTTTTGTTTATTTTTATATCTAGCCAAATTATATTAGAATAGAATAGAAAAAAAAAATGGTTTTGTGAACAGCAATTAACTAATAACGCGTTTAAGAGCGAGATAATCGTGTTGGACCATCCGAGAAAAGTGACATCGAAATGGTTTAAAAATCAATCCCGAAAAATATATTCGAGAACATTAAAAAAGGAAAAAAAAAAAACTTTCGAAATATACCATTTTCATTGTACACACTGCTGCACATTAGGACGATATGTTAAATTTCTGAAATAAATTTTGATCTCTACCCTGAATATATTAAGGTTTAAAATTGAGTGGTGTAATTTGTCAATTTTGTATAGTCTGACGTTTTGTTGACTGTACATGCGATATATTTACATAAATAAACATATTATTTATTATCATAGTTACATAACACTTTAGTGTTATCTAATATACTTATATTCGGAATATAAAAATAACCAATTATCTCAACGATATATTTAAAAATAATTAACTATCACATCGGTTATATATATAGATTTACCGTAATTAGGCTGGCCCGGTAAAATATTACACTTGTTTGTTTGCTTCCTTATCAACATGTCGTGTAACTGATGGAAATCTTTTTCCTCGCACTGATAGACCTGTAACAAGAGAATCACTTGTTTGTATTATGTTGCGATTATTAATGGCCAATTAGTTTACAATATAATTGGACCGTTTCTACGTCTCTTCTTATCAAGAAATGGCGAAGTTGTCTCTAAGAGACCACGTTTATTGTGATCATTAGTGAAAATGCTCTAACAAATCAATAATGGTGACGATAAAAAAATAATATTAAGTAGCAATGGGCCAAGTATCATATATCATTCAATATTGAGAATAGGGATGATGACTAATTTTTGTTTGTTTGTCCGTCAGGTAGAGTGTTAAAAAATATTAGACGGACTAAATAGAATTGCATTTTTTTTTTCCAGTCATCATCCCTATTGGACTTCTCGTAATTGATCTAATTGATGATATAATAACAAAACCCTGTTATTAGATCAATTACGAGTAGTCTACCACATATTATTTTATGATTACTATATAACCATATAGTAATCATTAAATAATATGTGGTTCTGGTGGTTAATTAATTTAATTATTATTTCATTTAAATTGCTTATCACTAAATTGGAGATATAACAGCATATCTAGTATAATAAACAAGTTTTCGGGTACAGCTATCACACATCCATACTTGAACCCAGTAACTCGTTCCGAGTACTTGGTGCATTACTAATTTTCATTGTAGTACTTTATTATGGCTTTATTTCTTAAGGATTTATAACTGCAGTGTTTATTCTGCTTTACAAACAATTTCGTATCTGGGATTCCTCAAGTTTGTGGAACTTGGACCGCGTGCTGACTTATAACCAGTTTATCCTATGACGTTTCATTTTGAAATCTTGTTTCATAAGCAGGAGCGTGAATAGGATGATGACTGTTGAAAAGAGCCAGATGCTATCTTCCCTTCAATATATATAAGATCACCTATCTTTAATCAATCATTTTTTATTTCCCTAAATTAGATGTAGAAGCCGGTAGACAACACAGACCGAAGACGTGTTAGCGGATAGTGATGTGAGACGCCAAAAAAACCAACCATATATAATATTATAAATATTATAATATATAAATTTATGTCAATGAATCAAATGACGTATGTAAATATCGTGCTTTCTGGCTGTGAGTTCTGCAAGCCCCGGAGAGAATTTGGCGTGAAAATATAGACAGCTTAGCCATATCTTCCTTAAGCTTCTAAATAAATAAAAAAATGCTTATCTTATGGCTTTAATGATAATGAGTTGAGAGTATAAGCATAATGTTGGCCGCTTCCGGGAAACATAATAAAAATATTGCTAAAGTAAAAATTGTGCGATCAATACGTCACTCTTTTTAAAGCAAACGTTGGGAAAGGTTATGAGTTTTCTATGTATCATCAAAATTGTGTCCAATATTATTTAATAAAATGACGCTATGAAATAAGCAATAAATGCGCTAAGTATTTAGTTTCCAATTTGTAAGTCCATAAAAAAACAAAATTAGGTGATTACAAAATTATTTCTAGCTTCTTCGTGCTTCGAAAGGCACGTGCTATTGGTTATGCCGTTGGTGCATGTGCAATGCAGTCGTTCAAATCTATAGTATAATATATGCTATAATGTATATAGAATAGGTTTTATATTAATGAGCTGAAGATGATAAATAAAACAATTTTTAAATGGACATGACGCTTGATATTTGATTTCATTTTCTGGACTTTTCGTTTCCTTTACAGGTTAAGTGTTCACTTAAAGGAAGATGTGGATGTTTTAAAATACTCCGAAGTGTCTAAAATGCGTTAATCTATTTAAAAGTAGTTTTATTTTATAATAATAAAAGTAGTTTTATAAATATTTAACAAAATAATTTTTACACTAATTTGCAAAATATTATGAATTAAATTAGTAACATAAAAGGTTACATCTTTTATTATAACACTAATGCCTATTTTGCACTGAACTTAGGAGTCGCCCAAATCTTTCACCAATTACAAGGAGCCACCTAACGACTACAAGCAACGCTTAAAGTTTGCATTGTACGGCGCTTTGCGCTGAGCATTTGCGTAATATGACATATACATTTACTCTTTGGCTCTCATTTCAATTAAGTAAGTTGGAATCAAGAAGTTTATATAATAGAATTATGACATAAACCATGAGATTTTATATTTTTTATTGTCTCTTTACGTGTATAGGCCACTAATTTGACATTAGCGGAATTGTGTAAGCACAAAAAGGACATACAATAAAAAAAAGAAGAGGAACTGAAGTATACAAAATCATATGGACATGAAATGTCATTACTCCTATAAGAGCTGGCGAGTTTCTTACTCGTTCTTCTTACCAGCCAAAAGACGTCCTGAACGAGTGGTAGGGAAAAAATGTTGAACGATTCAAAGTACTTTTAAGAAGTCTATTTGAATAAATATTCATTTGACTTTGACATAGACAAACATTGCCTATTTAAACAAGTGCTTAATAAAGCATTACCTATCGTTAGAGGTTTGGTGAAACGACAAATCTGCTTACGCTTATCTTAATCTCAACTGATTTCTTATTAAGCTATGCCTTGTTCTAGGCAGACTAGCAGCAGTTCCACAAACATAGCACCGTATCTGCGAAGTTTCGCGATTAATAGTTATTAATCGCAGACAAGCTCTTACTCCTATGTCATTTCTCTATGTCTATGTCATATTCATGAACTATTAATTAGTAAAATAAAAAAGAAATCAACTAGCCTATTATATGTATTTGTTACCTTAAACGTATACTCTTTCTCGCTGGGCTGTTGGCCCGGCTGCCTAAGGAACTCTGATAGAGGCAGAACCCCTGCACCTAGCGGTCTCCTCGCTACAGGACCCCTCCTCTCGCCAGTACCGCTCCCTCCGCCCGCACCGGCCCACCGACCCACCCGAATAACCCACGCTACAAGCCATAGCTCGCGTGATAGATCTGTTGTTGAAAGGTCCTAGAGAAAACCAAGAGAATAGGGTAAAACACTTTCTTTCTGTTTATAGTTTAATTCATTCGGAGGCATTATTAATATAATTCTCGATAAGTAAGAATACCTATTAATTTGCTGCGACATAAACATATATTAAATTGTCTTGAAAACTAAATTTATTTTAGTGATCAAAACATTTTTGGAAATTTTAATAAATTAACGAACAACTCATTTATGCATTCATTTAGTATCTTCTGTTTAATATTACTTTTATTATAACTTCAATTTACTGATTCAACAACAAAAAATAATTAAACTATTCGTTTGAATATTTTTTTAATAATAAAAATACCCAAAACAAAGCGTTTTTCATTAAAAATACTATGATTATTGGAGTTAACATACTTTAGGGCAATGTTTAAAGTAAATAAACGTACGCATAATTAAGGAGAAAAACAATTTACATAACAAGATTTCCGGCCATCGACCCACAAGCACCCGTGATTTAAAATGGCGACGCGTACTATAAACATAAGATATTTTCACCGGTTGCAACGTTCTGACCAACTATGGCCACGTCTAGTTACTACTAGACACTATAAAAACTCCTTACGTCGCCATAATCAAGCACAAATGTATAAAGTTATAGCAAACATGGTCCGCCCGAGTTTGTTGCCAAGTGAAACTTATCGAGTGGTGCATAAAAGCATATGTTTTGTAACATGACACCCATATTTTGTCTGTATTATGACGACTTATTTTGGCTACGATAAATGCGTCTACCATAGATATTCTATCTGTTTTTACATTTGATCATGTTGTACGAACTTGCTGACTACTGTGACAATACTAGATGAATGTATAACCTGTGATTTATTAATATAATCGGAAAACACTTGTTTTTACTATTACATTTATGAACAGCACACTACATCGTATACACCATACCTTAACCTAAAGAGCAATATTTGAAATAGTCTGAATTATACTGAAAAGGAAAATTGACTGGAATATGAGATGATTGTCTTGGACGAATAATATTAAGAATTAGTCCACCGTTTAGAACGCCGCTACGGAAGGAAAGATTCGTATTTAAATTCGAAAATTGCAGATCTTTTAAAATTGCAACATGATCTGTCAAGGCCGGTCCCATAGGACCTTATAATAAGTTGTGTACCTAGGTACTTGGCCTATACTTATTTTTTACTCTAATTGACAATATAGCATTCTAGTCATCCATATTTTTCTATAAACATTTTATTAAGTCACTTTTTAAGCTATATTTACTCATTAACTTATTAAGAGGAATTCAAAGCTAAGCAACTTTTACAAGAGCCCATCATGGGATGGGTAACTGACATTTTATTATCTTGAGCTCCTTCGTGCTTCTAAAGGCACGTTAAGCCCTTGGTGCCGGCTGCATCTGCAGTCATTAACACCCATAAATCCGCACCCATTCTCCCTACACTAATCGATGTTTCAATAAACTGCTTGCTTAGATTTTGTTTGACAAACAAAACAGGTCACTTACAGCGAACAAGGTGCTGTTAGCATGCAACCTGTCCACGTAGTTGGAGAAGCCGTCTCTTGCTATCCGTACTCTGAAGCGTTCGGACAACGGCTGCGCTCTTCTAGCATCGTGAAGCCAGAGCAACAACTCTGCTTCGTCACCGCCGGCGGTATGACCGAAGTCCCGCATACTGCACATGAGGTGGTACGATTGAGCCGCCGTAGTGACAGTGGTGGTGCCATTTGTGAGGGTGCCAGAGTTGAAACTGCTGCCCGAACCACCAGCGCGACGAAGCGTTCCTCGCCACTGTAGACAATATGATACATGTACACCTTAAGGAGGCACATAAAAGAAAAAAATTGCCCTAATTTGGAACATAACGTCAACTATCGACCAAAAGAATGAAAATCTTTTTATCCAATGTCGATAAACTATGATTGTTTATGTAGGTAAGGTAACTGTTAAGTTTTGCAATTTCAAGAAATATTCTATCAATGTATTTGTTTTTAAATTTAAATGATATGTTCTTAATATGATTATTTCTCTAAATTCACAAGTGGGTAAAATGCCAAACACAAAAATAACGCTAAATAAATATAGACAATTTCATTTATAAGTATTAAAATTAAAAGCCATGTTTTGCCTACTTTTTTTCTTTAATAGCATCAAAGGTATTTGATTTCAACCTTGAAATTAAAAAATATATATTAAGATTATTTGGATGTGTATATTGAACAAAAACAAAATAGGTATATAAGATTTACAACCTATCCCATTGAGTAACTTAATTTTGTTTAATAGGTATATCGATTACTTTATATAATAAACAGATAATATATTTTTTTGAAATATATCAATAAAGAAATACAAATCAATAACTATAAAATTATTTTAAATAAAACTAATTTTTCTTAAATCATTATATAAAAACTTTAGTATATTATTCAATTTACATATCAATGATATCCTGTAATTTTCAATTCTTATAGTAGTCATTTAAAATAATGAACATTTGAAATAATTTCTAATAAAAAATAATACCCAATTTGTTTATTAGGTTTACTACTTTTCTTTTTAAGGAATTTATAATTGAAGTTAGATGAACAACGCATAAATGCCGCTCGCTGGCCCCGCTCTCGCAGCACGCTCGCTTCGCTAGCTCAGTTCGCTTTTAATTTTGGTCACAGTTCTAACCTAACCTAATTATACGTTCCTGTTGAGAACAAAAAATGTGAAGTTTGAATTGACTTATCGGTTTTGTTACAACGATTTCGCACTAACTCTGATAGAGTTCGATCTATCTTAACAAGTGGAAAATTATTCTTACTATTTTAGTTATACCAACTAATAGGTGTATTAAATGAATGTAATATCAACTATTACTTATATTGATTGAAAGTTAAATTAATTGCAATTTATATAAGTCTTGTCTTAAATGGGGCTTAAACATTAGAAAATAAGTGATACTTAAATATTATTCTTATACAAAGGCTCCATAATAAAGAGGTGAGTTTCTAGCCTAATCAAAAATAAACAAAATTGATATCCTTAGAATACTACACAAATTGCAGAATTATAATTTACAGGACCACGTGGTCGGACGGTTAAAAAACGAAATAATATTTGGCATAAGTATCATCTGTGCACATATTCAGAGAGTTTAATTGACGTCATAAAATTCTGATAAGTTTATTACACTCCGAGAGAGCAGAGAAACAGAAAATCTTTATTTAGCAACATTGTCATTATAAAATGCCACAATATCACAAGGTTAACAATATCACAAGAGATTTATCTGTTATAACCATGCTGTAGTAAATTTAAGTGGGATTTCGTGTCTTATCAATAGTTAGCAAATAATAAATAATTTACATACGGAACTTATTGGATGAACCCTAGGACACAGATAAGATAACATGAAATGTATGATATACAATCTCGTTCAATTAAATACAAGTGTAAACTTTACCAAGGCATAATGTACAAAAATAATTTCTAAGTAATATTAACATCTAGATCTAGATCAAGGCTACAATCACATCTAGTTCGTAATCTGAATAACAAACAAACACACGAAATTACAGATGTATTTATCACCTGCATTAATAGCGAGAGCAATAAGTCTCTGACATTATCTGTGCCTTACAGAAATGTGGGTCGTGTAAATAACGGCATAATTAAACAAGCATTTACTTGGCAGACAGTTAAGACCTGGATACAACGACAAGGATGATTGACAAAGGCGAAATATTACATTACTATCATAGTTTCCAATAAGAATTTTCAAAGTAATAAGGGCTGGTACAGACATTCATACAGAATTTATAGATAAAGGAATGACTTCATTCGAATGTGACTTCGTCACAATTCCGTATCTGAAGAGAAAACAACAGAACCTTTTAGATTACTTTGTTGTTCGTCTGTCTATCTGTTAAGTAATACCCTTTACTTTTTATTTATGGAATGAATATGCCTAGTTTATAAAATGGAAAACAAATACGGCCATTTACGGCGCAAAACGCATATTTCCACACTTTCAAAAGAATCAAAATCAAAAGGATGCTTGCCCTTGACATAAGATATTGACTACTTGTTAAACAGATGTGTCCTATACAAAAGCGAAAAGTATGTATTTCAAAACGAATTTTATTAATTTTTCACTTTGCATAAAATCTTATTTATAAAGAAAAAAATATCGGTATAGCACCGTCAGGGCATGAGTCCGACTCGCTCGTGACCGGTTTTTTAAATATAAAAAACCGGTATCTAATAAGATACAATGACATATTGTCCCTTGATCTGCTAAACGTTTCTGCAATTATGACTCAACTTAAAAGAAGTATTTCGACTTACCGCCGCTGCTCGTTCAGCGCTCTCCACGTGTACTCTGTATAATTCCACTAAGCTGATGTCTTCTGGCTCCACAGCCGCGGCACCTCGCCTCGGTACCAATTCCAGACCAAGTTTTCTGAAACAAAGAAACCGCCGGAGTAAAGTCAATAAAAAGATTTGATTTAATTTTTAAAAGCGACCTTTATTGCATGAAGACACATAATTAATCATTGTTGAACAGATAAAAAATTACATTTTCTTATGAAGAACCTCTTTTGCATAAATTTATATCGTTGTGTGTACGCGACATAATTGTGATTTCAAATCGATACTCCCTATTAATATATTATTCGATTATGCTGATATTTAATTTCGAGTTTGGCTTATTTTAGATTAAGTTCATAATGTTAAAGTTATTTTAGCATACTGAACTTGTTCTTAGAATATTTATGTAATAAAAATTTTAGACGATAACAAAATAACATTCAATGTATACATCAGAATTAATACCTAAAACAGTATTTTTTTATTTAATTTTAAATCTTTCTTCTACACCGAATCATATGTACCATGGTAAGAACGTGCCAACATTATTCTAAGTAATCAGTAATATAAGAAGAAAGCATTTAACCGTGAGAAACTTATGACCTTATTACAAATAAGAATTTTTAATGATAAAAATAAATATCTTTATAAACTTTTAAATAGTTTCCCTTAAACTTACGTATTAAGGACCGTGGCAACCCGGACCATGGGGAAAGGGTTATGCTACCACGTTTTTTTCAGGTAGGTACAAACAAAATGACATGTAACCACTTGGTTTAACCTAAGTCCTGTACCTAATTAAAGTACTATTCTACATTTTATGTATCTACAAATACGTATAAAACAATTAATACAATTGTTTTTTATATAGTAATAATTTTATGATTCTCCGCGGACCACTTGGGATGCTGCCAAGGTCCACAGCAGTGGTCCAAGGACCACCGGTTAAAAATCACTGCCTCAAAATCCACACATACTAAAAATCATTAACGAACCAGCTGAAGAACCACAAAATGAATCAATAAAACCGCAACAGGAGAATGTACTACAAAACAAACGCAAAAAAGTTTTGAAACCAAGTTCCACGAAGAAAAGGACATGCTAATAGTCATAATATTGTGAATCATTTGATAAATATTCAGGGAATTACCTGTTTACAAATTTTATATACAAAAAGAAAGAATAAGGTATTATAGGAAACTATTAGGGATAATGTAGTTGCAATAATTACTAATGTTCTTTGATATAATCACACTTAAGAATAAATGCAGTTTTTTAACGTTTTTTTTTATATTTTGCCCTATATGAGAAAACTAATTGTAACTAGTATTCATTATGTTTAAATAACCTTGTTTTATGTGAACACGGAACCTGTAAAGGGTCTGAAACGTCAATAAAACAAAATACAAACGCGATGAAACTGTTTAAAAGTTGTTTCATTTATTGATAGTGCCATAAATGAAACAACTTTTAAACTGTTTCATCGCGTTTGTATTTAGCGTGAAAATATAAGAAATCTATATTCATTATGTTTTTTTAACCCTTTACATGATTCTGATAATTGTAAATATGTAAAAAGTGGTATTTTTTTTATAAAAATAAATAATAGTAAATTACAAAACTATGTTATTTTAGTTGATCATAAGGGTAAAATAAGCAGCTAGAGAGTTACTTTCGTATTTACATTCTTACTACGGATTTATTAAGCTCCAATCCAAACATCCACTCACAATAAAATTAGCAATCCTTAACGATACATTAGCGTTATAGCGTTAATTTCGATAAATTGTTTCTAATCATCTTGTCGATCAAACTTACAGAATGCAACTATAAAACTAACGCTATAGAGATACTATTTAATTTAAAAGTCAAATTAGATGATGGATATTCGGTCACGTAACCGCTGGTTGTAGCCTGAGCTTTCAATCAAGACACGCTTAAAATTTTACATGATTCCATTACTACACAAAAATGGACCTTAAATAGTCGAGAGAAGTTATAAATTAGTATAAATGATCGTATCGACATAAAGAAAGAAATCATATTACACAAGAGTTGCTTATACTGGAATTCCGATAAAAGGTTTCGCACAACTTTCAAAGAATGGCAGTCGTGTTCGTTGATGTCGAATACGAGCCAAATTAACTGATAATTGGCATAAACTTTAAATTATCTTTAAATTTAAGTAAGTAAACTTTAAATTTATACTAATAATTTAAACTTTGTATTTAGTTTATTTAATATATTTTTTATAAATATTATTATTATTTCCTTTGTAGCGTGTTTAAGAATGCGATTATCAAAGGTATTTATGAATTAAGATATTGCTAAACGTAAACATGTAAAATCATGTAAGCATTCGATTCACAACTTGACAAACTTAGAGGAAAAACGGTATTTTGACGAGTTCTGAAAATTAATCATCGTTAATGCGTAAATAATGAGTGACTGGCTTATTCTTTAACCTATGTGTAATTCAAATTCCCTTAAATATTTTATAATATATAACTCTATATATTAAATTTGCTTCACGTGCAAAAACTTTGAAGAATTACCTTTCCTCCGAAAATTACGCGAAAGGTAAAGTATCAAATTAAACACAGAAAAATTTACATAGCAAACAAATGCAGAATGCTAATAGTTTTTATGCGAGTTTAGACTACTGAAAGCCCCTAATAATATGTTTATATTAAGAGTATATTAGCCTTCATAGGACACACTTAGGAGAAAGGATTTTTAAGATCTGTCCAGTAGTTTAGAACAAATCTTTTCTCTTTATAATATTACTAGGAATTGTTTGTGGAAATACATAAACTAAGCACTAATACTTATTATAACGAATGAATTCAAAAATATTGATGACATAATATTACCTAAGATGATTTGATCATTAGCTTATTTTTAAGTATGCCTTTGCTTTGATCTAAGTTAACGAAATATTTCTTGCTCTTTACACCTTACCTATGCTGTATTATTCTTTTATTTAATTGCCTTTATCAGACAGTCAAAATTTTCAGGAGACTTCAAAAGAATTACTTTATTAAATCCACTGTTTTTTATGTATATTCTACGATATCTTTTTAAATATTGGACTGATTTCGTTGAATATTTTTTGTTTGTAAAAGTACATACCCAAGGCTGTTTTGTGTAAATTACGATACATGAGGTTTGGGCGAATACTTCTATATATAGGTAATAAGTCTTTTGGTTTGGACTAGTAGTTTCTTATACACTGAAAAAAAAAATGTACACCGCTTTTTTTTTTAAATCTAACAACTACTTCGATGAATACAGTCAACAAGTTGAAGACACTTGCATTGAATCCTATTTTTCTATTTGTTAAAAGTCTTGTTAGTTTTCAACAGGAAAATTATTGTGTTTTGGTAAAAGACGTGGGAACAAATAAAAGAGGCAATAATATACCAATTGGGTCGCGGACGTTAATGTGTATTTTAAGTTAGTATTGACCGATGATGGCGCGGTCCGCCGTGTGCAGGCAAAAGGTCGCCAAACCAGTTCCGAGCGACACAAGCGATGTCTGGCTACGCCTGCAGCGTGTTGCCACCCGACGGTATCGATGTCTTCCTTTTTCACCAATAACTCATAGATTAGTGGGAAATTATTTCTTAACACATTACGTCAGATTTTCTATCTTTCCTATGACAAGACACGATGCTGGTGGACAACAAAAAGTCCACGTATTTTATTTCTTCATTTCTAAACCCATACTCTAATCAACCACCAATAGCATGAGAACTCCTTAAAAATATACGTTAAACCAGACTAAGAATTTCGCATTAAAGATATTAGTAGAACTTTAAATTTCGTTAAGTCTAATTAATAAAAAAAACATTAGAAACAATTCTAAAAGATTCTATTAATATAAACATCTGTAAAATGCTAAAGCTAATATGTTACACAATACACATATGTATTTATTGTAGGTAAACAAATAATGAAACTATAGAAAATAACTAAACATTAAATTCTCGGAAATCCACCAAACGATACTAACCAATACACATGATATTAGGTTGTAAAAAATTTTTTGTACTAAATATCTCGTAGAAGAGCGTTGAATTTTAATCTAGATAAACAACTTATTTTTTGGAACTGATAAGTCTAGTTTGGTAAAGGTTTTTAAATGTATGTAAATAACTGCATGCATATTTCGACATCATATACGATGACGTATTCATTTAAAAAACCGGCCAAACGTGGTTCCGAAAACGAGAAAAAAAAACACGTTTGTTTGATGATAAATATTTAAAGGAATATTTATTTTATTCTATTTTCTAATAATTGTTTTTATAACTGCAACAGCAATAGATTATCTGTGAAGATTTCAACTGGCTAACTTTCATGGTTCATGAGAAACAGCCTGGTGACAGACGGACAGATAGACACGTGCAGAACCTTAAAAATGCTTCTGCAGTATGACATAGATCAGTACATCGTATAACTGAAGCCCTGATTGATGTGTCAAAATCAAGATTTGATTGACCTGCTAGGCAAACAGCGAAACTTCCGACATATCAATCAAGATTGTTCTAGGTTTATTGGACAGACCAATCCAGATTGGTACAGTTGATCTGTTATCCTAAGAAATAACACATCTTTACAGATCAATCACGGCTTCCGTTACGCGGTAAAGACGCAAGTTGCTAAATTTCTGCAATTTTGAACTAGCTACTAGCTTAACTTTGTATAGGAAATACATAGCTGACTTAAAATCGATCGGAGAAAGGTCTTTTGCAGTCGCCCGATGTTCTGTAGTCTAAATATGTACTTTGAGTTAATAGGTTAAACTTGCAGACCTACAATAAAGTTCAATACAACCTACTGAACGTTGAGTGCATTTTAAATTAATTCAATGGTAACCAAATCGGGGTCTGTGAGGAGTGAAGAGCTCGATGGCGCAGTAATGGGCCCGTGTAGTGGCCCATTCTCTTTATTCGATTTCAATCATAGGGAAGGCCTGAGTCCCAGCAGTGAGGACGTTAATATGCTGTTAATAATTATGATATAGAACTTTAAGCTTTGCGTTACAAGATGGGGTTTATTCAAACTTAACTGAGTTATTGTTTGGTTAAATGAATTTTGCATAGATTTCAGTATTCGAATAAGTTTTGTATTAACTTCAGATTTTCTTTTCATCCGTATTTCGAAATAGCCTTAGAAATTTCTGAGATAAAGTGCTGTAACATATTGGACATTAGTCGGTGTAGATGTGGAAATAATGTTTTATTATTTTCTTGTTCTGTATTTATTTATGAGTGTAGCGTATTTTCAAATTGCCTAAAATAAATTTGAATAATATTGTGTATGCCAGTTATTGGCTATCATATAAAATTATAAGCCCTGTAAAACTATTCCCATATTAGACAAATATATCTTTTGTGGTAGCAAAAAACTAGAAGACACGAAGTTATTAATTATTATCATTAAGTTATCAAGGTATTTTTTCTAATATCGCGTATATTTAGCTATTAATAAAATTAATATTTCTGTTTCGTGCCGTTATCCTTGACAGTTAACCAGTTCCGAGAGGTTTGTACAGCCGCAGTGCACTATAGATGGAGGTGATCGTTACTTAGCTGATCGTCGTTTAGTCGTCCAAATTAATGGTGCTGTACTATTATAGAGCTAGCCTTCTAATTGAACAGATGTTTTACTTAGTTGGCTACGACATATACATTAAGAATTACCCCAATGTTGTTTCTTTCACACAAAATTTTTGTGTTATGGTTTAAAAGTTGACCAAACAATTGTGATTTATGTCTATTTATTTAGTCTGGTCATCTCTTATTATAAGATATAAATGCGCGACAAGGAGAATAGCTTAATTATTCCATACTAATATTATACATCCTATTAATATTATAAATGTGAAAGTTTCTTTGTTTGGATGTTTGTACGTCAATCACGCCGAAACTACTGAACGGATTTTGATGAAATTTTGTATACAGATAGGGTGTTAGCTGACTTAGATAATAGGATACTTTTTATCCCACTAAATATTTCCCTAGAGTCCACGCGGGTGAAGCCGCTGGCGAAAGCTAGTACGAAATAAGTCTGTAGATATGTTAACGGAGTTGACTTGAGATATGACATCAGTTACTTTTTATTGTGATAAAAGGATTAAAATATGGAATCAAAATTTGTACTGAAGCTAAAAATTATTAAACTTTATATTAAAGTATTTTACAATATATTATGAATAAATATTTGTTTTAGCGTTTTTGGAAATGCTCCCCAAAGTAACTATACCACGCGGACGAAGTCGCGGGCAAAAGCTAGTTTTATATAAAATTAATTCATTTCAGTTGGTAAGCGTATAATTTGAATACGGCCGGAGTCGTTCTGCTAATCACTGATGAAAATCGGAAAAGTATGTAAAAGAAAAAAGATAGGTAACGGCATTTTTTAGGTTTTCCCAAATAATTTTATTGGATGACATAATCATAATAAAAAGTTGACCTCTCAAATTTGATCAATAGCATTGAGATAACATAATATACCTACTATTTTATCACCGATATAAAAAACAACTTTTAAAATGGTCTGCAGTCTAATGGTCTATTTTATTCATATCAATAACAATTTAGTGTTTAAGAGCAATATAATTAAAAAACTTATAATTTTTGCAAAAATATTTTTATTTCATTAAGTAAATGTTTTTACAAATGTAGTAATTTTTCACAATTATTGTGTAATATTTGACATACTTTGTATATCGAATGGAAACAAAAGGAACGGACACTAGGTAGTTGCGCAATTTATCGAAAATACATAATATTCATTTAATTACATTTGCGACATCAAAACATTAACAAATTACGGCATCCGACAATGTGTTAATTAACAGCCGCAAGCGATTCCCATTTGTTGAAACCAGTCATCATAATCTCGTCTAAAAAAAATTGGCATTACGAAGCTCAAAGTATAGCCCACGGAGAAAATACGAGACGGAAAGTCAAGACCCTCGCACAGAACTCGTTCAACGACGAATTCTCTTTGCTACCGACTACCGTGCAGTTACTACATCTGTAGAGCGAGACAGAAGCTAAACGGTAATACGTATGAAAGAAGGAGACAGGCAGAGATGCGCATACGCAGCTAGTTAAGTTCGGTAGTGAACACGCGCGCACAACTTGGCGTGCAGGGGGTCGACCGACTATGCTTTCCAGTTTGTGTTTCCGACTCATGGGCAGCTGGTGTGTCGCACGCTGCCATACCCGCTACTCGTTTTACACCAGTCAATTGATTGTTAACTAGTTCTATAATGTGTAACATGTCTTAAAATTATCACATCACTATTATAAATTAGAAAGTGCGGTGGTGTTTTCTGTGCTGTTACAAAGACAAAAGTGTGATTGTAAAATTTTAGAGAAACCGGAGTCACTCAAAAATTAACTGTTAGGTTTAAAAAAGGTAAGTTGTGTCACAAAATTTGAGCTTTGGGATGAATCGAGACCCGCTTAAGTCATATCGACGGCCCGAGGAATGTTGTTTGACAGCATACATGTACGGGAACAAAAGCCTTGTGCATACATTCATCGTATTTCTTTTACATTCTGCCTGTTTTCTGTGAGTAATGAACATGACAATGCAACGGTGATGTATGCCAGTGTAAAGGTGAAACTGTTACGACACTTAAAATATATATAAATTTAATATGATATCCGATGATGATCGACAGAAAATTTCACACAGGTAGGTAGCGATGGAATCTCCATTTACCTGAGAGCCGACCAAAAGGGAAGGGAAGGGACGCCTCTCGTTACCAGGAATAGTATTTGAATAGAATGGACAGATAGCAACATAGTAATAACAATGAAGGACCTTTTTTAGCCATTATGACGTAGCCACGAATAATCACCACGTTTTGGAAATGTCTATTAATTACATTTTCAACATTAAAATGGCTCTGTTGTTATAATACGATGAAAATTTAAAAAAGACAATGCCGTATTACCATTGTTTATTTAAAATATTTTATAAAAAAAAAACTTTTTTGTTTCATCATTCGACATATTAACGTAAACATCAAGCTAAGAGAAACTGACGAGGTACTTACAATAGCACGTGATATTTTCACGGTTCGAAGAACTTCATTGAAGATCCCCCACAAACGTGTAGCAAAAAAATTATTCGTCATTTACGTAACCTAGCCAGATCCTATTTATTATTCTTGATTATAATATTTCTAAGTAATTTCCGCAACACGCAAAAATATTTCCGTGTGCCAATAGTTATGAAAAGTATAACCCAATGTCAATTGAATGAAATTAATTAAGCACTCTTATGTCATTATTATATTGCAGATTGCTTTTGTTATTTTTTGCAACTCTATAATTTTTTTAAGCAACGTAAATGTTGTTTGTTGGTAAGCAAATTACTTGATAACAGAATTACACAGTATAAAGTTTTTACAGATAAAAATAAGGGAAACCGAGTAGGTGTTATTTTTATTAAAGCAAATATACTTTGTTTGTCCTTTTTTGCGTTAAAGTAAGGACAGATTTTGATGGAAATTGTTATGTAGGTTAACCATAGATATGATACGGACATATATATTCCCAGTTCACCATTACCTCCGTAGCCGAGTGGTTCGCACGCCGGTTTCAAGGTGCCGCCATCTTTGAGGTCCCGGGTTCGATTCCCGGTCGGGACAATGTAGAAAATGAACTTTTCTATATTGACTCGGTTCTGGGTGTTGTGGTACCTTCGTTGTCTCAGATACTCCATAATAACGGGGGCTTTAGCTACTCATCTTGGAATCTGAGCAATGTATGTGATGTTGATAAAAAAAATAAAAAAAATTAATACACAGGGCTCATAGTTATCACAACTATAGATTAGGTACACAATTTAATAGATGAACAAAATCTAACACCATGAGAACTCAATGAAACATAGATATAAGATTTTTTAAAGCTTTAAAGATTTAAGTATTGGGCATTTGGAAATTGCACAGCTTAAAAGATTCCCAATCTTAAGTCGAATGGTCGAAGTTGCCGGGCATAAGCTATCCATATTACTGATAACATTATATCGTTTGAAACTGAAGTAGTATCTAAGAAAAACACGATTTGACATACGAAACCTAAAACTAGTATTCTTAGCGCTCATTTAAATTTCAAATAGCTGAAGCAACTTACGACACCCGTTCCCAGGTTCTGGGACAAACAAAAAGCAAACGGTCACACATTCATTTCATTCATTGGATTCTTGTCACGGAGTGTGGTTCACGGCACCTGCATATGTGATCCAGAGGCGCCTGGTGATGGCATTTTAAAGTACAAACCTACTTTACTAGCGGCTGACCACTGAGAACATAATACAAGATATAAACAACTTTTACGCATAATTTATACGTTCCACTAAAACCCGCACATTACGTAAACATAGAGAATATTTTAGAATTTAATATTTATAGCTTTTTAATGACACGTTACGGGTGTAGTATTAATGTGACATCAGAATGGTGAGTATTAATAAGCTTTGATTAAAATAAAGGGGAGATATACCACACTTATACTTGCATCAACCAAAAAAATTACCCTAATCATCGACAGAACTCATTCAGACAGTTATAAATTTCGTCTCGTACAACACTAGAGCGAGCGAGACGAAGCGATGAGTTTGACATTAAAGCGAGCGTAGCAGAAAACCTCCTGACGATTGAGCCGTTCTTTCTTACACGCATTCACTCTTTCATACGTGTTGTCAAATCCTATTTCTATCCTATTATGCAATGATGTATTGAAAGCAAAAAAAGTAGAATTTTATGAGAAGAAAAGTGACGATATAATAAAATTTCCTGCACTGTTAATAATGGCACAATAATTTTATTTTTTTACCATTGAAATTGTAAAAAATACTTGATTCCTTTTTTTTAGTCCTTTTTGTTTTAATTAAAGATAATAACCAGTCCTTATTTATGAATATCCCTCTATACTAAATTATGATAAGCGCACAACCGTTTTTCCTTTCCTTTCAACCTTTCAATAGGTTCCTGTTATAATACAAAAAAGTAAGATTAGATGTAACTTTTAATACGAGTATTAGCTGATAAATAACATAATTAATTAATTTAATATAATACAAATTTTGGTGATTATTATTAAGTAACACATCCCCATAATTCCGTTAAGGTATCAGAGTCCGTCGTTTAAATTCTAAATAACAAATTACATTTTTTTTTTGTTCAGTTTGTCTTGGGTATGGTAGGGCTCAGTGGGGTTTTCTATATTATCTCTCTGGGTAAGTGGAATATCGTTTTTGTTAACAATTTCCTTAAGCACTATATGCAAGGTTCAATATTTTTGCCTTCGTTATACAGATTCATGAGTATGGACTAACAAAAAATGAATACGAATATCATTCATTATAAGCTAAGGATATATATAGGAATTCAGAAGCATCTACAATCGACATCCCAAATTGTCTTATGTTAACATCGTGACCTTTATGTCCAACATAATAAGATCCGTGAGTGTCCTCAATAAATGGGCATAACATGGAAGCGTGACAAGAAACCTATTGCATTAAGATTAGTATACTAAGGAGTATGTCAGTTACTCTTCACTCTTTTAATAAAATGCTTGTTGTTCTAGGATAAATTTTTCAACCTTTCTTACCCCAGCAATGTCGCAAAGCAAATTTCTTAATATCAAAGATTAAATAAGTTAATGTGACCTATTTGAAATATGAGACACGTGTGATGTGTAACCGCACGGTACGAAGCGTTTCCGTATCAGTAGATATAATGTCGATGACAAAAACTAGTCCCTAGTCAGAAAGCATACAATGACCAATATCCGCTCCATCTTATCTACCAACACAGCTAATAAAAATAGAGAGAGAATCTTTTTTTCAACATATAGAATACTTAGTACTTAAGAAGATCCAATTGGAAACAATGAATATTTTATCAAAGCAAATATAGGGAATCGAGCAGCAATTTGAACGGTAACAACATCTTTACAGTTCCTTAATATATGAGACGTTCCCATTACATACACTCCCACGATATTTGATGAACTATGTGAATTGATTCTGACTGGAACATAACATTATTCCCTCATATAGCCTCGAGCGTGATCTGAGCCACGTAAATTACAACAGAGGCGACAGACATGCCGCTCACTTGCAGCTCGCAGATCTCTGCGTTACCTAACTGAACCGAAACCGGTCGATCGGTGTCATTAGACACGCTCAAAATCTTCGAAAATTCTTTAATCGTTCAATAGAGTTGGATCTGGACATAGAACCTTTCCCACGAATAGGTTGTCAGTGTTATATTATGAGTGATATCAGGTCACGGTAAGACGGCGCGCATCCAGTGCAATTAGAGCTCATTCAACGAGGGCAGACGCGTGCCGACCAATTTAAATAAGTTAGACTGTTAATGCATACCTTGGGTTGTGGACTCAAGTTACCACCAGATTTAAAGAGAAAATAATAGCGTATTGATGAAGCGATTAAATTTTAAAATAATTAATCATAAATCGTCTATGGTGGGAAAATAATTATGAAAATAATATTTTAGTCATCAATACAATAAATGGAAATTTTCAATCTAAATCTCGCTTTGAAGCCAATTCCTGAATACCAATCAATCGTTCAAATGCCGTAGAACGGCTATTACAGATTGTCGTCGGGAAAACTGGTTTCTTCGTAAAATTCGCGTTACCAAGCGGTGCATCAGTCAGGGTCGAGGAAGGTAAAACTAAGTGGGGGGTGAGGGGGCGGTTGAAAGCGCAGGAGGCGCACGAGCAGCGGCCGGTCGACGACCCGCCACATGCCCTGCGCCGGCGCAACATTTGCTTCCACGGTCGATACTAACACGATTATATTAGCAGAATATATAAAAACCCAATGACTAACTTAATACGACAGCAAAAAACTTACCCGAAGATCCGTTAAAACAATTCGTGCAAAGTTAATTCGCAGTAAAGATAGAATATGCTGTGTTCTCTTCTCAAGTTATGAATTCAATACATATTGATTTCGTAACACGAAATTTCAATGGGGGCAGATTGTCTGTTAGAGATCAATTAAAGACAATGTCACGAATCGAGGCCTTTATAAGTGTTGATCGGTTATTCTCAAGAATGGCATTCTAATTCATAAATGTCTCCTTATAACGAAGTCCCTACGAACGAACGACCTAAATAACAAGCCGCCACGTGACTGCGTAGGAACAGAATCAAGAAGTTGTCAAGGTTACATCTATTTGTGATGAATTGTGTCTCCTGGTTGTTTAACTCGTCCACTTATTCTGGTCCTACAGGAATATAAAACCAGTCGCATGAGCACGCTTTGTATAACTTTTGTTGTAGTAAATGTTTCACGGCAATAGGAAGAATTCCGATTTATTATTTTGATTTATTCAAAAATTTCTTGGGTAATAGTTTCTATAGCATCCCAAGCAGTGGCACTTACTGAGCTTGAACCAATATTTGCTGCTGCAACGATGTGCGTAAACCCATGAAATGATTGATTTTGGATAAACACAAATATTCTCATTTTAGTATCACTTGTACATTTTATTTAATCTTGCATACAAAACTCTATTACTGCCGGTATCTTTTTTAATTTTAATAATGTAGATTTTTAATAACAATAAAGTGACAATTGCGTTTAATGAGCTACTAAATTCTAAAGACACTTCAAGACTGCTTAACAACTTGAGTGGGCGGAAAGTAGCCGCGTCTCTAAAAAATATGTGTGAGGTCATTGATTGAGCCTGTGATGTACCCACATCGAAACCAAATAACGGTACCTTCTAACATCGAAAACTTGATAAACTTGCGTTCTTTCCAAATCAATATAATCCGTTCAGTAATAATCACCAGAGATGAAGACATCTGCCGTATCGACAGTAAACGTACAAACAACAGCTGTTAAACACATTGATAGAATCAAAACAGTAATAAAGCTAACCGTTTACGTTCTAATTTAGTATCGCCAGCGTACGCCACTTGTCACGGCGTTCGTTTATTTTAGTATTCCCCTATTTGAGCATTCGATACCTACTGTACCGTAAATAGTAATTTTGAGAATATCTGTAACGAGTAGTGGAAAATTATAGCCAATAACAACGTTAATATTCTATATTAACATAGTGCTGTTTTCCAAAGATAATAATAACTTAATTTACCAAAAATCATGAAAATATGGAATTGCATAACAGATGAAGTGCTTAAACTACATAATTTTGTTACATTTTCAAAAGATGTAACAAAATTACGATTGGTACTTTATCCTTATTAATTTAGTGTTAAGTGCTGATTTGTCTCACAAATAGTTCAATATATAATGACACTCCTTGCTCTGACAAAAAAATGTCGATGACGAATGCCTGATGACTAATTATTTTCTTTTTTCTTTACAGGAATTGAAAAAATAGCACAATGGCGGTGTTTGGCTTGGTGTCGTCGGTGGCGGGCTTCGTGAAGGTTCGCTACCTGATCGACAAAGCGGTTATCGACAACATGGTCTTCAGAATGCACTACCGAATCACCTCCGCCATATTGTTCCTTTGCTGTATCCTTGTCACTGCCAATAACCTTATTGGTAAGTTATTTCTCATTAATTTATCTTTAAATATCAAATTCTTAAACAATGGTGATTTTTTTTTGTTACTGTAACACGAATTATCTTCTATCCCTATGCCAGACAGACGTGTGTGTTTATCTTATAAGTGACCGCAAACTTTTCTTTAATCTCTACATTTATTTAAAACTTTGTACTGGAAAGATGTTTTGAAACAAAAATATTGTAAAAGGCAGATAGATGAATTCAAATTTACATAGGTCGCAGAGATACATAGTACCGTTAGTACAATCATGATGACGGCATGTTAATATGGGCCGATCACTGCATATTATTAACCTTACGTTGCCGGTTTTACCTTCAAATGGCTAGTTACAGTAGCTGAGCGTACCGAATGATGAGTTTATAACACTAAAAACTATCAACGACGTTTCTTCATCTTTCCTATGGAATTCGACCAACCCGCAAACAATTTCACTGTTGTCAGCGAAAGTTAATTAAAAATAATCAAGAAGGTAATTATACAATTCGCATTGGCCAGATGAAAGTGTTGTTGTATGACCTAGAGAACATTATTTATTTTTTTTGTTAACACTTGTATCGAGATCAGGAAACTAGTGTAAAAATGAGTCACCTTAGGTCACGCACGCTAACAATATCCGTTGGTGTGTAACAGTTAACCAAATTGAGACATCACTGACAAATAAAGGTACGCGTAAAAACACGGTACAAACTTACGTGAGAGGACTAGAAGTCACTGAAGCAAATCAGTCAGTGAACCTGCTGCACCGATAAGCGATGGCTATTAAATACCACGACAGAAAACGTGATGAAAACATTCTACAAAGACTAATAAAATTAAAAAAAAAAAAAACTTAAAAGGATATAATTGCATCACAATATACAAGCACCTAGCAAGATTTTACATGATTCTTATTATAAAATAACGCTTAAGTAGACAAATGTCCCATGATTATTTTCAATTCAAATTTAAAAAGCTTTTTATTTTTCTTATCACTTTTGTAACTTCCGCACCAAATTTTCTTGGAAAAAAATTCGGTATCACCGATAACATCATTTAAATTAGCGTTTCAATGGTATTTAAATAATTCTTCGCAAATTCTGAGGTCATATGTATGATATGACAAGAAAAGGTAGGACAATTGTAACCTGTCCATCTATCTCTGCTATTAAAAATACATCGTCCAGGGCTGCAACCGCCTAACGATATCTTAGCGATGTTATAGTGATAATTCATCTAATTTTACATGTCTTATAGTATAGACTGTTGGTAGTTAATTGCTGGCTGCTATCAAAAACACATAAACATTTTTTATAATTCGTTCAACGTTACTAAAGTGTATTAAGATGCTAGTCTTTGTTGGAGTTCGGCGGTCGCACGCCAGAATCATAAAAAAGAAATGATAAAAGCTTTAAACTGTGTGCCAAAGAATAATGTTACAATATTATAATTTACTTTCAATTCTCTCGATTCTGATTTATTAATGTAACCTAATCATTACAAAGTACGTAGTTAAACTGCGACCAAACTCGGGTAATCGTTAAGTGTTATCGCGTGCTCCTCATTATGTACACACAACGTAAACATACCAGCTACTTGTTCATCTACTTATGATTACGTTACCAAATGAATGTTCGATACGAGGCAGACGCGCGACCATTTCCCTGTTAAAACCGCTAATCTCATGAACTGTATTATATTTATTTACTCTTTATACATATATAGTCGCACTTAATGCCCAACCGACTTTAAATTTACTTTCATCAACGGGAAACTACGTCATACGCGGGCAATTTTATTTACCTTTTTAAGAATATAATTTACTAAGAACCCGATTTCGCACGTACACAATTTACGCTGGTGAATTCCCAGACGGCATAAAACCTTCAACAAAACAGTCAAATCTTCCTTATGAATTACTTCAACCACCGTTGAAAACCGCATATATATGTTTATATAATGTTAGGTAGTTTTTGAGTTTATCGCGTTCAGACAGACATACTGACACGGCTCTTAGAATTTTGCCTAGTTGCACATTACATTACCAATACAAATCATCAAATTAATTTTTGTATTTTTTGGACTTTTGTTTTATATGTAATAATTATTGAATAACATAACGGAAAATGACCGTTGACATCTTAATTTTAGTCTTATTACATGAACGCTAAAGCAATTATAATACATAACATTAATCGATGCTAGTAATATAAAGAGAAAATATTTTATTGTTTATTTGTTTTAATTGAATATGCTACGAAACTACTAGACTAAATTTAAAAAATTCTTCAACCACATACGGGAAGCTTCATCATAAATTGATGACATAGGTTAATATTTACGCGGGCAATTACATAGTTTCTTATATAATTTTATAACTCTAATAATAATTTAGTTCAAGTATAATTCAATTGAGATATTGAATTATTTGTATCTATGGTATTGGTGTATTAAAAATCAGCAATTACTCGTTACCATATAACAACCGTGTAAATTTGATACGTACAGTTTAGACCAGCACTTATTTTGGTTTTGACTAAGTCACGTTTTAATCTCGAACAATAATCCTTGCTCAGCAAGTTATTGCAATAGCACCGGCACAATGTACGTGAGTCGGCTCAGGTGTTGCCAATAAAAACATGCAGTGTTTAATGGTTTAAATTGCAACTGGCAACGCTTATCACACATAAGCGTTGCCAGTTGCTATGCAGTCAATAACTCAATACAGTACAAACCTTTCTCGCAGACCCTATTGGTATTAAAAAGAAATAAAGCAAAGGTTTACATATTTGGATGTTTGAAACTTCTTCAAGCAAAAATTACTAAATGTAATTTGCTAAAATTTGGTATTTATGTAAATAATTTTAAGCCTGGTTGTTATATATGTGTCCTGGTACCATATGTGAATGTATCATCAAATCATCGTGTAAACCACACGGCTAAGACAGCTAGTGAAAAACTGAAAACAATATTGCGAATTAGTCGGCTTCACCCGCGTAAATGTATCCTATTTCATCTTCGTATAATGTAGCTTCCCTTATGTGAAAATATTTTAATGATCAGATCAGTACTTCCGAAGATCACCGCTACAATGTTAGAAAATGTACCTCTTTATATTAGTATAGATAATCGTCTCTTTCCGCCTCTGTCATTCGCTGTTCTTTAACTTCTAAAAGCATAAATCGAATTAAGATGCAGTTTTCATTGTTGGATAGGAAAATTTCTTGGGGAAGGTTTTTCTTTCTTTCACTGCTGTTTTGAATAGATAATTACATCAAACTACTAGATAAATAAAAATTACAGCTAATATATTCAAAGTAATCGTTAAATATATATTTAAAATTACGCTTAATTCTCATATCAAGTGTTACTTCTTACAAACTTTACTTGGTGTATGGGCCTAATATATTTTGTATGTTTATTTTCCTCAACAATAATAAATGTCTTTATTTAACACGAATTGGTCAATTCATCACAAATTCTCAAAATCAATATATATATATTTTTTTGTTTACAAAACAGGATACAGCACTTTACATTTTTTTTAAATTTAGAAATCGTATTTAAAGTCATTCCTACATAAACTACTATATGTCTGTTATTAAGTGTCAAATACACTTTACGATGGTAAAACAATAATATATAGTGTAGTAAAATACCACAAAACGATACAAAATTTTGCAACCGTTGATGTACTATTGTTTTATATTTTCATGCCATTGTCACTAATATAATAGCAATAATCGTGCGAGTCACATTTTATATATTACATCGTTTACAATGAAGCACACTATTACTTTTAAGTTTATGCCAAGTCCATGACCCAAAATACGATATTATATATTTATGAAGTACTTCGACGTAGGTATTCCGTAGATAGCCAATACCCGTTACAAGTGTTGGCTAGGTCTTATCGGACAAGTTTTCAGTGCTTACTTACATAATATTATCATAATAAACTGTGCGATTTCATACGCCCCTCACGTGTTGCACATATGGAACGAGACTTTTATGACTGTTCCAATGTTCCGGACGACTTCGATGATTTTTTCTTAGTACCGATATATACAGAAACACACTTGCGAAAATAAATATTAAAATAATTTTATTTGAAAAAGAACTTGGTGTCATAAGATAAACCAATTCCATTCAAATTCCTCATATACCTAGTTAATACAAAATATTGATCTCTTTTTAAAGTTATTATCATAATTTTCCTATTTAAATTCAAAGATCTTCAAATTTCTGTCCGAGGCGTATCCCCTATTAAATAACCATTAAACATTCCGACAGATAACGTGGTATTAATAAACAAAGATGATACTGTTAAGAACCCAAATTAAAAATTAATTTATTCCAAATATATGAAACCAAGCAGCAGTATATAAGTTCACGAATTGAATTCTTAATTTTTTCGTTCACCAAATAGACCTAGTTACATTGACCTACAAAACTGATTTCACAAATATCGACAATGATATTTGAGAGCAACAGTAAATTGTTATTAGCAACAATAAATACTTTATTAATTCTTGTGATTTGTATGGCAAGATGATTATATAAATGAATATATTATGTCTCACCACATTTACGGTATCTTCGTTTAAATACATTAATAGCGGCAGTTAAAAATTATTAGTTATTAGTTGTCAAGAAGATTCAGGGAACATGTGTTTAACTCGATTAACCTCATTTGTCTATGACGCCACAGGACATTATCGTCTAGAGCGAATGAAACTAAAACAAAGGAAAATGGACATGAAAGCAATATTAAAAACTTGTAAAATATTGTTACTATTGAAAATATAATCAACTTGAAAATGTAGTTCACTTTGACCCCGCTTCATATAGTCTATACGAGGGTCAAACTGAAAGTTCTTAGAAAATCAAAAACTGATTACATTAGCCAGTTATTAGTTTTATTATATCTTTTCAAAATATTGTCCATTCACGTCAATACACCGCTGCATGCGATGGAACCACTGGGAAAAGCACTTTGCCCACTCGTCCTTAGGGGTCTCTTCAATGGCATCGCGATACGCAGCCACCGCTTCTTCAGCATTCATAAACCGCTTTCCTTTAAGTTTTTCTTTAATATTTGGAAATAAATAAAAATCACAAGGCGCGAGGTCGGGGCTATACGGCGGGTGACCCAGTAATTCAACGTTTGATGTCGCCAAATAGTCGATCGTTCGCTTGGCGGTGTGCGACGAGGCGTTGTCGTGGTGAAGGAGGATCCTACTGCGAGGTCGTTTCTCTCGAACTTTTTCCAAGACAAGTGGCAAACAATTGGTAGTGTACCATTCTGCAGAAACTGTTTTTTGATCCTCTAACACAATTGTTGCAAAATGACCTATCCTTCCAAAGAACGAGGCCACCATTTTTTTTCCCGCACTTCGATCTCTCTTCACTTTAGTTGGCAACTCCTCGAAAGGAAACACCCACTGAGCAGATTGTCTTTTGGTTTTAGGATCATAACAGTAAATCCAGCTTTCGTCACCTGTTAGTATGTCGAACACAGCATTTGAGTCACCTCCGTTAAATCTTTCAATCATTTTACGACACCAATCCACACGATGGAGTTTTTGAGCCTCAGTCAAATTATGAGGTATCCACCGGGCGCAAAGCTTCCTGACCGCTAAATGTTCGTGGAGGATTTTGTGCACTTGACTCATACCGATGCCTAAGCTTGTCCGAATCTGTTGATAGGTCACTCTTTTGTCAGTCTCTATCATACGCCGCACAACACAGATGTTATCTTCAGTCGTCGCCGTAGAAGGCCGTCCCTCACGTAAATCATCAGTGAGATTAGTGCGACCACGTTTAAACTCATTAAACCAGTTGTAAACAGTCGCACGAGATGGGGCTTCATCGTGAAAGGCCAATCGTAGTCTATCATAACTTTCTTGTTGACTTAAATGACATCGAAAGTCATAAAAAATCATTGCACGAAAATTTTCTCGTGTTAAATTCATGATGACGTGACACAGACAATTTTCAATTTGCCGCCAAATCGTAAAACAAATGACAAATTAATGAAATATATACTCAGTAATATTGGCAAAGAGTTATATTTTCAAATTTTAGAATTATTTTTTTATTATATTGTTTATAAGTGGCCAGTTCTAAGAACTTTCAGTTTGACCCTCGTATTGTGCAATGTTGTAAAGCGTTTAAAAGTTGACCGACCCAGTTTTGTAGCATAAAAGATATAATCTGTCGATTTATTGAAGGAATTTACTGTCAATTTTACGTCTAATTTTGATAATATAGATCATAAACACATTGTTTGGACACATAGTCACAAAGATAAAACCTCACCCAAAATAAAACAAACACAGATTGTAGAGACTATATTTCAAGGGTAACGTTTATGTTTCATAAATTGAGCCTATCGAACAGTTGCTTTGCAGGAAAACTTGTTTAGGAACAAATGTGGTTGCAGTTATTAATGATTGGTTGTTATAATGCACAAAGTACATGCATATCTAACTCAACCCTAACAAGGGACAAGGTGAATCGAGTCACGGTCTCGGCACAATTGCGACAGGTAGGGGACAGCTGCGTCGGTTGGTATTAGCGTCATCCGTAAATGCTGCTATGCAATGTCAAGGGCACATAAAGATATACAAAGAAAAACAAATACTTCGAAGAGAAATATCATCTATAAAATTATATATACCTCCCTAAGTTTTAGACAGTTGTAATGCTAAGGAATTAAAACGTAATATAAATGCTAATTTGAATGATAAGGACAATGAATCACAAGAGAAATAGATTAAACATTTCATTCGACGTTTTAGCAAACCTAATAAAACCAACAGTCAACATCCAGATAACGTCGTCGTCGATCATAAAGAAACTCAAATACACTATTCAGCATTTGTGTCCGTGGGAATTCAAGATGAACTATTTATAGAAATGCGCTCAAAACATCAGTATTATAATTTATTCCGATTACGTCGTCAAAAAAAATTAAAAATACATTCGTGTCCTAACATGACTGTTATAATTTCAGGTGAACCAATCTCATGCATTAACGACGGAGCTATTCCTGGTCATGTACTCAACACGTACTGCTGGATCACATACACCTTCACACTGCCTAATTCAGACTCCAAGGCTATAGCGCACCCCGGCCTTGGCAACGACTACGAAGAGGAGAAACGCATCCATGCTTACTATCAGTGGGTGCCGTTCATGCTGTTCTTTCAAGTAAGGACACGAAATATCTCTTTCTAATTATTTAACTATCAAATTCTAAATGAATGCAATATCTTTATAAATTCTCACTGTGACCAACGATATTTAATGATTATACAATCATTTAGTTTACAACTACAATATGGGAATGATTGATTTATTGTAAACGAATGAAAACCATGTGCTAGAGAAATTTCCATGAATTGCATGTATGTCTTTACCATCAATGGCAACTCTGTTATCATTCATAGTTAAAATCAATGCAACTGCAACTATTCATTTTGTGACTAACGACGTTATCGACAAGTCGTTGAAACCGGATATAAAACCACGTGTGTGTAACCATTATTCACGCGAATTAATCATACATTTTTACATTCCACAGGGTATACTATTTTATTTACCACATTGGATATGGAAGAATTGGGAAGAGGGTAAAGTGCGCATGATTTCGGATGGCATTCGTGGTACTGCCGCAAGCATAGCTGATGACAAAAACAATCGCCAGGTAATAATTTATCTTTAAATAAATCTGTAAATCCGCCATGATTTCTTCGTTTAGCACTGAAATATCAGGTACCAGTTGCACCGGTGATTATACTTGTACCGTACTATTTCCGCCATGAAGCAGTAATTCTGGTATTGTCGTGTTCCGGTTTGAATGATATAGGACGGCAATGTAATTGAGTCCACTGTACAATGATAAATATGTTATACTACACGGTACATACAATTGCAGCTAATTTAATAGCTTAAAACTAATAACAGATAATTTCGTATTTACCATCCTTAGCCTTTTATCGGGTTACATCCCCATTTAATTAACTCCCGGAGTATTTCCCTTTTATAAGATATGGAAATATAGTAAGCTTGTAGAGATATACCAACTAGGTTAACATTAAGCATAAAAAAATATTTCAGAATCATATTACTTTACATGTCATTGCATGTGTTAGATATAATTTATGTAATTTCTCACTATTCAAAGAAATAATAATAGCAAATCCAATGAAACCTATACGATGAAACAAGTGCCCCAAGAATTATATTAACAAGGCCTGATGGCCGTCGCTAATTAGCAGAATTGAACGATATTCAAGCCACATACAATTGTATCTATTTGTACAGTCGCCAGCAACGAAATGCATAATGTCAACGTAATATTGTCAACGTCGTCAGTTTATAAACTGACTAGAATTATTATAATCGAAACGAACCTAAGCTTACTACAGTTTATAATTTAAAGAGACTGATTACAAACTGACAAGCGACCATGTTTACAGTTTTAAGTTGATATATCACAATATAATATGGTAAAACTACTAACATTGGACTGGATTAAGTTGAAGTTGTTATTATATCAAGAAAGAGGATGTTAGCAACGCATTCCGCAGTCAATATTAAAGTTTGGGTGACAAATATCGTCAAATTTGACATAATCCTATCTTTTAATCCTATTATGGTGTAATTTAGCCGTAATAACTGTAACGTTGATAGCACCGTTAGCCCTTTTACATCCCCAGTGCCAGAGCTCAGGCCTTCCTTTTAGATGGTTAAGAAAGATTGGTCATAACCATTACGCTGAGCCAACTTGCATTAGAGCAGCCGGGACCAAGGGCTTAACGTGCTTTCCGAAGCAAGGAGTAGTTTAAGATAAAAATTTTTTGGTCACCGATTCCGTGATTCACCCTTGCGAAAGTTGTTTAACAACAACGATCACGGGCCGCGGCGCATATCCGCTTTGCCACTGAGCTGCACTCTTAAGTTGATATATATTTTACCAATTTAAAGAAAATCCCTTTCATTATTTTCAGAGTCGTCTAGTTCAATACTTAATGGAGACACTGCACATGCACAACGCTTACTCATTCGGTTACTTTTTCTGCGAAATACTAAATTTCGTCAACGTGGTAAGTTAATAAAATCCACTTATTCAGTCTTTCTCAAATTTCACACCATTCAAATTAATTATGTAATTATGTAACATCTTTAGGTTGGAAATATTTTCTTCCTGGATACCTTCCTGGGTGGAGCTTTCATGACCTACGGCACCGAAGTAGTAAAATTCTCCAACAAGAATCAAGAAGACCGAACTGATCCTATGGTAGGTTTTTTGAAATACTAATTTAGTCATGTAACAAGAAACATTATAGTAATCACACGTAAGCTTAAAAGTATATTAACAAATTGTAACGTTAATTATGCTTTGCAGATCGAGATATTTCCCAGAGTAACTAAGTGTACATTCCACAAATTCGGTGCTTCTGGAACGATCCAGAAACATGATGCCTTATGCGTGCTGGCCCTTAACATTCTAAATGAGAAAATTTTCATTTTCTTATGGTTCTGGTAAGTTAACATATCTGCATAATACTGGTGTAAATTATAAACGAATTATAACAGTAACTTTTGATCCATAATGACTACACTTTTTTGACCCATTTGGACACACAAAAACAATGTCATTCTTAATGTAATTATTTTACGTTTTATGTATTCTTATCTTATTCTAATGCAAAATTTATCAATTATATTAACGTTTTATGTATTTTAGGTTCATCATTCTCTCTGTTGTCTCCGGTCTAGCCATTTTATATTCAGCTGCTGTAATACTGATGCCAAGAACACGCGAGACCATTCTAAAGAGGAGATTCCGTTTCGGAACACCGAATGGAGTTGAGGCTTTGGTTAGAAAGACTCAGGTAATTGATGATCAATATACCCATTTAGGATGACCATAATTTATAACTTTTTACACTACTGGATAAATAGAACTGAGGGCATGATTATCTTATCTATCTTTCAGAAAATATTTAGAATATTATGATTGCAAATATATTATATATTGTGAATGTTTCAGGTTGGAGATTTTCTGCTTCTCCATCTTTTGGGTCAGAATATGTCGCTACGAGTCTTTGGCGAAGTACTAGACGAACTCTCTCGGAGATTGCACCTCGGCTCTAACCCACCGTCGGCGCCTTCTACTTTGGAGATGGCTCCTATATATCCCGATATTGACAAATTCTCCAAAGAGACTGAAACGTAAGCAACCAAGAGCTGTCGACCTGGGCGAGGTGACCGCAGAAATATTATATTAAATGTCGAATACTTGCTTGTTATGATTTTTTGTAAAATCTTGCCTCTACGTCCACTTGCCTTTGGTCGACCACATTAAAATGAGCATAACACTTTATTAGGATGATCCTTTGTTCAAATAACATATTCGAAGGACTGATGACATAATAAATATTAAAGATCTTGCATACTAGTTCCTTCGAAATATGTGATTGGCACAATTCAGAATTAACTTTGCAGACATAAAAGTTCTGAATGATCTAGTGTATTGCTCGTTTTATATTAATGACGCACATCCAACGTTGCCTATACTCGATAATAGATATTAAAAAGTATTGAAATATATACTTAACTCAAACAACGTTCAGCATGACATTCCTTATTATAATTAAGACAACAATTAGGTTAAATTGTCGGCCACAATATTTTTTTTTTTGTATAAGCTTTAGCTTTAAATTTGGGTCTCAATAAAGTTTAGTGAATACAAGATGGATAAAATTGTGAAATGTATGTGTATAGATAAGAAGTCAAAATTGTTGCGGAGAACATTTTTGTGTAATGATAATGTGAATGATATAAATGAACAGCTAGTGGTTATTATCAATGTGTCGTATTGTGTTAGTTCGATGAAGACTGTTGTAGTCATTTGAAACTTTCATAAAATTATTTTGTGTTGTTAGTACATAGATCTAAGTTTAGGTTAGCAGTCTGGAATTAAATAAGCTTAGTACTGCTGTGAATTTTAGGATAACGTACGATAATAGCAGAGAATACTACATATGTTATAATAGATTTATTTTTCTTATTATTTACTTATATTATTGCCTTATAGTAGTGTGCATTTGATTGTAAAAAATACATATCGGCCCGATGATCATCTACTTATACTAGTAGGAACGAAATTTATATATTTCTCGTAGTACTCAATTTTTTAAAGGATTTTTCGTAAATTAAAAGGTCTATTTCTTTTTTTAGTCGAGCAAATTAAGTGGGAGTAATAAGTGTCCTTTCAAATTTCGTACTATAAAAGACTATTAGAGTTTAGATATGACGGTGCGATTAGTACTATTGTACACAGCAAATATTGTGCCATTAAAACAGTGTTTTCATTATTCGAAACGCGGAGCATTTAATTAATGTTCGATAGAAACTTTAAATGTCTTCCCAGGAATTTTATATGTCTTATTAAACATAATCATAATAGTAAATAGATTTTAACTCACTATTAGTTAAACGAATCTCTATTTTCTCCTTTCTTTCATTATTACCGTAGCATAATGTCATAGTTTTTAATTGACGTCAATCTGCAGTATGCCTGTGAGAATCATGTTAATATTATTTAGTTATAATAATGTATTTTACATTAATCATGATATGTATCATTCCTTTAATAAATATTATGTAACCAATTTTGTACAATTAGGAAGACTGCATTTGTGACAATACTGAGATAGTTTGGTTATATTTTCTTGGAATTAAACAATTCATATATAATTTTATTTGTTTTATTTTTTCTAAGCATAGTTTGATTGACAATGGTTATGATAGACATAAATAAAAATTAAGCTCATATAGAAAACAATGGTACATACCAGTTTCTGCATCAACACAGAAGAGCTAACAAAAAATCTATACTATGATGTTATCTAATTTATAGCACAACAAATAAAATTTAAATTATAGAACGGTGCGATTGTAAAACAATCGTAAAAATAGAAAACAAAAAGAGTGAAATGTCAAAAAAAACCTAAAGAAATTAGCTTTGTGAGAAAATTTAGATCATAAAATATCTAATACACTTATATCTCTATTTATTGCAAGGTTAGTTAATGATTGCAAAGTCAATAAAGAATAAAAAATATAAATGGCATGCATACATATTTTTAAGCAGGACTCTACTAAATTATTGTACTAAATGTAATATGGTATGTAAGCGAGTACTTCACTCATTTATTTAAATTAGAATAAACTCTTGCAAGTACATTTACAATTAGAGTGTAAATAAATATAAGACAATATCACATACATTGCACAGATTCCAGGATGAGTAGCTAAAGCCCCCGTGTTATGGAGTATCTGAGACAACGAAGGTCACCCAGAATCGAGACAACATAGAAAAGTTCATTTTCTACATTGACCCGACCGGGAATCGAACCCGAGACCTCAGAGTTATTTTTAAACCGGCCCTGCGATTCTGTAAAAATCCAAACTCGAATTCACTCAGGTGTCCGGATTCACATCAAAAAACGAAATCCGCTCAATGTTGAATTGGTATGGTAATACCGTTTTGTGGCATAGGTGAAGTGAGTTTCGAAATGACAAAGGAATAGGATATCTGAGACAATCAATTTATTTTTGTATTTTAATATGAATACGATCAATAGAATTTCTTTACTAAATGACGTGAATTCTAATACGGGTTCGGATTTTAACAGAATCGACCTGCCGGTCCCATGTTAAGTAGCTGAAGCGCTTGTATTATGGAAATCTGAAACAACTGATGTACAACATACACGAAGTAACATAAAAACGCTTTTTCTACATTGCCAACTGGGAATCGAAACTGGGATTGTTCAACATGTTTCTCAAAGTACCCTATGACTTACCGATTCCCCCAGTCCAGTTTGGCCACGAGCTTGAGTCTCAGCGCTCTGGTCTGGTCCTGGGTGAGAGTTCCAGCGAGTAGAGCCCGCCGTCCGCTCAGCAATTCCCTCATCACCTTCGCGACAGCGCTGAATCTGTACGTTTCCCGTTCCTGAAAAACGTGATCCTGATAAAAATACGAAGAACCAACTAACCATTTCTATAACTCGTACGATCAAACATGACACCTGAGGACCTATTCTATTTGTCCTGGAACAATATTCAGAAAGCTTAGAATCACTCTTTAATATTATTAAAATCATATCCATGATAATTATCTATGCACCAGAAGCAGTGTCAGGTCCTAATACCGTTGCATCAAATATTATGGAAAAATTAATTTCTTTGGAGTCGTAATAGCATTTCGGAAATAGACGAAATTTCTTTTTTGGAAGCCTTCAGGAGTCAAGCAATAGCTTACGGGATCGGTGGTATATACTGATTGAAGATGATTCGCGCGCGTCTTGGAGTCAGTCAAAAAACTTCAGTACTGATAAATCTATATTATAAAAAGGACAGCTTTGATTGATTGCATTGAATAGGCACCGAAACTCGTACACCGATTTTAAAAATCCTTACACTTATAAGAAGGCTAGAATTTATGCGGACGAACTCGCGGAAAATCAGCTTCTATACAATATACCTTTCAACTGTACACAATCGACGGATGATCCGTCGCATACTAACGTATATTTCCGTAAGATGCTTTGTCCGTTCTTCGGTATGATTTGAAACGATCCTTAGATAATATATAATTTTCATGAAATCTCGACATTAGTAGATACCGAAATATTAAAACAAAAATAAATTTCGATGTCCCCTGTACGTCTTCGTTGATTGTATGACATGTTAAAAAATAATGTTCATTTGGCTCCTAGAGATGACACAACGACCTAAAAATATTTGTAATACAGTCTGTTAATCTTATGTTATTCTCTGTCTGGTTGATGACTCAACACAAGATTAAGACAAAGGAATAAGAAGGTGAATGATATGAATTAACGTATCTTTAGAAAACAACTATTCTAACTAAACAATTCTAGTTAGTTGTGTTTTTGAGTCACCCGTTTATTTAAATCTTGCTTTTCTGTGAAGACATCAGCAAAGATCAACATCCAACGCAATATCTAGCACAGCGTTGTCACACCGTAAATATTTAGTCAAATAAACCCTTCATTAGATTTTTAAGTAGAATTTTAATTTTTTTTTTACAAAATAATAAAGCAATAAGTAAAGATTTCGTATCATAAACATCATCATTCATGTTATATGTAATTAAAATCACCGGAATGAAAAATCAATGTATGCAAAAACTAAAATATACATTCTACAGTGGCAGTTCTCAACCTTCTTTAGCGATGGAAACTTTTTGGAAACCAAATAAATACACTGAACCCCAAACTAAAAACCAAACCGTGAAAAGTTTACTGTAGTAATGTTCATTACATATTTTACTTAACTCCGATTTACTACATTCCAAATCACTGATTCACCCAACTTATCATTTGCAGAAATATGACCAATATTTACGTGAACTCCAACATAAATGCTCTGCGGTGACCAAAGATCCGTGGAAACTCAAAAACGCTTTTAATCAACAGTAATTTTATATGAAAAAAAATTCAACAGCGGCAATTATATATTTTTTTAAGTCATTTGTTATTCATTACTTCCACTTTCCACTACATTGTATCCATTACACTTGATTATATTAATGAGGAAGTATTAAAAAAAAAAAAACCCGAAATCAAACTAGATGTCTCTACTGTACTTTCTTGATTTCTCCATGCAACCAAAAAAAACTAAATACTCATATTCTATTTGTACTTTTTCGTATTTATATTGATATATAAGATTCGAACTTCGCAAATTTCACTTTCTATATATGTTAGTTAAAAGGAAAGGTAATGACCATGTTTGATCCATTCGTTTCCTGCAAAAATCAACTTTTGCTACAGTCGCCATCAAGTGGAAGTGCTTTTTAGTGTTAAATTACTTCCTCATTGGTTAGTTCGTTTGATCTCCGATTGTGAAGATTACGTTCGTAAAGGCCGGTAGGAAGCATTGGGATCATTCGTACACTTTTCATTTCAATCAGATGGGTGATCTTTTTTTTTATTTGATTGACCCGGGGTGGAGCGGGACAGGCGTTTATTGAGATTTTTTTTATTATTAACTGTATAAGATAGAATATTGTTTGGAATTAGTCCAGCAAAATCGTTTAAAAGATGTTCGCAAAAGCCGGTAATCGGGATGGGTGATCCTTTTTTTTTTATTTGGTTGAGCGGGATGGAGCGTACCAGGCATTCACGGAGAAAGAACGACATTCGCAAAGGCCAGTAACAGGATGGGTGTCAATTTCTTTTATTTGACTGAGCGCGGTGGGATAGGGTAACGTAGCGGGATAGGACAGGGTGGAGCAATTGCGAAGAGTAAGCAACGTTTGCAAAGGCCAATAGTGGAATGGGTGATCATTTTTTATTTTACTGGGCTGGTGGTGAGGGGCAGAACGGGGTATGTAAAAAATTCGATTACCAGCCTTTGCAAACGTCGGTTACCCTCCATTAAATTTGCGGATCAAAGGAATCGAGCCAATCCACCCAGCATTCTTCACTGGAACCGCGTAAAGGTCCCAATGAGGATTGGTGGTGCTAAAGCACAGACATAAGGGATGAAACCAAAACACCCAGAAATCGTAACTGGGAAGCATGAAGGTTCCTATGAGGATTGGTGGTGCGAAAACATAGATATTATTAATGGATGAAACCAAAGCACCTAAAATTCCTAATTGGGCCTGCGTGAAGATCCCACTGAGGATTGGTGGTGCTAAAGCACAGATCTTTTTCATAGATGAAACCGATACACCCAGCATTCAAAACTGGGTCTGTGTGGAGGTCCCAATGCGGATTGGTGATACTAAAGCAATAAATTCTTAATGGATGAAACCAAAACATCCAGAATTCCTAAATGGGACCGCGTGAAGGTCCCAATGTGAATTGGCGGTGCTAAAGTATATATATTCTTAATGGATGAAGCAAATCCACCCAGAACACTAGGCCCGGGTGGTCGTGCTAAATCGATACGTTATAGAAATTTTACCACCCATCCGATTATTATGATTATGGCTTTGCGGTCGTCGCTTAACCTCCGCAATTGCATTTCAAACGCACTAAACACTACACCATCGAGCTTTTCACTTGTTTACATAGCAGGGATATTGTCATATGTTTTTGTCAAATTTAATATATTTTGATGATATAGTAAGATTACGCAACTGAATCGCTCCTCGATTTTACTCATCAGAAAAGCGAAAACATATCGAAAGCTGATCGAGCATTCGATAGGCCTCATACATTTGAAACGATATCGCAGATCATGAGGACGTACGTCTGCAATTAAATGACATGCAATTCGATGTCGAGGAGATTTGTGACCGATATCGACAGATTGTGCAATCTCATGAGTAAACACTTGCGATTCTCCATTTTATAGGGCGTGCAATTCGTGCGATATCGCTCATCGATATCAAAATGTATCGCATCGAGCAATGAGTAAAAAGCCTTAGCTATCTGAGTACATTTACAAAAAGTTCACATAGTGCTAACGGCCCATTAAATTGTTTTGTTTAATGCTTAGATGCATGCTGCTTAAAATTTAAATATTTCTCTAAAATCTTACCAAGAATCTCGATATTATGGTAAAGACTATCCCATCAAAAATATTTTCAAGTAAAATGTTGCCAAACAAGACCCTACGTCTCGCACTGTCAAAGTTATCAGATCTTATGTAGACCATATATAAACTTTACATCTTGGTGTTGCTTGGCCGTTTAACTACTGTCACAAAGACGTTAATTCGGCTTCGTTTCTTTTAACCTCGTGTCGCAAGTAGTATTGAAATGATGCACGAGAATTTTTAAACGACGCTATATTGTGACAGTACTTATCATAAGGTGCCATCTTGGCAAAATTTTACATGAAATTTTTTTCACTTGTTTATGTAACAATAAAAGTTATATTTTGTTTATTTAATGTCGCCATCCGTAGTACCCATCTATAGTATCCGGACACCAGTATCCGACCCTTTAAGGCAAAGTAATATAATAAATTTCATAAATAAATCCACCATAATTAGGCATTTTGCCCCGTTTCATTATTTTTTCTCAGAGTACAGGTGGGTTTATTTAGTTTGTAATATCTGTCGGTGTAGAGATCCTACAGGTATAAATGTGGTATTGTTAAACAGCTACAAAAGCAGGCAATAAGCTGACATAAAATTATTTTTTCATAACTCAATAAAATACCCTCAAAAAGTTATGGTCATGTGCTAAAATATATACTAAAATACGTTTTGAACTCCTGATCAAAGGATTTAATTGATATTTAGTATAACAAGTCTTTAAAAACAATAGACTTTATTAGATGACTTATGCCAGATTTCACTTTTCAATCTATAGCATAAATATTTAGGAATCGCCTGAGGAGAAAATGCATTTAATTAATGAGTAGGACCACCTAACGACATTAAGCAATGTCTAAAATTATGACATGCGTTATGCACCACCTTGTGCTAGACTATTCTACGTTTCGTAAGATTGGTGCTTCCTAGTTAAGCTATACCTTATTCTTGGTTAGTGAAAATGGGTATTAGGCAACCATACCTTGCATCAGTGTTTGCTGTAGATTCTGTTATAAATCATGGATATAGTTAAATAAAAATACATGTTTTTTACATTTATCAAAGTTTAAATCTTACCACATATAGTTTCTTCCACAGTCGCGCCCATTCTCTTAATACAATAGCTATCTCTCGTACAAGAGGATCGTCTTTAAGCTCCGCTATGGCGTTAGCACCAGTTCCCTTCACAATACTGGGCCGAATAGTAACCACACATAGGGGGAATATGCCCCAGGCTGACCTATTTTTGGTACTGAAGCCACGATACCAGCCTAAAAAATATATAGTTAAAAATAATATACCTATACAAGATATTAAAACAAAACTGTATTCTTATCAATAGTCTAAAACAAATATTTGTATTGCATATTCCTTAGTTTTAACTACTTGTTTTAATAAATCTATTCTCATTTTCAAGTCTGTGCTATTTATTAAAAATAATAAATATGTCATTATGCATTATCCCAATATGTTGTTGTATCTAAACCAAAGTCTTATAATAAGTACCGATGATTTTTTTGTCTTAATGTGGGCAACATAGGCAAAAACTACAACACAAAAATATTGATAGGTTTAAAATAAATACTATTCTTTGATACTATTCTAACAGTAAAAGCCATAATAATGTCAGTATTGCTTCTACAATATTAACAACATATTATTTTATATGAGCAATACTTATTTGATATTTGTGAAAGACAGGATGCTGCAAGTTTGAGAGACAATTGCTCTGGGAAGCCACATTTGATATGATACCCAGACACAAAATCATTTATTAATCAGCAATGAATTATGATATATTTTATGCATAAGAAATATAAATAGTTAATCAATAAACAAAACAGCAAAAAGAATTTTTAAAGTCAGATAATAAGAAAAAGGCAAATGTATTCACACACTACATAAACCGCTACACACTAAGTGCATGTATATAGATATATTTGTGCATATACACTTATATGAGTGACAGTTCACAGACAACTTATTTTTTATATTGGGGCGAGAGAATGTGATAGTGTTATCTTTGTTTCTTACATATAAATGCTTTCCACCCCTTTTATGATCTTTCTATGCCCCCCTTGGAAGTGCTTAAAAATTACAAACCAACTTTACTTTTGATTAAAAATTCTTTGTATAATAGGAAGTATTAGATGAACTATATTGTATATTATTTATATTCATCTTTTTATCCATTTTTGTACAAAAAGATGAGAATTTACTTTACACCTTATATAGCTTTGTCTTGCCCAATGTGAATACATTAACAATTTATGACAGTTTTCTTGTTGATGCATATAAAAGTATGACAGATCTTTTCTTTTTCATTTTTGTATAAACATAATACCTATTAAATAATTAAATTCTACCACAAAGTTTAAACTGATGACATACCTCCATTTTCCTCAAGAATTTGAACAGCTTCTCCTATCTCTAGGGGAAGTCCTGAACGTACATCTCCTTTCCAATTGTAGACAGCTGGAATAATAATAATTCTCTTATTATTATATTTGATCACTTATGCATTCACAATGCTACACTGAAAAATATTCTTGATGAAAAATGCTTAAAAAAGCATTAGTATGCAACATATCTTATGTTAAGTATACAAGGTTGATATTATTTAAATTATTTATTTCACTTCTGATGTTCGGCAACCAACAAGCATCTTTTGTCAGATCTAACCCTAAGAATACATAATACACATGTTGTGAATGACAATGTCACTAATAAAAATGAGGTATTTTTTACTTTTGGCGACATCTTTCTTTGTTAAGTATAAACTTGAATATTCAGAAATTCACTTAATTTAGTTGGATATGATGATTGTATTAATTTTTTTGAAAAATATTAAATTTATTGTACTAAGTAACTATCAGGTACATATAGAAATTCTTAAGATTTTATAATAGATACATGTTGAAAAAATTCTACATACAGATTTTATTTCTAAAAATTAAATTATGAGAAGTGTATTTTCTATAAACAAAGCAAGTCGATAAAACAAATTAAGTACTGAACTGTTAATTAAGATCTCTTCCAAAACTTCTACTCATTATAAAAAGTAAAAGAGCTCTAAGCAGTTATCGTAATTAAAATTCCTATCATATTACACCAACATTTCCGTTTTATAGTAGGCAGGATGTATGCATTGCCGATAGAAATATGACAACTTACCGACGCCTAATTTAGGAGATTTTAATGGAACCCACATTATATCGGCATTTAGCACTACAACGATAGCTATTTCCAATAAGCTCTTAGTTAAACATCTTTATTCTGGATAATACGAATGTAACTATTCGAAATTCCAGAATAAAGTTAAATATTAGCTCTATGCAAGAAATAATTGTATTGTTGACAATTGACATGAGATAGAGATTTGCTTGTTACAAAAATATCGATATAATAATCAATATATCGATTAATCCAAGTGTCCAATTCGATAAATCAAAATACGACATAAAATAAGTGGGAGATATCTAAAATTATGTGTTACGGCCGGTTTCTGAATTGAGATAAGCCAAAATTTTTATCAAATGTTTAAGTGACGTTTAAGAATGATTTGACACGTAGCTTGACATTAAATTTTCTACTCAAAAGTCCGGTGTATGATCACTAGTTTTTTTATTTATTGAGTGTAAGTTTGACGTTTTTTCATACGCAGTGGTCTAATTTGTACATTTCATGACATAAGTAAATGATTTCTTATTATTATCTATGTTTGAGATAATAGACGATTTTTGTATAAGTTTTATTCCTTTCACATTTCCCAATTAGATAAAATCTACTAAAATTGTATGAATGAGCGAATTTGCTTATTTTTTTTTATCGTTTGATAGAATTACTTTGTTCCTTACAAAATGTTCAACTCAAAGGAAAACCGTTTATTTTATTTTTTTTGCATTACATGTTGTATTGTGTATTTGGTGCGAGCGGTGTTATAATATAGATTATAGAGAATTATAATTGGCGACAATTTTCTTCTCAATATTTTTTGTGTGTTTGACTATTTTATTTATTATATGGTAGCATAACAGTGAACGTTCGTGAAAAATGATTGTTATTTAAATATAACAATTAGAAAACTTATAACATAAAGCAAAATCATATCATTTGATCAAATGTAATGTTTAAGTATGTTTTGAGAAATAACTATATACAAGGTAATTTCCGTCAAGATTCACTGGCTCAGATAAGCATCACTCATTTAAGATATACAAAGGCTCTTATCGCAAAAAGTAAAAAAAAAATTGAGACTTTTTACCTTGTACTTATAACGCGGACTCCGATTTCCAGCTTACCTATTGTTCACTCCAAGATAACACGCTAGTTTATAACTAGTTATTATCTAACTGTGCTCTATGGTGAAACCGCAATGAGGAAGTATTTAAAAAAAATAAAAAAAATACAAAAAATTATGTTACTAGATGGCAGCACAAATTGTTGGATCTAAACGTCAATTTATGACGTTAACGTCATATGGTTTAAACCAAAGAGAATAGATTTGTTAGTGTTGTTATGGATCTGATAACTTGGATAAATATCGAGTTGAAATTTAACTAGTTCGAGTTATGCAATCGCAACTCGATTAATACAAAGTAATCTTTGAATAAATTTATTTTTTATTTGTATAGAGGAAAATGGAAACTAACATAATGGAAGTGAGCACAGAGGTTTTTTAAATTTATGGAAATCAATTGAATGCTGTGATATAATTAAAAGTGGCATCTAACTACGGTATACAATAATATTACGTTTTATAAATAAAATAGGTACTTATGTCATAGTAGGTCTAGGAATTTTCATTTTAATATTTAACAAAAGTTCTTTAAAAATAACAACTAGGTAAGTTAGTTTTATTGCTATTAGTTGTTTGTTGAACTTACAACAACAAAACTACTTCAATTCTCAATATTTTTTTTTATATTATGCATGGTGAATAGAATGAATAGGGTTTATTAATCAGCAACAAAAGTCATAAAAACAATATTTTTTAAGAAAAATCCGTTTATTATCTATAAACTTACCCGATATGTATCAAGTATACTATATATTCGTACAAAATAACATAACTGCTGGCTAAAATGACGTTTGTGCAAAGTGTAACGTGCAAATAACTTGTGCTTTCGAAATTAAGACTTTATAAAACTATTATCAGTTATTAAATCTTATATTCATAATTAAATCATCTTAATAAACATTCAGCAATTAACAAGAAACGTCTGCTCTAAACGAACAGCAAGGTTGTAACTTTAAATTTCAAATGTCAAAGACACGTACAGTTATTATATTGCTACTGATCTTGCATGTCGACGGCGGACGTCGAGCCATGTGTTAAGTTAATTCGTACGGCGGGTTTGTTCTTTTTGGTTCTTACAATAATATTGTTAATAATAATTTGAATTCCTACACAACCTACTCTAGAAATCCGTTTTATTGAAATATATTATTTACTAAGTACCTAGAGTTGTTATGGTCTCTTAAAATCTCTGCGGTGGTATCGTGTGCGTTAGGTGGTTACGATCCCTCAAATATAGTATAGTTGAGTTGTTTAGTTGAAATTAAAAAAGCAGCCCTTGCTGAGTTTCTTGCCGTTTCTTGTCAGTAAGAGATCTCCCGCCTTAGTTTTGCGAACCATTGGTAAAGTTTTCGACTTTCACAAGTACTATGTAACAGTCTAGATTGAATTGATTTTGATATTTATATTAATATCATTCGTTTTGTGGATGCATAATGACACTTCATCTTCATCATCATTTTTGTTCTCCATTCCAAACCTGAATTCGACGAAAGTTACGAGCAACCAATAAGTTGGCTCATCACTAATGTTGACGTATCAACCAAACATCGTTCCTTTACACGTAACATAATAAACAACTTAAACTTACAATTAAAATAAATTAAAATTAGTTTGAAAGTGAGACATTATAAGAAACACAAAACGATGTCATATTTATTAATCGAAAATACTCAATTTACATTTATTACGTCAGAAATAAAATTTGAATGAATATCATAAACAAAATCCAAAACTCGCGAGTGACATCTAGTATGATTTCAAGAACTAATTTTTATTTTTAAATACTTTCTCATTATTCTTTAGAAACTTGACTGACATATCGATATTTAAACACGATATATCGTAATTGATATTATTTATAAATAAAATGTTATGTATTATTCGATCTTATTAATGAGGAAGTACTTAAAAACAAATTAGTTCCCGAAATCATTGCCTTGATTTCTCCATAACAACCCTTTCGGTTTTCTTTCGTGTATAAAATAAATTAGTTTTCAAAACTTAATAAAAAAACTCATATTCTATTTGTACTTTTTCGTATTTGTATTGATATCTAAGTTACCAACTTTCGAAATTTCAGTTTTTTAATATGTTGGTTTAAAGGAACGAAAATGACTACCTTTGATCCATTCGTTTCAGTCGCACAAATCAACTTTTGCTAGAGTCGCCATCTAGTGTAAGTGCTTTTTTAATGCTTTCACTTTTTATACTTTTTTATTTCGACATCCCTACAGGAAATAACAGCGGTCCGCGAAGTTTATTTTTTTAATGAGAAAGTATTAAAAAAAATTGTTGCCAAAATCTAACTAGATGTCGCTACGGTACTTTCTTGATTTTGATACAATATAAACCTTTTGAACATTTTTTATTTGTATAGAGTAAAATGGAAACTAACTTATTGGAAGTGAGAACAGAGGCTTTTTTTTAATTTATGGAAATCAATTGAATTAATTCTGTGATATAATTAAAAGTGGCATTTAGCTGCGGTATACAAAAATATTACCGCCAAATAGTTTTTATAAATAAAATACTTAAGCCATAGTAGGTCTACGAATTTTTCATTATAATATTTAACAAAAGTTCTGAAAACAATAACAACTAGGTTAGTTAGTTTTATTGCTATTAGTTGTTTGTTGAACTTACAACAACAAAACTTCATCAAGTCTCAATACTATTTTTATATTATGTGTGGTGAATGAACGAATACGGTTTAATGATCAGCAACAAAAGTCATAAAAACGATAATTATAATAAAAATTACGTTAATTATCTTTATACTTACCCGATATATATCAAATATACTAGGTATTCGTACAAAATAACATGACTTCTGGCTAAAATGACATTTGTGCAAAGTGTAACGTGCTAATAACTTGTGCTTTCGAAATTAAGACTAAAAAACTATGATCAATTATTTAATCTTACATTTATAATTAAATTATCTTAATAAACATTCAGCAATCAACAAGAAACGTCTGATCTAAACAAACAGCAAGGTTATAACTTTAAATGTGAAAATCACAAAGGCACGTACAGGTATTAATTATACCATTGCTACTGATTTTGCATGTCGTCGGCGATCGTCGAGCCATGTGTTAAGTTAATTTGTACGGTTGGTATGTGATTTTATATTCTGATAACAATATTGTTAATAATTGATTGACTTCCTACAAAACCTACTCTAGAAATCAGTTTTATTGAAATATATTATTTACTAAGTAGGTACCTAGAGTAGTCATGCTCTCATAAAATCTCTAAGGTGGTGTCGTGTGCGTTAGGTCGTTACGTTCCCTCAAATATAGTATAGTTACTATATAGTATAGTATATAGTAATATAGTATAGTAAATAGTAGAGTTATATAGTTGAAATTTAAAAAGCAGCCCTTGCTGAGTTTCTTGCCGATTCTTGTCAGTACAAGATCTCCCGCCTTAGTTTTGCGAACCATTGGCAAATTTTTGACTTTCACAAGTACTATGTAACAGCCTAGACTGAATTAAATATTAAACCAATTAAGACCGATTTCTATTCTGCCATTTATATCAAAAGTTTTGGAAGCCATTGTGCATAGTCAATTATCTGCTTATGTAGCCAGAAATCATATTATGAACCAGTATCAGTCTGGCTTTCGTCGAGGTCATAGCACCACTACCGCTTTATTAAAAATAACTGAGGATTTACGTGATGGCATGGGGATGTCACGGTAAAATTTTTTATGTCTTAACTCTCCGGTTGACTGGTAGAGAATGCCTACTGGCATTAAGTCCGCCATTTGTACACTTTATTTGTGCAAAAAAATAAATTGAAATAAATAAATAATATCATTCATTTTGTGGATGCATAATGTCACATACAAATACAAGCTGAATTCTACGCTCCCCTTTTTGTTCTTAATTCCAAACATTACGAGTCTATCACGGAGAAATCAAGAAAATACCGTAGTGACATTTAATTTGATTTCGGGAACTAATGTTGTTTTTATACATTAGTGCAAAGCGTTAGTGTGTATGCTAGTGATGTCCCTCGAATAGCATTATGTGCCTCGAGTCACTCAAGCCATTTACCTCTCAATGGAGTATTCAAGTCACTCGTGTAAAAAAAAATGTAAGCGTGTAACACAAATGAGATTTTTCGTAACAATATTAGACAAATATCTTTTATATTTGAATAACATATTAATAAGATATTGAATAACATATTAAAAAGATATTTGTCGAATAGAGAATCAACTCGATGCGTCCAGTTGACTCGATAACTCTAGTACATACACGCACGAGTGATATTCTTTCACTCGAGTACGAGTTTGAATAAATCATTCGAATGACTCGAGTAAAACAGCACTTGACTCGCATCACTAGAGTGTGCTTTGCTTTTGCTGTATTTACTGTTCAGTTTCAGTTAAAGTTTCAGTTATCTTAAACTGTAGAGTGGTGTAGAGTTCATGGGCAGTGTTGAAATTCGTTACGGTAGAGTTTTATTTAACAAAGAGATTTTATCAATATTAATTATTTTACACCCAACTCTGTCAATATAAACCATGTCTGACGATTTTATACCCTTAAACCAAAGTACACCTGTACATGGAAAATGGCAAAGAAGAAATCAAAACCAAAGGCAGTATAATAATCGTTACCAACATATTGGACCACGGAGAAGTTTTTATAATCAAAATAGATGGAGTAATAATTCTATGAGAAATAGTAGCTTTGGGGTATGTTACAATTACACATTTATATACCAACATACAAATTTATTTACAATCTCAGATTTCGTTGCCTGTGTCAATTTCATAAATGGAAACTATGTCTTGATAGCATAAATCATCTAAGCCTTATCATTAGTTTCTTTTGATTACTTAATTACTTTTTGTGTACATTTCCAGACTGACTCCAACTGTAGCTATGGTCAAGATACTAATCAAAGTAGCATTGATGCATATCTTCATCCATCCATGCTTGAAGACCCATGGGAAAAGTTGAGGCAGAGAAACAATTCAAATTAAGTAAGAAAACCAAAAAGAGACACTATTCACTGCTCTGTGCACTTGTGTTATGAGTATAATACGGACATTTAGACTTTTTTATTATTTAGTTTGTAATTCATCAATATGTATAAGGTGGTTTATAAAAATGCTTTCATGTCTAAACTAACTCTGTATATCAAAACTTCATGTTGAATCTGTAAAATTTTAAAATTGAACTCGTTTTGTGTTCTTCAAGTGCGCATCTTTCCTTTCTTATTATACATAGTATAATAACCATTACACATATTATAATAAATAAAAATATATTAAACATAACACTTTCAACATTGTGCATTTATCATTGTTAATTTTACTAAACTCAGCTGTTTTTATTGTTTAGATTGAGAAACGGCTCTTTTTTAATTGTAATTTTGTAAATATCAGGTTATAGTGAGTATGACATTATTAATGCTAGAATATAATTTTAATTTTACCTTATAAGTGATCTAGATTACTGTGTTTGCTTAGGTTAAAATAAATTTATTATATTTACCTTTTTTTGTTGTTTTAATTATATTATCCCCTTTTTACTATTAGCAATAAAGTTATAGGTAGCGGAGAAAATTATTATATTAGTTTCAAAGAATACATGAATATCTTACATTATTTAATAGTAATAATACTAGGAAATGTGAATACCCATAAATATCACAATGTATTAGCGAGAAGGTTGGCATGGCCATAATAGTAGTATTACAGCTTTTGGTATTATCTTCTTTTTCAAATAGAGAATAAATTCAAGAAGCAAAAACCTATTCTCTGTTTACAAAAGTAGACAATACCAAGGTAGTCTTAAAAAAACAGAATAGGTATCTTGTGTAGCTTAAAAGCTACAACTACAGGTGATAGCACAAAACGAAACTAATTATCATAATCTATTGGAAGCTGGGTCAATTTAGTCATAGAACTGACAATCGTTGGAGCAACAAAATCTAGAGTGGAGATAGCGGATAGGCAAACATAGTGCAGGATGTCATCAGACGAGATGGAAGGATTATCTTCATGAGGTAGCTGGCAGGAACTGGATGAGATTAGTAGGTAAGAGAATAGTAAAATAAAGAAGCACTATGGCGTGCACTTGGAGAGGCCTATGTCCATCAGTAGACGTGTATAGGATGATGACAAAGATTTTTGATCATTATTGCGAGTTGCCTACGATCGATTGTAAGTTAAAATTTCCAACTTTTTTTTTACAACAAAGCTGATAGAGGAGCCGTTAAAATCAAAAGACTTACCTCTGTTGCATAAAGGCATTAAAATTACTTTTGTGTTTATAGTAATATTACCGATACAAATTTTTAAGTTTAGAACATTCATATGAGTTGAGTCTTTATTAATGGACGTTTGTGCAATTGAGCATATCTAGCACAACTATTATTATTATCTATTTGAATCAATGATGTCGCTAAAACTAATGTAATAATTTTAAAGGGCCTTTGTGAAACTGGGTGGGTGACAGACTTTTAATTTTTAATCTGACAGCAATGTTACGAAATGCTAATGATGTATCCGAAATAACTAAATATATGCCAAGGTATCTATCAGAAATTCGTTATGGTCGAGACTGTGGTCGGGTATGAACTTTGATCCAATTTCAGTGATGTTGGACACGCTTTGTAGCCAGCCAAGATTGAAGGCAAACTTATGAGTGTTACGCTGGCAGGTTACGGATTAACCCTTAACTTGGCAGTACCTTTTCCTAAAGATTTTTTGAGACTTTTTATAAAAATATGTGTAATTGAGGGATAAATAAAGATAAATTATATGAAAATTAAATAAATTTATTTTATCTTGGCAGGGTTTTTTAATGTCATTTATAAGTGACATTACCAATTAGCCTATGAAATTGAGCGTAACATATACGTCACATGAAACGTACATTGCCAGTTTAGCAAGATAATTAAACAATATAAGAAAAATAAAATTTATTAGAAAAACATTAAGCATATGACTAATTTAGAGATCAATATAGAAATCAGGAACCACAGAATGTAATTAATACTACTTACAACAAACTAAAATTTCAAAACTAATTGCAACACTAACATAAATCCACCTTTTGTTACAAAAATAAACATATGAAAACAAAATCAAACAAAACAATCACTTATTTTTATGAAATAATAAAAAACAATTTTTTTTAACAGTGAAACAAAGTCTTTGTTCACACTTTGAACACATCACCATCGTCTTTCCATTTTTACAAAAACGGCATCGCCCCTGAGATGTATAGAGGGGAAAATGATCGTAACAATCAAGACGTGATTCGTTGACGGGACGGGGTATGAAAGGCTTGGTGATGGTATCGGATCCAGGATCCAGGCTACCTCTTTGAAAACTAGATTTGGTATTGATTTTGATGAGTGCAAGAGCAGCCTGGATACGAAATTTTTTCAGTGACAATTTCTTATCATTTTCAAGTTGTACACAATCACGACGGTGCAAAAGCCAGCTATTATTGAGAGCAATATCCATTACCTGAGCAAATATTGCCATATACCATCGCCTTGTCTTCATACGTATTCTGTACAGTGCAGTCAACATATCAGCAATGTCAACACCGCCCATGTGCGTATTATATATTTTGATTACATGTGGACATGGTACAGAAGTTCTATTTCTCTCTTTTTTGTCGTATCTTTCTATTGTTCCGATCGGATCTTGGGCACAGAAAGAACTGGCAATGTGGATACATTGTGAATCTACCCACTTCGTAACAGCCAATCTCTTCGCATTATCACATACAACCTCAAATGTCCCACGACCTTTCTTTTTCATATCTTTGTCACTACTTAGGCGACAATTGCGCAGTCTGTCCTTCCGGATTGTGCCCAAAGATAGTAATCCCATCTCGTTACGTAAATAATAAAGTAACTCCAAAGAAGTAAACCAGTTGTCGAAGTAAACCGTGGAAAGAATCGGGTTGGATATAGTTTTGCATAGTCTGACAACTGTTTTGCCCCCAACACCGAGATAATTTTGTTCCCATTCTGTAAAATCAAATTGTTGAAAAGTATTTGCCCCATCATAGGCAAAAAAATCATACACCATCCCTGAAGTGCCAGCTCGAACCAAGAATTTAAAACCCCATTTATGGGGTTTTTTAGGATTATATTGCTTACGATTGCCAGCTTTTCTGCCTTTGTACGGTATAATCATTTCATCAACAGCAAATGATCTCTCTTCTTCCACTTTGAGGCACCGCTGCCGGATATGTTCCATCACAGCAGATACCTTGTAATAGCTGTCATTCTTGTCTACATTAATATTATCACAAAAATCTAAAAAACGTTTAATAGATCTGTAACGTTTTATCCCCATAGAAGACGCAATTGGCTCAAATCTAAGATCATTACTCCAGTAATCTTCAATTGCTGGCATCTTTACAATTCCCATAATTATATTGATACCTAATACTATTTCTATTTCCTTTCTTGTTACGCTGATAGATTTACCTTGTTGTTGTACTGAATACAGATTTGTCATATCTACAATGTAATCTAACAAATCGTCACTAAAAAAAGTTTTGAAATATTGCAGCGGAGACTGTAATTGAAACTGTTCTGCAAAACTAACACTTGTATCCACTTCCACGGCTCCTGTATATTTAGTTTTCTTAAACGTAAATTCTAATTGTAATAGTTTGCGCTTTTTTGCAGCAGGTTCTGTAGGTAGAAGTGGCATAGGGGACGACTCAATATTAGCGAATTGTTTGGTACGGCGACGTGTTGTGACTGTACTTGGTGTAAGTGGAGATCTTACAGAAGTTGTAGATGGTGTTTCCGGTACAATACAAGGTGATAAAACTTGAGATGTAGATACAAATGAGGATGATGCTGATGTTATAGGCATTGGTACATTTTGGTTAACGTGGTCATCTGATTCTTCACCGTCACTGAGATCCCGCATAAGATCATATATAGCAGGCGAAATACTTCTTACTGGCGAAGAAGTGTGAGAGCCATTGTAGTTATTCTTGAAGTACTCACGCGCTAGTATTCTTCCCTCTTCATCATCGTCAGATTCAACCTCTGAATCTTCAGAATCAGGAGGAGGTATTAATGCAAGAATATGTCTAGACCGCCAACCCCTCCTCACCATATTACTGAAATGAATACAGCCATTACTAAAACTCTTACTATACGCATTTTATCTCGTTATAATTATTATACCATGATATAATGAAAACAGGTAACTTAAATTTTACTAATAACCAACTGGCATTGTCCGTTATAAGAGACAAATATAAAAGTTACTATTTTCGAGGAAAAGTGGCGATGTCCGTTACAAGAGACAAACATTAAAGTTACTCCTTGTGAGACTAAATGGCAATGTCCGTTATAAGTGACATTAAGATTTATATTGATATTGAAAGAGAAATACAAATACTAATGTAACAAAAACTATTATAGATTATTGATATATTATTATTCTAACCAAATTAAACATAAAAAGCATATTAAACAAAGACATACTTACATAATATTATTTTTTTCGATCAGTGCAAAATTACTCGGCCGTTGCAAAATTTCAAATGATCGCTGCAGCACACCCACCGAGCGAAAGAGAGATTATTATGCATGAGTGCAACAAGGATAGCCTATAATACGCGAAGTATCAAGTGGTAGTTACGCGCGTTAATTCTAATCATATTTGTGTGCGTTTTTATAACACGTCACATGAAACGGACATAAACAATTTAAGGGTTAACTGCCGACATACGCTGCGCACGAGCCCTCAATAACTCGAAGAATTTAATTGTATCTCTCGAACATAGTAATGTTTTATTTTACAACCTGTACAACTAGACTACCTGGAACTTATTATTTCTTTAGTTCGAGATAAATATGTTATTGTTAGCATTTACCGACAATGGAGCTAAAATCACACTATTATTTCTAATAAACAATTTAGAAGTATACAGTAATAAACAATAGGATTATCACAATTGATGACTCACGATAACGTGCTTGGTGCAGGTGTTCAGTTTTATATTTTTATTTTGTTCTATTTCACATAATAAATAAAAATATGTTTATCACCTCTGCAACTTAATTTTTTTTGTTTTTCCTCTTTTACTCAAAATTTATGAGGAGAAACTAAACCTCTTCATGAGAAATCAAAATCTGCCCAAGTCGAAATTCTCCATAAGTCGAAAACTCTATAACTCCAATTTTTTAAAGTCTCCCTTGATGTTTGACTTATAAAGGTTCAACTGTAGTAGTAGTTTTGGGGTAATAATTATACTTATATTCGAGTTTTTATTGGTTGTCTGTAACAATATCATGGTTAGAACCAATTAGACTTGATAACTTTAAACTTAGTGCCATTGAAGCGTTACAGTTACTTTTCATTGCTTAATGATATTATGTATTTCCAGAGCGACTCCAACTATGGTCGAGATAATAATCAAAGAAGCATTGATGCATATCTTCACCCATCCATGCTTGAGGACCCGTGGGAAAAGTTGAGGCAGAGAAACAATTGAAATGAAGAAATAACAATACGCAAAAAGACATTATGCTCAGTGTTTGTGCTTTGTGCACATGTTTTAGTACTAACATTTTTTATAAAATACTTCGTAATTATTATACCTACATGTTCAAGAAGACTCATAAAGAGGCTTTATATCAATTCTCCCTGTTATTTTCTATTATCTCTAAATTCATCTAATTCACACTGTTTATTAAATTACCATGTTTTTTTTATGAAATACAGTAAATAATATTAATTTAGGTAAATCTTTTTTATAATATTTTATAACATTTAAATGTGTTTTTTTATTAATTCATTTATTTTATATCAATTCAATTATTTTTAAATCGATTGACTTTAATTTACATAGCATTATGTACGCTTTAATCGTGATATACCTACTTATACTTAACGTATTTTAAATAAGATTAAGTTTAAATTGACTAAGATAAATTTATAGATATCTAAACTTCTTGAATTTATTGGACTGTAATAATTAAGTCATCTGGCACTAACTAAATAAACATTTTTTATTGTTAAGAACGAGGTCTCAAATTATCATATCAGTTTATAAGCAGTATGACATGCCTATACATGAATTGATTTTTTTTAAATATAATTGTGATGCTTTAGTTAGAAACATAGTTTGACTATTTAAGTATTATTAACTTTTGATTATTTTATTTATTAATTAAGGCATGAGAAATATTAAATCCAAATTAAAAGTTAATATCCAATCAAAATTATTTACTATAATTCTTAACAACAACAAGGATCAATCCATGGAATGCTATAATAAATATCCACCTTGTGATTGACATTATTACTTGAAATAGAATTGTATGACGCTACCCAACCCAATAAATTTGTTTAGTAACACTCATAAGTTTGCCTTCAATCTTGGCTGGCTACAAAGCGTGTCCAACATCACTGAAATTGGATCAAAGTTCATACCCGACCACAGTCTCGACCATAACGAATTTCTGATAGATACCTTGGCATATATTTAGTTATTTCGGATACATCATTAGCATTTCGTAACATTGCTGTCAGATTAAAAATTAAAAGTCTGTCACCCACCCAGTTTCACAAAGGCCCTTTAAAATTATTACATTAGTTTTAGCGACATCATCGATTCAAATAGATAATAATAATAGTTGTGCTAGATATGCTCAATTGCACAAACGTCCATTAATAACGACTCAAAAGCCTTTTGATTTTAACGACTCCTCTATCAGCTTTGTTGTAAAAAAAAGTTGAAAAATTTTAACTTACAATCGATCGTAGGCAACTCGCAATAATGGTCAACAATCTTTGTCATCATTCTATACACGTCTACTGATGGACATAGGCCTCTCCAAATGCACGCCATAGTGCTTCTTTATTTTACTATACTCTTACTAATCTCATCTAGTTCCTGCCAGCTTCCCAGTACTAACATTCTATGTCTGACTATGAGATAAGTAATCTTGCCAAATATGTACCAACTCTACTATTATAATAAATAAATAAAATAAAAAATAAATAATAAAAGCCTTTTATTTCTTACTATAAACAATTAAGTAGTTTATGTGAATCTGTGCTATAAACTAGGCTAGTAAGAACCCCTCGTTCTCGAAGGTGAAGGCCTCCTCTAGAGACTTCCAAGCGTCTTTGTTTTTCGCTGTCTCCATCCACTGCTTTCCCGCCACCTATTATATCATCTGTCCAGCGGGCAGCTGGTCTACCTCTCTTTCTAGTGCCCGGTGGGTCGTCCCAACATGTTATTATGTGAGTCCATCTATTATCTGTTTGTCTAGCTATGTGGCCAGCCCAGCGCCACTTTAATTTTTTACAGTGATGTAAAGCGTCAGTTACTTTTGTCTTGTTTCTTATAGTTCTGTGCGATATTTTTTGGATTTAAAAAATTTTTAAAATACTTCTTTCCATACCTCTCTGACATGTTCTAATTTTGGATTTTACTCGATGTGTGAGTTTCCAGGTCTGGCTAGCGTAGGTTAAGGATGGTAGTATACAAGAGTTCATTATCTTTTGTTTTATTACGATGGACATATTGCTCTTCAGAACTTCTTTTAGGCTCCAAAATTTTTTCCACGCATTTGAAATTCTCCTCGCTATTTCTTGTTCATTTCTCTGCATTTTAAATGAGATTTGCTTACCTAAATATATGTAGGTGTCAACATACTCTAGCGCTTCATTCTGAAGGTATACAGGATATTTAATATAGTTTGTCATAATGTTGGATTTGTTGCGGTTAATTTCCAAGCTTACTTGTTGACTTGCGACGTAAAGAGCGTTTATCATTAATTGAAGTTCGGATGCATTTTCAGAGAACAGAACAATATCGTCGGCAAATCTTAAATGTCTGATATAGTGATTGTTTATATTTAAACCAACCTTTCCCCAGCTTAGTTGCTCAATAACTCGTTGTAGCACTGCTATGAATATTGTCGAAGAGATGACGTCACCCTGTCTTACTCCTCTATTGATTGGTATGTATGGTCCGGTCGTCTCTAGTTTGATCCTACTATTGCAATTTTGATATATATGCTGTAATACCTTTATATATGACATTTCAACATTTTGCTGTTGTAGAGTCTCCCATATTGAGTGATGGTATAAAGTGTCGAAAGCTTTTTGGTAGTCTACAAACAGAAGGTAGAGAGGTTTGTGAAACTCTTGATATTTGTCTATAAGCATATCGATAGAGTGAATGTGTTCCACAGTAGAAAAACCTCTTCTAAAGCCTGCTTGTTCCACTGATTGGTTCTTGTCAATAGTGCTTCTAATTCTCTTTTCTAAAATTGTTGAAAATAATTTATTAATCGAAGACAGTAGACTTATAGGTCGGTAGTTACTAATAACATTTGGGTCACCTTTTTTGTATAATAAGATAATATCAGATTCAGTCCATTGTTTAGGTGTTGTGGCCGTTTTGAGCACCAAATTAAAGAGCTGTGTAAGAGGGCTTACTAGATGTCGACTTCCTAGTTTCAGGGTTTCGTTGGTTACTTTGTCGGGTCCTGGGCTTTTTTCAAACTTCAATTTAGCGATTCCATTCATTACCTCTATTTCGTCTATGTCTTGTTTATTCTGTACGTCAAAATTTCCCGATTTTTCATTTGGTGGAGTTGAAAGCGGGCCTTTTTTTTTCATAACTATATAATTCCTTATAGAAGTTAGTAGCAACTTGAAGTATTTCCTTTCTTACGCCAGTTGTTTTATCTGAAACCGTGAGTCCTTCTAACCAGGTTCTATGTGATCGTAATTCTTTGTTAGCCCTCTTCAAGCTTCCGGACTGCAGTACGTGTTTTTCAATGGTCTTTTTTCATTGAGTGCTGTAATCGTGTCGGATATATTTGCTTATAAGTTTTTCATGCTCGTGTCTTTGGTTTAGTGTTTTGCAGTTGTTGCCTTCTTAACATTAAATTTCTAGTACGGTCTGATATAGCAGAATGAGTATTTATGTATTTAGAAGAGTTATGAGCTGTTTTTAACTCTACTGGTATAACTACTAAATAAGCTATTCGTGTATTCTTTGAAACTAATATAACAGTAATCTCTAACTTAATTGCTAATAGCGAAAAGGGATAATATAATTGAAACAACAAAAAAAAGTTAAAATAACAATTTTATTTTAACCTAAGCAAACACAGTAATCTAGATCACTTATAAGGTAAAATTAAAATTATATTCTAGCATCAATAATTTTAATACTCACTATAAACTGACATTTACAAAATTACAATTAAAAAAGATCTATTTCTCAATCTAAACAATAAAAACAGCTTAGTTTAGTAAAATTAACAATGATAAATGCATGATCTTGAAAGAGGTAACACTTGTTTACCCTTTTAAAATATACTCGTACGTTATTTTTATTTATAATATGTGTAATGGTAAAAGGAGAAATAAGAAAAGAAAGATGCGCACTTGAAGAACACAAAACGAGCTTAACTTTAAATTCTTCAGATTCAACATAAAGTTTTGATATACAGAGTTAGTTTAGACATGAAAGCATTTTCATAAACAATCTTATACATATTGATGAATTACAAACTAAATAATAAAAAAGTCTAAATATCTGTATTATAAAACAAGTGTGCAGAGCACAAACACAGTGAATTATGTCTCTTTGTGGTTTTCTTACTTAATTTGAATTGTTTCTCTGCCTCAACTTTTCCCATGGGTCTTCAAGCATGGATGGATGAAGATATGCATCAATGCTACTTTGATTAGTATCTTGGCCATAGCTACAGTTGGAGTCAGTCTGGAAATGTACACAAAAAATCATTAAGTAATTAAAAGAAACTGTAATGATAAGGCTAAGATGATTCATGCTATCAAGACATAGTTTCCAATTATGAAATTGTCACAGACAACGAAATCTGAGATTGCAAATAAATTTGTATATAGGTATATAAATGTGTAATTATAAGATACCCCAAAGCTACTATTTCTCATAGAATTATTACTCCATCTATTTTGATTATGAACACTTCTTCGTGGTCCAATATGTTGGTAACGATTATTATAATGCCTTTGGTTTTGATTTCTTCTTGGCCATTTTCCGTGTACAGGTGTACTTTGGTTTAACGGTATAAAATCGTCTGACATGGTTTATATTCACAGAGTAAGGTGTAAAATAATTAATATTGATAAAATCTATTTGTTTACTAAAACTCTACTGTAGAGAATTTCAACACTGCCCGTGAACTCTACACCACTCTACACTCCAAGACAACTGAACAGTAAATAGAGCAAAAGCAAAGCACACACTAGTGATGCGACTCAAGTGCTGTTTTTACTCGAGTCGAGTCATTCGAATGACTTATTCAAACTCGTATTCGAGTGAAAAAATATCACTCGTGCGTGTTTAACAAAAGTAGAGAATACCAAGGTAGAGTCTGAGTAAAACAGAATAGGTATCTTGTGTAGCTTAAAATGTGTCTAAGCTACAACAACAGGTGACAGCATAAAATGAAACTAATTATCATAATCTATTGGAAGATGGGTCACATTAGTCGTAGAACTGACAATAGTTGGGGCACCACATTCTAGAATGGAGATAGCTGATGGGCACACATAGTGTAGGAAGTCATCAGACGAGATGGGAGGGCGATCTTCATGAGGTAGCTGGCAGGAACTGGATGAGATTAGTAAGAGTATAGTAAAAGATAGAAGCACTATGGCGTGCAATTGGAGAGGCCTATGTCCATCAGTAGACGTGTATAGGATGATGACAAAGATTGTTGACCATTATTGCGAGTTGCCTACGATCGATTGTAAGTTAAATCCAACTTTTTTTTTACAACAAATACTGATAGAGGAGTCGTTAAAATCAAAAGACTTGCCCCGATTGCACAAAGGCATTAAAATTTCCTTTAAGTTAAAAGTCATTACCTACACTATTTTTTAAGTTTAGAACATTCATAAAAGAGTTGAGTCGTTGTGCAGTTGAGCATATCTAGCATAACTATTATTATTATCTATTTGAATCGATGATGTCGCTTTAACTAATGTAATAATTTTAAAGGGCCTTTGTGAAACTGGGTGGGTGACAGACTTTTAATTTTTAATTTGACAGCAATGTTACGAAATGCTAATGATGTATTCGAAATAACTAAATATATGCCAAGGTATCTATCACAAATTCGTTATGGTCGACACTGTGGTCGGGTATGAACTTTGATCCAATTTCAGTGATGTTACATACGCTTTGTAGCCAGCCAAGATGGGAGGCAAACTTACCGATTTTGCGACCCTCTTCGATTTTGAAATTAATTCTTGATCCATCAGGTCACATAAAGATAGATAGTTATTTTCATTACTGAAAAAGCAGCGTGATAAGACTAAATATAAACATAGCGCAGTTCGTGCAACATAATCGCTACCAATGTTTAATTCTTTATTTTTTGGACGATACAAAAGTGCTTGTAATAGCCTACTTGAATAAAGATATTTTCATTTCATTTCAAAGATATTTTCATTTCATTTCATTTCATTTATTTACACACCTAACACAATTGGAATTATTTGTAGTCGTTCACTATGTACTTATGTATAAACTAGCTGAGCCCGCGACTTCGTCTGCGTGGGAAGTATTTTGGTAGAATTCTTTTTTTCCTATGTATGGAGTCCAATCGAATAAGTCAATGGGCCATAACCCACTATGCGGGCTTAATGCGGATCGGTGGGTGTTAACGGTGCTGATGCAGCCAGGACTAACGGCTTAACGTGCATTGTGGCAGTGTTGTGCACAATGCTCAAGATAATAATTTTTTGGTCACCCATCCTGTGAATGGTCCTTACGAATGTTTTTTCTTCTCGTTTCTCGCGCTCTGGTAGTCGCTTGCGTCTGAGCATTTTATTCGTACCTTTAAACTGTCCTTCTTTTGTTTTTGACCATTTTAAACTATTATTATTTGTCTAGTTGTATGCACAATCGGCTATTTATTTTTCTATTTTCCATGTAATGCTAGATTGCCTGGAAGAAATCGCTGGTTAGCGATGAGTTTGTCTTTTGTACTTAGTTATGTAAAATAAGTATTCATGTATGTCCTTGTTGTGCAGTATTTACTTACTTATTTAACTGCAATTTAAACCGAATGCGCTAAACCACAACGCCATCGGACCTCTTATAACGAAACTATACTAATATTATAATATTATAAGTAGGTATGTTTGCATCAAATTTGCTCCAAAACTACTGGACCGATAGTTTCAGAGCGATACCGACCTACGGGAAGCTATATCACGGATGTCATAGGCTATATAATTTTGCGGGATAAAGTCGCGGGAAAAAAGCTAGTTCATTATACCCTGTGAAAACTTATCTGCGGTACGTTAGTGGAGTTGAAGGCAACACGGGCTGGTGATAATCGTAACTCCTTCTCGATCTCTATTGTGCAAACTGCGAGCTCTTTCAGAGACCAAGCGCATTTCTCTATCAAAGGAATTAAACGCTAGGAGATCAAACGCTTGTTGTATCGATTTCTCGAGAGCGCAAGAGATTGTCCCTGATGATATATGCTTCAGATTCAACTTTATAGTGCATGAGCCGCGCGATGGGCAGTTAAATACGCTACGCGTTTTTCAGGTGTCTCCCGAGACCGAACGCTTTCCGTCCGATCTCTTTCTTTATTATAAAAGTCGATCGGTACATGTCTGACGGAAGATACGTGGAGTTTTATTTATTCATATTAAAAATATATTCATTTTAATTTTGACTTTCCACACTCGAAGGAAATCGTCTACTAACACATACTTCCGAGAGGTGTTTAACTGAGCTTCCGTCAGATTCGAACGGCCCTCATCATCACCATCATCAGCCCTTTTACGTCACCAACTGCAGGAGCTCAGGCCTTCCTTATGGATGGTCAAGGAGGATGGGCCACGACCCTCCATGCTGGCCCAATGCGGATTAGAGGATATTAACGACTGCAAATACAACCGGGACCAATCGCTTTACATGCCTTCCGAAGCTTGGAGTTGGTTGAGATAATTTTTTTTTTTGGTCACCCATCCTGCGGCCGACCTTTGCGAAATTTGCTTAACAACTACAATCGTGGGCCATGGCGCTTATTCATTCGCCACCGAGCTACCCTGAACCAATCCTCAGACTCGCGTAATATTATATGAGTGTTGTGACCAATAAATAAACCATTGTTTCCAGAGAAGACTGAAAATACCAACAACCAAAACAAAAAGAGTATTAATATAAAAAATAGTAATGAGAGAAAAAAAATATATATAACTCGAGTTGTCTTTACGTTGTTAACTTCAGTTGACGTGATCTAACTTTTGTGTAATCAACGTCGTGGAAAAGCTTCTGACATTGTCTCTGTTACCTGGCAAGCAACAGCAGGTGAGTAGGATTCTCCTCCGTGAACCCGACAGTGAGCTGCCCAGTGGGTCCACAGAGGCCCACCCACCAAATCCCGTATGTTACACCCTCTCATGGGAGGTGAAACCTGGCAAGCTATGGCCAAATCACCAGGACACTCAAGTATAGGACCATTGGTCCCCTTGCAGATGGGAAATTAGAGTGGCTCGGTTAAATCGAGTGCCTCTCCCAGACAGACGAAATCGTGCCATGCGGGGGCGGCTGCCAACCACCTCCGCTGGCCCCGACGACGACATGAACCTAATCTGATAAAAATATACGTTAACTGTAAACTACTCGAGGCTTAATTGCATCATCGGAAGGCTCTTTCCGCTTGTTCTCATACTCGCGTGATCGTGTACCACATTTCCATTATAAGCTAAACCCTATTTAATATGATTGGCCATATATAAATGAGGTCAACTTACTTCGGAGTTGTCAAAATTTTGGAATCTTATTTTATTATATTTGTCATCATACAAATTATCATTTTATAGACTATATTAATTCGTAGCTTGGTGGCGCTACGGATAAGTGCCGCTGCGTACGATCACTATTGCTAAGCATTTTTCGCAAGAGTGGTTCACAGCATGGGTGACCAAAAATTAATAAACAAAGGCCTGAGGCCCTGCAGTTTGGCTGTGAAAGAGTTAATGATGATGATCAATATATCAAAGACGAAAATTTAATAAAACAGTAAATATTTCATAGCAATTTTGGCGACCACGTCACTTCAAATTGACATAACTTTTTTATTTGTGAACCGATTGAAATAAATCTTACACTAAATGTTAACGGAAGAATGCCGCAATATAATAGTGAAAACTGCATTTAAATCGGTTCAGCCGTTTCTGAGATTATCGTGCACAAGCGCACAGACAAATAGACAAACCCACAAACAGACAAAAAAATTAAAAATCATTGTTTTGTGTTCTATTACCCTTATAAATGTCCCTCATAACAGTATTTTTCATATATCTGCAATGTACGTACAGACATCGATCGGTTACGTTTTTATTATAGTATAGATATATCAAAATGGCGCTAAAATACAGGCAAAACCGAAACCCGACCTTGAATATTATATTCGTAGGTAACATCTTTTTTCTTTTTCTTATACTATTTATAGCCAGTATAGGCGCAAAAAGTATATATTGTAAGCGTGATTTATGAAAATAAGAATTATAGTAAATAATTTTGATTGGATATTAACTTGTAATTTGGATTTAATATTTCTCATGCCTTAATTAATAAATAAAATAATCAAAAGTTAATAATACCTAAATAGTCAAACTATGTTTCTAACTAAAGCATCACAATTATATTTGAAAAAAAATCAATTCATGTATAGGCATGTCATACTGATTATAAACTGATATGATAAT